CCGGCATCACTAAACATTGCACCAGAGAGCAGAGCAAGAAGAGCAGAACCCCACACTGGACCCAGGGACAGGATCCATACTGGACGCCAGCGAAAGAATAAGCTCCAGCTCTGCTAAATGGCTGGATGGACTACAATTAAAACAGAATAAAAAACAATTAGTGAGTGTTTGAGAAAAAAAAGTTATATGTTGCCTATAGTATACATTTCAATATTATTTAACCCCTTCACTACCGAGCATGTTTTGATTGAAAAAAATATATTTATATAACATTTATTTAATAGCAAGGGATGTATTGTTTGTATTAATAGCAAGGGATGTATTGTTTGCATATAAACATTGTATTTATTTATTTTAAACATTTTTTTTTTTTGCAGTGCATATGCGTATAACAGTCGCGTGTGAGGTACCCCAACGGCAGTCCTCTAGCGTTTTGTAAACATTTAGATCATTGAGGTAAACGAGAGAACTTGCACAATTTTATAATTATGAATAAGTGTAACAAGATTAACACATTTCTGTTACGGTATAATGCAGGACTTAGTGTAATGCTGTTACTCCGGAGTTGTAATAACATAAGAATGAAGCAGGGTTGTGGCCTGCGATTTGTGCAACTGAGTGCTCTATCAGGACGTTAAGTGACTGGTTAGCCAAAAAGTGTGTCTTATGTAGATTGGCATATTAAGAAGAGATAGTAGGGGTGTAGCTCAATATGGGCCCCTGCCGGGTGGGAGGTTAAACAGTAACACAGGTTAAGTGTGTTCCTCGCATTAGGGGTGCTGTGCCTGTGTAAGTGAGTGGTCATTGTGCTACACGTATGTCGGTCACAGGGACTGACATTGAAGCCGGCTGTTAGCCCTAGCTAAACAAGAATAAAGAGTCCTATTACACGGTGTACTCATCAATATTGTCTATAAATCGTGCTAGGTAGAGTAATGGCATGTAAGTAGAGTCTGGAGAGTTAGCCATGGAAATAATAAAAGTACAGCATTACATATAACAGGTGATGTGAAATAAACATAAAAGAAACATGCTGAGCTAACCACAAGATGCATTAAGGAATAATGTGTTCACTGTGGTCTGGGTTTGTATGACCTGGTTGGTACATTGTCTTTGTACGGTCAGGCAACCCCAGGTAAGGTCTCTTCATCTTATGCCTTCCTTCAGGGAATGGCAGCAGCTCGTCTGTGGGTCTCAGCAGTCCGCCGTGCGGATGAAAGTGAGGGTTTCCCCCCAGCCCCAGGCTGTTGTGCAGGCCTGCATCTCTTGGCCACAAACTCGGCTACCTCTATGGCCCGAGTTTACTCCACGTGTGGGAGTGACAGAGGGCCTGGTATTCCTCTGTCGTTTGCGGTGCTTGCGCCTCCGTATTTGTAGGCGATGCTTCTGGGTTGAAAACCCTGTGGTCTGCAGCCCGGGTGGGCCAGGTCTTGTGTGGGTGATTGGGTGATGTAGCTTGGCACCCAAGGGTCTTCCCCCCATCTCCTGCCGCCCACGGCTCCGCCTACCTGGACTGTGAGTCAGGTATGTCGATTTGGGCCACCAGTTGCCGCTCTCTGAGTTTGTCCCAGAAGTGGTTGAAAATCGCCTCTAGTCGCTGCTGGAGGTCACACTGAGGCTTTTGTGTTGGCAGCATACACTGTCCATGTAGTGGTCACACCGAGGCTTTTGTGTTGACAGCATACACAGCCGCCATCTTAGGTACGCCATGTGAAGGGCTGCACCTCCATGTTTCATATTCAGGCTTGTGGTTCAGTCTTGGCTGGCTGCTCCAGATGTCCACTGAGGACTAGGATAACCTCCGCTGGTCCAAAGGGGGGGAGTGGGAGGTGGGACTACTGAGGAGTCTGTGCGTGGCTTTGCCATCAAGAAGAGAGCGGCCGTCTCTCCCTGGCTCGTCCGCATGTAGGCCCCATTTGCTTTTGTGGGTTCCCGGGCATTGTGCACCTTGGTTTTAGTGTCTTTTTATATCCCTGGGTTTCCCCGACATGTCCCATGCCCACCGGCTGGGGGATGCACCAATTCTCAGGGTATTCCCCCCTGATTAACTAGCTTTTCGGCGGGAGCTGTTTCTCAGTGCATTTTCCCAGCTCAGCGGTTAGGCTCCGCCCCCTGCATATAAACATTTTATAATACATTAGTTTTGTGAGTAGATTGCTTCTGAGACTATCTTACACAATTTTTATTTTTCACTTATTCATTCAGCTTTCATAAAAATATCTGTGAAATTAAATTCTTTAGACAGTATACAGTGTCTTTTATATTGCTATATTCGCATAGTATCTGAAATGTTATTATAAAAACAAAAATAAAATTTTTCTCATATACCGTAGATGTGACAAAAATAGATAAATAAAAATGGTCAAATACCTTACTTATTGGTATGTGTAAGGACCCTGAACACATTACTAGCAATACAGCTTACTAAAAGTGGCTACTAATGTAAAAGTAATGTCTGTATTTAAGCATAGTGCTTAAATAAAGTAATAAAGTAAAATAATATATTTCTAAAATATAGGTATTTAAAATGGCTATAGTTTTATCATTCTCTCTAATGTTAATGTAATGCTCACAGTAAAATGGTAGAGTCAATTCACTTCTCCCCATTTCCACTATAGGACTGATATGACCCATTGAAATTATATCTACCGTTTGGAAGGAAAGGGTGAGCAGACTTTTTCAACACACTTAAAGGCATTAAATCAGTGAACAGTGACTTCTGGCAGTGATATTTCTCTGCAGGTTGTAAATCATTCCTAGAGTACAAATTAGAGTGAGTGAGGATTTACTGTCAGATATATTGTGTAGGAAAGGAAATACGAATATATTGTGGGATAAAACTAATACATGCATAATAGCAAAAACGCAATATAGCTAATATACCATGAGGTGCTTAAAATGAAGAAAGACAAGACGTTTTTCTCAAAGTTTTGCCTTGGCAGCTTAAGAGCCAGACAGTGAGTAAATACATCTCTGTCAGCAAATATAAGACAAGTATGTGTTAATTAAAAAGTATTTGTTTAGCAAACACACATACGTATTGATATAAGGTATATAATTAGGTTTAGTTATTTACAAAATAGAAATATAATGTCATATATTCTTAATTAGCAACATATATATAAATATATGTATATATATATATATGTAATTACCTATACATCGATTAAGTATAACAACTTAAAATCTTGAAATGCAATAACGCTTAGGTAAGCAAGGACAAATTGGTTTGAACAACTAAAGTCCAAATTAAGAAAAGAAAAAAACGCTGACTAAAAGGTCTTGGGATTAAACATTCCTACTTGATTGTCCTGAACAAGAGTTAATCTTCTATGATAATAGCTGGTAAAATTCCTGATGTAAGCCAACAGCTCCACCTGCTGTTTGAAACATATAGAAATATATGTCAAAATGACGTCAACAGCCATTAACATAAGACTTGCCCCAAGATTTCCATTGGACCAGGTCAGAAGGTTAACAGATAAGGAATCACATATAACATCATAACACAGGAAAAGACAGGAACTGCTATCGGATGGCACCGAGGTTCCTGCAATCATTGGGCCTAACACCAGCCGCAGACACATCAACCAGGCCCATGCATCAATGGGATGTTGCCAATATCGCTGCCTTCACTCCTTCAGGTACCACAGCCCCAGGATGAAAGCGCACCATATTTGCAAGATCTAGGTTGCAAACACGTAGTCTTCAGATGCCACAGATTCATAGTGCAGAAGCTAATTATATAGTCTTTATTCTCTGTTGAACGTTAATCTATATCGTTTTAATTCACTTTGTTTTACATTACCATTAGCCTGGCCACTTCACCCCTCCACTGGTCACCCTATCCCTGCGAGCCTGTACCACGGTACACATTAACTACCCCTGCAATGGCTCATATTTACTAATAGAAATGTTTTGACACATTATAACCCCCCCCCCCTCCTTTGAACCCTGGAGTTATGGAGTTCGTATAACCTGTAGTTCTCTCACATACCTAGGACCTCGCTCATGCATGATATAATTCAAGTGCCAAATCCACTCACTACTACCTACCACTGGCCCTAGATATACCTTTTTTACCCATTAGATCACCTATTCCCACCTTAGAGGCTCGGGCGATGAGCCCTGCACGCACCCATGTCTACTTACTGTTTTTTTTCAGTGTGATATGCACCACTCAGATCTTAGGTGTGTTCTTTATGTTTCTCTTGCATACTTAAATATAAAAAGGTGCAGCCTACCTGAATGCCACATCATTGTTTTAATAATCCTGTTATGTTTGTGCTTGTAAATGCTGTTATGGCATATAAAGCTGTTTGTTACCACATGCACACCATAAATAAAGAATAAAAAAATTAAAAATAAAAGATTCTGAAAAATCTGTCTTTAAATTATAATAATCCATATGTTGATTACTCATCTGGTTCTTTATAATTTAACAAATAGTAACATACTATTTGCTGATTGTCACAATCAATTGTATATGAGTAAAATATTCTATATGCTAACCATGTTGATTAAAATTGTCATGAACTAACAATCCCATCACTCTGAGTTTGAAATTGCTTTACTGTGATTGTGACACTAAACTGTGATATTTTGTTCAATGTTATTGAAAACTGTTCACTAATTAGCATGTACATTTACACTTATTGAAAAAAAAAATATTATAATTTTGATAAAAAGTTGTGATATTAATGTGATATTAACGTGTCTCTTTTAAATTAATAATTGTAAATAGCGCCAATGAAATGTCAACCTCTGATATTTCAAAAAAGATTATTAACTTTAATAATTTTTATAAAACTATTATTTTTAATTAATGAAAATTAATAATAATTCAACCCCATAAATATCCTCACATTACGGACTAAATTTAATTCTGTAAAATGCATAAAATTCCATTCTGGAAGTTAAGTGGTTAAAGTGCAAATCTATGTGTGTACATTAGTATCATAATCAGCTAGAATACTGAAATGTAAACCCATAAATCAATGTATTTTTGTATAAGTGCTTATATTTTATTTCACATACACGTTAAAACATTTATATACATATTCTACTGGCCTAAGAAAACACATTTGCAGCAGGTTTCATAACAGTGTTCCTTAGTTGTCATTTACATTTATGATGTAAAAAAATTCTCAGCATTTAGACTGGCCTCTAAGTTCTTCATATAAGATAAAATGCTGACATGATTCAAGCAATCAATGTAATCCCCTAGAACAGAGTAATTCATAGAGACGTATCTTCCGGGATCTTGGTTGAATTATAGATCCTATTAATGAATGATGTAATAAAATGTTTTTTTTGGTTTTTTTAAATCACATTTTAATCAAGAATTGGGGCCATAAACAGTCTTGATGGCTTAATTCAGCCCAGAGAATAAAAAAAAAATATACAGAAAAACACAACAAAAAATCTTTTGAAAATTATTTCATACTGATGAATACAATGTATCCATGTCTAAGTTAAATTTAGTTAGTTCCAATTGTTTAAAATATACATATAATGCAAGAAACAAACCCTAAAGAAAGGAAGTGTGAATTAGAAAGATAACACATTCTAGTTTCCTGCATTGTTCTGAGTTTGCGAAGTCCACCAGTTTTGTAAATTTTAATTCCATCAATCAGATTTTTGTAGTTTAGGACAATTTATCCAACTTGGGAATGTAGATTTCTCAAACTACATTGAAACGTCAGGTTCTATATTAAAAAGCATATCATCATTCCCTCGTCGCACTTCAAGTAATAAAGGAGATTCATTGAGAACAGCCTCATGCAAATCATTTGAAGTCAGCAGCGGGCGTCCATTCACTTTGACAATGATATCCCCGTGTTTAAGTCCACCTCTGCAGGAAGGAGAGAACGGTGTAAAAGTGTCAGTTCCCATTATTAGCACTTACTTGTGACATTCAGTAGCAAGAGAAAATATTTTTGTAAAATGCAACAATTACCACATTTCATGAGCCAGTAAGTAAAGGAGCACTATAGGGTCAGGAACAGAAACATATATTTCTGACCCTATAGTGTTAAAACCACCATCTAGCTCCGCTGGCCCTCTCTTGCCTCTCTAAATATAGTAAAATCTTACTTGTATTCAAGCCCGAAGCTGCTGGCTCTGACCCTGTCTGCCTCAGAATAGCAAGCTGCCTGCTGACATCATCAGAAGTGTTGTTCTGTGCCAATTACAATGCTTCCCCATATGATTGGCTGAGACTGTGAAGGAGGCAGATCAGGGGCAGAGCCAGCACAAGTCAAACACAGCCCTGGCCAATCAGCATATCCTCATAGAGATGAACTGAATCAATGAATCTCTATGAGGAAAGTTCAGAGGGTCGAGATACTGAATGTTGTGATGCACACTAGGCAAGATTGAGATAGGAAGCACATCTAACAGCCATCTGAGGAGTGGCCAGTGAAGTTATCACTAGGCTGTAATGTAAACACTAAATTTTCTCTGAAGGTAATGATTCTACTCACCAGAACAAATGCAATAAGCTGTAGTTGTTCAGGTGACTATTGGTTCCCTTTAATATATTAGTATACTCTGTATAATATATAAGTAAACTATATACTTTATCTTCAAACACCCAGAACAAGACATGTCAACATTTGTCTCTAATTCTATAGGTGATGTAATATTTTCTTTTTGACAAAAAGACAAAACCAGCTTAATCCTTAAAACACATAGTCTTGACCCTATAGTGTTAAAAACACCATCTGCAGCAGTTTCCCTTGAGTTTGTAGATTGAAAAGATATGTAAGGTTACAACTGTTCCATGTTTTAAAATTAAACTCAGGGATTAGTAAGCATAAGGTCTTGATAGGCGTAGCCATTGAGGTAGGGTGGCAGCTGCACAGGAGTTTCCGTGAGGTGTCCCAAATAGTTAGGGTTGTGTTTGTGGTGGGAAGTGCTTGTGTCAGGTCTGGCCTTTGGGACAGGGGTGGCCAAATTAGAGTGGATATGCCGCATTGTCCAGTATTGCTCAATTTGAACCCACTACGGTATGTTGGGGTATTGTTGAGCTGACACTAGACTGTTTAAAATTGCTGTTTTGTAATAAAGTTGCAGGTTGGGTAGGCCCATGCCTCCATTGCATGTAGCCCTATAGAACGTGGACACTGCTATCCTATGCCTTTTTCCATTTCAGACAAACATGTTTATCTGCTTTTGTAAAGCCTTGAAATATGCAGACGGGGCTATTAATGGGACTGTTCTGAACAGGTATTGCAGTTTTGGTAAAATGACCATTTTAACTGCTGCTATTCGTCCGTACCAGGAGATGAATTTAGGTTTACAATTATGTAGAATTGCAGAAACATCTTTACTTAATTAAACATAGTTTAGGTGGTAAAGTTGGGATAATTGAAAAGGGAGCTTAATCCCAAGGAATGTCACATAGTCGGTTCACCAGTCATATAAGTAGGTATCGTCCATCCCCACCCCCATGGCCTGTGTTTTCATGTCATGGAATGCCAGCAGCGATGTTGAGGGGTTAGTGAGGGTTAAGAGTATATGATCTGCAAAAAGGTTCAGTTTCATTTCTTTGTCTGCAATATGTACCCCTTGTATGTTCTTGTCAGATCGTATCATGGCCGCTAATGGTTCCAGCGCGATTATGTACAGTAGGGGTGACGGGGGCAACCCTGCCTAGTCCCATTTGTAATGTGAAAGGGGTCAGATCTAAAGACTGTATTGAAGACCCTGACTGTGGGATTGCTATGCCTTGACTACTGCTGAGAAATGGGATTGGAAATTACATTTTTCCAGGACCGTCTGCAGGAAAGACCAATGCAGGCGGTCGAAAGCCTTTTCGTCATCTAGGGACAATAATATATTGTTATTGGATAGTTTGTGCATGCTGTGTAAAAGTGTGAGTGCTTTGCATGTTCCATCTGCCCCTTACCTACCGCTAATAAACCCGACCTGGTCTGAATGTATGATGGTAGGGAGAATAGAACTTAGCCTGTTCCCATATATTTTAGCCATGATCTTCAGATTGGAATTTAATAGGGAAATGGGCCTAAATTTTAGTGCATTTAGTCAGGGGTTTGCCTGGTTTGGGTAAGGTGGCTACATTTGCCTCAAGCATTTCTTTCAGGAGTGATTGTTTTCTGTGGCTGTATTGAAAAGAGGGAAAAGAATAGAGGAGAATCTCTGGTAAATAAACATCCAGGAACCCATCCGGGCCCAGTGATTTGAGTGAAGGTAAGTCCCTGATTACTTGCTCTATTTCTGGTAGGGAAATAGGGTCCTTCAATTGGCAATTTTGGTCTTGTGCGGAAGTACCACTTTCATTAAGTATTGTGAGATTTTGTGCAGGTAATGCGTTGTGCGGGATATGTTAAAATCATTCATTTCTTTTTGGGTTTGGGCTATTTGTGCTGCTTTGGTTGGGGTTGGAACTAAGTAGTGAGATGCCGTGATGTCTCTCAAGGCCCTGAGGAGGGTGAGTATTTTGGTTTGTGATTGCTTCTTAAGGTAGGAAGCTCTCCTAATGAATACCCCTCTAATAACAGCTTTGTGTGCTGACATTCATTGCATTTCAAGTCTACTTTGCAGCCAATTCCAGTATTATCAATGTGAATGTTAATAATACCCTTAAAATAATAAAACCTTGCTAGTGTTTTCTAGGATGGCAAACTGGAGACTATCTTGGAATTAGCTAAATGGCAAAGGCCTATACGGCAAAACATTAAAGACTCTAAATGTACCGGATTCTGGCCTAAAGAGTGAAACTAAATTTGAACAGCTATGTCGTCATGATCAAGCAATTCTACAGGTTACTTCTCAGTGTTATAAACTCCTCCAACCAATGATTCACTGATTCACTTGTGATTACCCTCTTTTGCCCAGATCTGGAACTATTACCCACTTCCTTTATGGAGGAAGACAGGATGAAAATCTTTTCGGTTATCTTTCACTCCCACCCTGGTTTTCCTCTTCAGGAAACTTACTAGAAGTTACTCTCTAGGTATATTACACCTGATGACATCCACTGGTCCTGTCCAGCACAATTACAAATGTGTTGGAGATTCGGGAAAGACACAGGTACACTACAGCACATTTGGTGGAGGTGGACATGTGGGGAATTGAGCAAAAGCTGAAGGGAGGTGGGAGAAATGGGAACTAGGGGACAACATACCTCACAATTTAGGCATACTTCTCTTACATACATACCTAATCTCACCTGCTAAATACAAACGTTCCCTACTATATTTCCTAAGGACCACAAAGTCACCTTACAAAAGGAATTGGTTCCTTAAAATAGACTATTATCTCTCCTAAGATTTGAGATGGGCATAGTTATAAATGTTTTATAAATATAGGAAGATATGGCATACTTGGCTGACTTATATACAAGGGGTGGAAGGAGTTGAGGAAGGGGGCACAGGTGAGAGAATAACCGGAATCTAAGATCCATGTATGATACAAGATATCTGCTAGTTATCCACATACTATTCTATACTACTTCTACTGCATGATCGTCTTCTTCAAAGCACTCAGGTTTGATACTGAGTGCTTTAAAAGCTAAACAATACTTATATTAAATATGTACATGACACTAAAATTATACTTACCAACTACAAATTTAGTGTTTGATATGAAGATTTTTAACTTATGTAATCACAAAGGTTGTTGGTCCACATATGTTTAGTCTACACTGTGGCTTTAAAAAAGGATTAACCAAAGCATTCCATGTCATCCGTTATGTCCAACTTTATGAATGCATGATCAAGCATTCCATGAATGCATTCGGTGTCAGCCAAATGTCAGAAAGTGGCGATCTGCGATCTACATTATTTTAAGATATTTCTATTCTAGCTCTTGCAGTATTAGTGTAAACCATTTACAATAAAATTAACACAGGGAGTGGAATTTAATCATTTGGTCTCAAATTGGATTATTTGTTTGCAAATGTCCCCCGAGCCAAATGTAGCCAGCTCTTCTGACAAACAGACATTCACTCAATTATACAGGCATGCACATATTCACAACTTCTCCCCATCCCCCAACTCCCTTCTAATTTTGGGGGTGTTTTCAGCTGAATCTGCTGCTCCCTTAGTTCCTGAAGTGATGACCCCTAAAAGGCCACCTGGTTTCTTGGACTCAACCTGACTTATAAGCCAGTTCTGCAAGTAGCTAACACAATATAATTTAGTATATTTGATTTAAGAACATTTTCATTGCTGGATCAAACCTACCTTAGGGATGGTGAGTTGGGCAGTACTTCATGTACATATATTCCACTGTTAACATCTGGAAAATCAGGATTGTTTAACTTGAGCTCTTCAACAAGTCTAAAATGACAAATCATGATATTATCAGGAATTAATTCCAAATATCTGAACAGGTCAGATAAGAAATTAGTATTTTTTTTAATACTATAACTAAGTTTACATACCAATGTTATCATATATCATCCTGTTCTTTCATAAAACAACATATCAACTAACTATTTTAACACTTTGACTGACAGGTGGAGGGGCAACCAGTTGCCCCTCTTTTAGTCCCTCGCAAACTTAAGATCTTGAGCGTACACTTTGCTTTCCCATGTAAGGCATGTTTTTTGTGAATCCATTCTCAAACAGATAAAATGTTAAGCCAAAAAATCTAAACACATCTTAAAACCAACCGGTCCGTTTGGGAGTGTAGCAATTTGAGTCATAGTGGATAAAATTAACATTAACTTCACCTACTCCAACTGATTAGTATATACATTCTCACAAATTGGGGCATTTTTAAGTTTCATGTCAGTTTTGTTAACACCCATCAGCCAACAGCTAAAAACATCAGGATTCTTATCATAAGGGACATGTAACTTCGCATATAAAATTCAGAATGTCCCCCGCTCGAAGGGTTAAAAAGATTTAATACTAGCATGCGAGATAGTGAAACATGAACCCTCCAACAGTTTGCAAAGAAACACAGAAAGGGATTTTTACAATATCTATTTTAAAACTTACGTTGGAGTAATTGTCAACATCTTTAGCCCAAGGAAACGCTTCTTTCCATCTGTGAAAACAGATGTTGCCAAAAAGTTATTTAGCATTGTCTACTAAAATGTATTTAATATAATAAGTATCTAGTTAGCAAGTGCACAGGATTGTATCTGCTATACTTGTTATAATACTTACCAGAAATAAATACTATCAGGACGTTAATAAAATAATTAGAACCAAGATTTATCATATGTATGAAGAGAAACCTAAGCAAACGAGTTATTTCCACTCTAATTATATTTAAAGAAACATATGCTGATTAGCGCTCTATGCTGCAATACATTAATTTTAATAATGTTATAAGAAGTGTTTTTGAAAATATATTTGAAAAAACTTTTCAACAAGGCCAGGTTATTTTGGCATACATACTATGTAAATACAAAGAGAAATATTCACTATACTACAAAGGTAAAATGCTATAGTTCTGCAAAGAGACATGCATCACCATTAATTATTTTCACTTCTTGATTAGTACATGGTTATTTACTGGTTTAAACATAATGTAAAACACTTGAGGTTGTCCCTTGTCGGCTGATTTTTGGAGCACCCTATTTGCAGCAGTTTGCAAAATCTTACCCTTTCTTAGCCATAAACCTCCTCTCTGTTGGAAAATTTAAACAGGCATTACAAGTATTACAATTAAATCTAGAATATTGGCTCTTATTTAAAGCAGTGACTGTACATGATAGTAAAAAAAAATCTGACCGGTAAGAGAGCAGGAAATAAACACATGGATAGCAGTAAGATCCAGAGGTTTTTTAATTTTTTTTTTTATTATTATTATTTAAGCTTAACCCCTTAAGGACACATGACATGTGTGACATGTCATGATTCCCCTTTATTCCAGAAGTTTGGTCCAGAAGTTTGGTCCTTATAGTCACCTAAATTACTTTAGCTAAATAAAGCAGTTTTAGTGTATAGATCATTCCCCTGCAATTTCACTGCTCAATTTACTGTCATTTAGGAATTAAATCACTTTGCTTCTGTTTATGCAGCCCTAGCCACACCTCCACTGGCTATGATTGACAGAGCCTGCATGAAAAAAAAAACTGGTTTCACTTTCAAACAGATGTAATTTACCATAAATGATTGTATCTCAACCCCAAATTGAACTTTAATCACATACAGGCTCTTGCAGGGTCTAGCAAGCTATTAACATAGCAGGGGATAAGAAAATCTTAATTAAACAGAACTTGCAATAAAGAAAGCCTAAATAGGGCTCTCTTTACAGGAAGTGTTTATGGAAGGCTGTGCAAGTCACATGCAGGGAGGTGTGACTAGGGTTCATAAACAAAGGGATTTAACTCCTAAATGTCAGAGGATTGAGCAGTGAGGCTGCAGGGGCATGTTCTATACACCAAAACTGCTTCATTAAGCTAAAATTGTTCAGGTGACTATAGTGTCCCTTTAACTTAGAGGTTGGAATAGCCTTCAATTAACACTGAATGGTGAATTGGATTAAAAAAAAGATTTGTATATTTGAAAGTCCTTAGAGCAGGGGTGTCCAAAATGTAGATCCCTAGATGTTTAGAACTACAACTCCCATAATGCTTTGCATGCCTTTAACCCCTTAAGGACTAAACTTCTGGAATAAAAGGGAATCATGACATGTCACACATGTCATGTGTCTTTAAGGGGTTAAAATGATAAAACATCATGGAAGCCACAGTTTTAAAACATCTGGGGATCTGCCTTACAGAGGTATACAGAGTAAACTACAACCCTCACTAGTTGTGTATAAGACTTGTTTGATGTACCTTTACCTTTAATCTTCTTGTCATGTGAGTCTGTCATGAATTGTGTGATACGATCAGAGGGAATTGCAAAAGAAATACCAGCTGCAACTTTAAGGGTATTTATTCCAATTACTTCCCCATCCTGTTTAGAGATTGGAAAATAGAGGGATATTAAGTCATTGTAATTACAGATGGAGTTACAATGTATCAGTTTTACTCTGTAAATAAAGTATACAAAGAATTAATTATATGATCTGAAAAAAGGTATAAAGAACATTGTATAACGAATAAATACATTGTATAATTAATAATTCATCTTAAAGGGCCATGCCACCTCCAAAACAACCTCATCTCAATGCTGGAAACTCCAGTTATCTCACAGTTTTAAACCATTTTTGAACAGTGTAACAGTGAAGTTGTGTCCATATGTGCCCAACATACCACCTGCCCTGTCTTCCTCTCAGCTGCTGATTTAAAGGGAAGCATTAGCTTGACATCCAGTGAATGACTGAGAGTTTCACCTGATGCTCTAAGCCCATCACTACATGCTTATTGCATGTAACAATACGTACTGTTACATACATAACAGATTCATAGAGAAGACGTTCAGGAGAAGTTTAAATGCATTTTTAAAATGTTTGTTTAACCATTTCACATGCAGAATCGAGTATAGACATTTTTGCTTTCATGTACTTCGCAGAATGAAATTTAGTCAATAAAGCCTGACTCGGCCTCATTTATGCTGTTGGACAGTGGTTCCCAACCCAGTCTTCAAGTACCCCCTAACAGTCCAGGATTTAGGGATTACCCAGTTGTGTCTGCTGTAGAAGAACACATTTCTCTGCAACAAGACACTGGTTACTATTTACAATTTAATGGCTGCAAGTGTGCTGAAAATGTCAGCTCACCCCTGCTTCCAAACAGTAAAGGAAATTTTAAGAAGTTATATTACTACAGTCAGGGAGGGGGGAGGAGTAAAGGGACTATAAGTTATATCAGTTTTAAATACCTTTATTTTAGAAAAATACAATTTAACTGTGTTTACTGTATGTGAGCGCTATGCTCAAATGCAGATATTCTTTTTACATTCTGCTGCCAGTTTTAGTAAGCTATACTGTTACTAATGCTATCAGTAGACATGTGCAATTCGATGCTTCCGAATGTCCGAATTGACAAATTTCGGAAGTGCCGAATTGCCGAAGTGCTTCGGATTTCTGAAAAGTGGCAAAACAGGAGAGGGAGGGAAAATTAAGGAAATTATAACAGGAATCTAACCCTAATCCTAACCCTACCCCTACCCCTACTAGGGTTAAGGGTTGGGTTAGGGGTTAGATTCCTGTTATAATTGCCTTAATTTTCCCTCCCTCTCCTGTTTTGCCACTTTTCAGAAATCCGAAGCACTTCGCGGCTGGGCTAGGGGTAGGGTTGTGGTTAGGGATTAGGTTAGGGGTAGGGTTAGGGGTTGGGTTTAGGGTTGTGGTTAGGTATTAGGTTAGGGGTATGGTTAGGGGTAGGGTTTGTATTCTTTTAAAAAAAATATTTTAATAAAGACTGAACGAATAAGTGAAAAATCAAAACTGTGTAAATTTAAACACATCAACTCTGGAAATTAATCAATATTAATTTTGAAGAGCTCATTTAACCCCTGCACTACCAAATCCATATATACACATTTTTACTTTCCAATGCAAAACATTTTTTTACATATAAAGCATAATTTTGGAAGACTTGAAATTCTAACAGCAGAATATTTTTTTTTTCTCTAGCAAAGCTTCTGTCTTAAGACTTATTTGCAAGGAAAATAGAAATTATGAGCCCTTCTTCCCTCCTCCGAGACACACCTCTCAGCATTGGGAGTTATGAGTTTGGGTTGAGTGTGCCTGCCTTGTGGTGGGGCATCACTGGTAAAGCCCATAATTGGCAGGCCTGCCCATTAAAAGTGCCCATTCATAGCCAGAGCTCATCTAATAATGTGCATGTGCTGTGCTGCCTTCAGGCAATGACCACCCCATTCTGATTCTCCACTCCTGATTGTTGGGGCGTATACTAACTCTGTATTGAAAAGGGACTGCCATTTGGTGTCAGGTTCATCAGGTTAAGTGAACAGATGCCACAAGTCAGAAGATGTTGGCTACAGAGTTAAAGAGTGGAGTCAAATTCTGGTGGAGGAGTCTGAAACCCTACCACTTTTAAATTCCACCAACCTCCACTGGATCCAAGTGAAGTAAATCAAGGCATTTAGATGAAATGTTGGAAGAAAATTAATTCCATGTGATTACTAAGAATAATATAATATAATATTCCCCATTATTTCTGTAAACAAAGAACAACTACAGAAAATGAAAATTATATAAATGTATATAATTACATTTTTATGTATCTCTGAACAGCAATTTCAAGTGACATTTAGTAGCTTTTAGCCCAATTACCTACTTATCCTTGGTTTGAATTCGATCTTTCAAATACATACTTTACTAACATTTTGTTAAACAATGCGTGTTTAGCATTGAAGTAGTTAATACTTTCGTTTACATCTTTTACCTCTTTTTTTTCTGAGTTTCCAAACAGCTTTCCCTTCTCCTGACCCACTCAAACTTGAATTATTTAGTTTGGATCATGGCTTGATGTGCACATGTTTATAACGCACATACACAGAAGCCTCATCTCAGCTGTGTAATACCCAGACCCAGGTGTATTATGTCAGAAAACTTATTTTGAGCCAAATAGTTTCAAAGTGTATCACACAAGGAGTTGGTTTCAAGCCTCCAAGAACTAATACAATTAAAATAAAGTTAAAGAAGGATTAAATACATTATGTATACATTATACTTAAATTGAGATTTTGTGTTTTGTCTATGGTTTTTCTATCTGCCCATAAATAAAAAAGAAAACACACAAAAAAACTGTGAAAAATAGTTAAATTAATTGCAAATTTTAAGATAGTTAAAATAATTACATAATTACATACAGCTTACTTAATTACCCTGTTTATTTTCCACATTTCATGTTCTGGTAAAAAAACATAGCATACATATAATGGCCTTCATTATTGGTTTCTGGTTGTGTTTTCTTTGAGAGAGTCAAATGTTAATTTCAATGTTAACAGTACAGAAAGGAATATTTGTAATATGTTACACAGGGTTCTACAATGTCAAAAACAAAATTGCCCATTGGGCGGGTAATTTTGTAGACATTCTGCATTAGGTTAGGTTTCATTAGGGGATTTAGTACAATGCTACATTTCAACACAATCTCTTTTGTGATGCCTATATACTATTAATCTTATGTTATTAACCCTTCATGTGGTGTGCTTCTGAAATATGAAGGGCAACTTCAGCATCATCCGATGCATATCCTCCATCTTAGACCATAGGGAGGACAGATCAGATATTCCTGTTTCATTATACAATTATACTTTAATTATACTAAATAAAGCGGCTCTAGGGTCTTTGAATAATTTGGTAATGGCTCCACCGGCAGTGTGGTGGCTGATGGGTACAGTAAATTATACTTTCCTGAAAACGTTGTTTACAGTGACCGCCATGTTCTTCCTTTCAGTCCTCTTCGGCTCCTGGTGCCAACATCAGCATTGTGCTCCCATGCACGAGACCACTGGATCCTCTATAGACAGAGCCTTTTTCTTCTCAGCTAGCAATACTAATGTCTGAGGGCTTGACAAGGCTTGACTAAAGGTAGTTTGGCCTGGCTCTCAAGCTTGTCAAGCATTGGAAAAAGGTAGCTTGGAAAAAGTAGTCCCTGCTTTGTCTTAGTATATTTTTTCATTGAAATCCCAAATGTATTTCATTGAAATCCCAACACAGCCAATGTGAGTATTTCATAAAGAGTTTATCTTTGTGAAATATTCATTTTGAAGGTGGGGATGAAAGTGCCGCTTTAAGGACACCCTTGTGACGTTTGACATAACCACACATTGCAAGAGACACTGACATTTCTTCACTGTAGTTGTATGAGGGACATGGCCATCTTCCACAGTCAATATCTATGCCTACACGTCACCTGTAGGGACCTCGATTCTGCCCTTGCAAACAATGGCTCACTTGCCACCCTAATTTGGAGCAGGTTACTGCAAAATGAAAAATCACCTGCAATAAGTGAAAAAGAATAAAATATATTTTGCCTTAAGGTCAGGGGGTTCTAACAGAGACCCTATCTCCCCCTCTGTTTAAGCTATGGTAATCCTCATTATAGGCGGGGTCTATATTGTCATAGTAGTGCCCGTGTCAGCACAAACACAGTTAGAAACAATCATTGACATTATAAATATATGGTAATAGTGATGTAAAATCAGAAAAGCCACACTTACCAAATTAACCAAAGGGCCTCCAGAGTTTCCATACTGTAACGAGGAAAATACATTTTTAGTTAGTGGGAAAATTACCATCTAATACAGTGGTTCCAAACCCAGTCCTCAAGTATCCTCTACCAGTCCAGGAATTAGGGATTACGCAGTTGTGTCTAAGGTGTTTAAAAAAAAAAAAAAGCCACTTGAGACACAACAGGATAATCCCTAATTGCTGGCCTGGTAGATGGTACTTGAGGACTGGGTTGGGAACCCCTAATCTAATATAATTTTATAAAAATCAGCATATAAATGATTTCCTGGTAAATTTTAGCATATTAAAGGGTTACTCTAAGCACCATGACCACTGCAGTGTTCTGAAGTGGCTATGGTGCCTGAGTCTGTATGTGCATAAGAAAAGATACATAAACATAGATAAACAATGAACATCATTAGTACATCATTAGCCCGGAACAGGAATTCATTGGCGGAGCACATCAGCTGACCACTCTCAACCAATGAATGCCCGGTGGAATCAGCATTCAGCTTCTGCAGCTCTGCAAAAGACTGGAGTCATTCAGCCTATTCCAGAGAAAACATGGCTCTTGGCAGGGACCCAGGTAAGAGGGCACACCATTACAAAATGGGTTTGCCTCTTTACCTGAGAATGGCACCATAACAACTACAGTGGGCTGGAGTAAACCTTTAAGAATGACGTGCCTGGCTCATGCTCAATTAACTCAAAGAGTGCAGAGTAGCTTCATCCCGTTCCCTTACCAGTCAGCCAGTAGGAAAGGTAAAATCTCCCTCTGTGTTTCAAAAACTTTTTTACTAATATTTTTAACCCCTTGATCAATGCATTTTATACAAGGTTATTTACTAGAGTGAGAATTGCCAGAAACTCAATGTGAATATTAGGACAATATAGCAGAATTAGAAAAATACTCCAAGTCAATTCTGTTTTTATTTGGCTATTGTGTCCTGATGGTGGAAAATCACTTGAATTCACTTTAAACTCCCCACAATTGTCACTTTACAGAATAATCCTGACAGCGATGAACATCAATACAGCAATAGCAATCTTTTTATCTGTTCTATTTATTTTGCACACTGAGCCCTCCGAACGTGAGCCATTTTATATTGCAATATCACACATCAGACTGAAAAATCATAACAGCAGAAGTACAGCTTGTGACTGCAGCTGGTGAATTAAAAATTAAGTGAAAGGTAAATCACTATAATGTTTGCCAGAAATTTGTGGAAAAAAAAGTTCACATAAAAAAGGTTATTTGAATAATGCAAGAAATCAGGGTGAATTCAAAGTGAATTTCAAATCTAAGGCCAGAGTAGCTGAAAAGAAAGCATAGATGAGCATAGCCATGATTTAGAGAACTTTTCCAGTTAGGCTAATTTGATTCGCTTTGAATTCACCTTGAATTCTCTCTTTAGTGAAATATCATGTTAATGTTGAAATTATCCCATGTGAGAATCTCTCGGTTGCATATGGCAATCTGTCTCAGGATTGGCAGAATAGTCCTGAGTTTGGGGTCCTGTCCCACAATCCCAGGTTGGCTCCCTGGTGTTTTACACCACAAGATACCACAACTGCATTGGTGTTGACCTCAGAGGACCTCTGGTGCTATGATGAGTTAGCCTGGCATGCATTTACTGACTAGCGAGAAATCTCCAGCAGGGGAAGGGAACTGTGATGGGGAGATTGTCTCACCATTGAAGTGTTCCTTTCAGTAGTTTGGGGGTACACGCGTATGGAGCAATAAAATCTTTTGTTGCAGGACTTCATTGCTCCAAATTGACTGAATCCCTAAATATACAAAATATAAGCTATAATAGTTTTTCAGTTCAATGTTTAGCAAATATACCTCAAAACTTTGACTTGTGTCTCTCCCAGGTGTTGGCTAAGTACATTACATAATGTGTCATTGTTAGCTGGAACTAATAATTCTGAGTTCTCACAGGAAAAAGTATTAAAATAAACCCTCAAAACATCTGTGGGAACAAATCTTTCCATGAAGTTTCTTAAAAGGTTAAAATAACAGGTGACCTCAGTGGCAATTCGAATACGTTCGTAACGAGCAACATTTGTCAGTTACAGTTATATTTCATGTAATATACAGCGAGATATAAATGGGTGAGATAAGTCAAGAAAACAAGAACAATTGCCAAGAAATTTTAATTATTCAATAAAGGGTACGGAATGTTGGTTTAAACATGCAGTATGTATATGCTACATTAAATGTGATAATTTAAAATAGTAAAAAATATATATATATATATATATAATTAATTGACCTTGAGCCACTGAACTGCCATTCCATTAGCTGTCAGAGAATGGAAGGAAAACAGATGAAGTATATAATAATGTGATGCATGGCGCCAAGCACAAAAGGATGCGTCAATGAGGGCACAGGCCGATGGGTGTTGTATTAGTAGGTGCAGCTAATGAAATAGGTTTGCATTAAACAAAGCACAGGACAATAGATGATGCCAGGGGATGTATATGCCAGGGGAAAATAGGTGATTGAAAATGCTGACAATAGTATATATGTTGATGGTGCTGTCAGCCAAAGAGGGCACTGCCAACTAGGATGCTGGCCGAGGCACATGCTAAGAGTGTGCTAGGTGAGGAGGGGATGGCCATTTGGGATGCAGGCAGTTATAAGTGATAAGATGAAAATGCAGCTAGGTGAAAAATGAGACAGTCAAAGGTAGAGGGATGCAGAGAGGACAATGGCGAAGAGGGAACATAAACTCCTTAAGGTTTATAAGGATATTTTAACAAAGGATATACTTAGAGGTATAGCAATGCACAATGTTTTGCACATCGAAAACCAAAAACAGAAGCCATGAGAACACAGAGAATGGGAAAATAAAATAATAGATTTTTCTTCAGTTAGTTTCTGCTTGGATCTCAAACACTCTTTACCCCATATGCACCATTGCTATAAAAGTCTATATAATTTGCATTCCAGGCTAAACCCACACAAATGAGCAGTCTGGCAGTCCACACTCTCCATGCTTTCATTGGGCTTGGGGAGTGTAGGGTAGCTGATCACCTTCTTGGGAAAGTGAGGTGTCCTCATCTGGATAACACTGTTAGCCTTGAACACATATATTGTAGCAGAACGCATGAGAGCATTCAGGACTGTTGTGGCTTATGTGCATAAGATTAGGCACTCCATAAGCCAAACATATGATCCAGACTTGGACTTTGCCTAGAAACGTATCAGATCCCTCAACTCACTGATCAGGCCAAATAAAGGCCAAATTGATAGCTAGGGGTTTCTGAATTTATCATGCAGAGGGGACTTGTTGGGAGATCTGAACTCCTCTTGTGGGTGGTATAAGTCTGATAAACAACTGGTATAGGCTCTCTCTAATAGCACGAACGAGTAAAAACTTTTACAAGACCTTAATGGGAACTAATTGAAGGGCAAGCTATTTGGTTTTTCACCTACATGCACACATAAAACAGTGATAATAGAACTCACGTTAATGATGGCGTCTGTTTGGACATAACCCATGTCAGAGTCTCTCAAGCCGAGCTCCTTCCCATCTCTCTGAGCAGTACTAACGATACCAGTTGTGACAGTGTTCTGTAATGCAAACGGGCTGCCAATGGCTACAACAAACTCTCCGGGTCTCAGATCAGCCGAGTGCCCTAAGAGTAGGACTGGCAACTTTTTCTAGACACAAAGAATGTAAAACATGATTACAGGCAAGCACATTCTATTCTATTAGGATACCTGTCGTGAAACAAATAGCTGAGACATCTTTTTTTTTGGCTACTGAAAAGGAATCTGTAATATTGGAATATAACATCTACGACCTTAAGACATGTGCATTTTTTCCTTTAACTACTTAGTAAATATTCCACAGGGAGCAGCACTGTTTTTCATATTACAATTACAAATATTTATATAGCGCCAACATGCTCAGCAATGCTGTATAGTGGGAAATAAGCCAAAAATTTTATTCTAACAAAACATGATTGACACACAGGAACAATATGGGCTTTTCCAAAACAAACTTCCAATCTAAAGGAAGAGAACATCCCAGGCCGGATTTACATGAGGGCTGACTGTGTACAGGCTGAACGGAGAACAGCTTATATACAAACAGAACTCTGGACATGTGCTGCCTCTTAAGTTTAGTTCCACTCAGCTAAACAACCAGGAAGTAACATGACCAGTTGTCTGATTGACAGCCAAGTTGTGTAACCAGGTTAATTTATACACATGCCAATTTCTACTGAAATCTGCTCTTTTTGTAAAATGAAAAGAAGATGACACATTCTTCACACATAAATCATTTCGGCAAGCTAAAATGATTTAGGAGTCCAGAGTGTCCCTTTAAATTTGAAATTCTCATTCAATTCTCGCTTTAGTGAATAACCTTGTCAATAAATATTCCCAGAAATTACCCTGTTTATCTATTTACCTTATTTTGGTTACTTTTTACATAACATTGAATTAATAAACAGTATAACTGTGACTGTGGAATATTTAAGATATTTTTATATTTTCAAGATTTTTCTTACATACATTTTCTAATATAGGGACAGATGAATTGAGTATCATATAACAGATGGTTACATGATGACATAACTCTGCCTATATTTTGAGACTCAAGAAACACAATAACTGAAAACTGAATGACAATAAATAAGCGGACTGTGTAAGTGTCCATAATAATCATGATAGTGGGTATACGGAAAGCCTGTGTCCGGTCAATGAGAGCTTTATCATTTATGATATTTGGATTTTGGATATAAATTACATATAGTCTTTCTGTAAGACAGGGACATAGAGTCACAGGATAACAGAAGAAGATATTTCTGCACATGCCTTAGCATGTCTCGCATACCATTAAGAAAGTTGTAAAACTTACTTTCATTGTGAAAAATCCATGTACGTTTGCGCCTTATTTTGAGTTATGCACAGATTTGCTCTTATATATCATCTACACTAAGGCATTTTACCAGAAGAAAGAAAAAATATATACATACGTAAAACAAAATAAATAATATAAAATAATCATTTTGCAGTGACTTACTCTAGGAAATATCTTGATTGTTGCAATGTCAGACTTTTTATCAATGTCTTTAATTGTAGCCTCGTATGGATCTCCATTGTGGAGCTGCACTTTGAGAAACTGGCGACCAGAAACAGCATTGCTACTTGTCGTTACTACATGGGCATTGGTCACAATTAAACCCATATCGGATATAATAAACCCCGATCCGCTTGATAAAGGAATATTACGGCCAAATAAAGGATGCCTGTAAAGACAAATAGGAAAAATTATACAACACTTATTAACTTTATCTCATTACAGACAATGTCACGGTCTTACACAACATTGAAAGTCAACCTTTACTCCTATTACTAAATAGTGTTTTCCTTGACATTTGTAATAGACTATGGGTTTTCCGTCTGAGTACCTCTGTTACTTCTCGGCTTCCTATACATCCAATATAACCAAGTCGAAGTATTCGGGAGCCATTAGTAGCATTCGGAGGTGAAATATAGGGAGTGATTATAGCAGTGATTATAGTCTTTACCCCACACCATGAGTCGAGACTACATGTAGGAGATAACCAGAACTGACTTTATTGCAGGTGTGCAGAGGTAGTTAAACCCACAGAGGGTCATTTGCATACAATAGGGTAATTAACAGTCCACACATTACTCTCAGCCCCACCAAAGCACTCAGCTCCATTTTGTCCATAAGGTTCAAAGAAGATGAAACAACAAATGCTCCCAACCAAGCAAGAGGAACCCCAACCCTGAAACCCTGGGTCCATGACAACAGAGGAAGACATTTTTATTCCTATCGGTTAAATATGGTTCTTGTCTTGGTGGCTTGTTCACTAAACAGTGAATTGTGGTGATTTAACTACCAAATATATATATTTATCTACATGAAGAAGTATGCGTTTAAACACGTAAGAATTACATATCTCCCAACCTCGGCATCTTGTGAAGGGGACACCAGTGAGAGGGTTAATAGGGGTCAGTGAATCAATTTGCAGGTCTGCCCTTAGAATTGAAAACAAACCAGACTGCCTGCCAATCAAGTTGGCTGACCCACTAAGAGTAGACATGCAGAGAGCACTGTTTCAGTGACCTATGAAGTGTCTTATTGACCTGAGCATAGCGCACGTGAATCTAATGATGTGCTTGTGATATTCAGAGAACACAGTTAGGATGGTGGGACAGGACCCGAAAATCGTGATGGCCGAGAGGCTCGGAGTTAAGAAGTTATTCATAATTTTCCTCGATCACTGTTACTTTTTTTAAATTCTTTGTTTTGATACAGACAATACAAATAGCAGTACTCACATACAACTTATCTAAACACGTGTCACAAGTAGTGATGTCCCGAACGGTTCACCGAACGGTTCGCCGAACGGTTCGCCACGAACGGTTCGCCACGGACTCATCAATGAGTAAACTTTGACCCTGTACCTCACAGTCAGCAGACACATTCCAGCCAATCAGCAGCAGACCCTCCCTCCCAGACCCTCCCACCTCCTGGACAGCATCCATTTTGAAGCTGCATTCTTAGTGAACCGTTCGGGACATCACTAGTCACAAGGAAACAAATGCAATGTCTCAAATGTATCACAGGTACGATCTGTGCTGTCTCATTATAATATCTGAGAAAGAGGCTATATGCCCTCAAAGATTAAACAACAAAACTGTAACAAAAGCAAGTAATGAAAAGCATAATCTCTGCCAGATCTTTTTACAAATTGGAAAATTAATAGTTAATACTTATATTTTCCCCACAATAAACACACCTTACTAAGACATTGATTTCACTTGTTTGAATCAGAATCAGAAATTATTCCAATCTGTAAGAAAAAAAAGAAAAACTTTCCAAGTGATAAGTCTACAATCATTCCCATAGAATTTACTGATAAATAATTTGAAGAGTTTCAAAAACATAATGGAAGCATTTCTGATTCTGATTCAAACAAATTAAACAGAGGCCTGATGGATTGAACAGTATTGTACACTTTTGCTGTCAGTTTATCCATCATTCTTATGTTAAACCTCACAAAGGGAAGGGGTCATATCCTTCAACCAATGCATCACTAGGGCTCTCCTTACTGTCCGTGTGATTTTATTAATTGTTTATAATAAAAAAATGTAAATAATGATAATCACTAGGGCTAAGTTGAATGAGATATATATATATATATATATATACATATATATATATATCATTTATATTTCCTATATATTTCTATCCTTACAGATTATATAGTTTCTAAGTCCCTGGATCTCATCCATGGAAGCAAGCCTTTGTTACAGAAACGCTGGGCAAACAAAATAATGAGTATTTCAGCTTAATAGCATTGCAGATCCTCATTGAGTTGACTAGAGCGGAGTATTTAGGCTTCAGTAAAGTTGTGTAAGCACATGTAAAACTTTCTTAGGTTAGAGCCCATCAGATTGGATTAGTTCTATCCACCCCCTATCCTGTGCCATGTGGCAATCTGAAGCCAAGTAATAACACATAAAGAAATTGGGCAGACACAGACCTCTGAATACGCTGGGCAGTAAATAATCTTCCTTGCAACCCTGTGCTTTATAATTCCATATAAAACTGTCATCAGCTATTTGCGATCAAATAGATCAAGGACATGTACTTAGACATTCTTGGCAAAATAATTTCTTCGGAAATAATTTTCAGAGCATTTAATTAGTTTTAATAAGGGTTAGTCTTGTAAAGAGGTAAGTAAGTTCTACAAGGTGGGCATGGGTGATACAGAATTGGACAGGGTGAGCAAACATCACCTGCATGTGTAAGCACTCACAGAGATGAGAAATCATGTACAATGGTTTGGGCTCTCAAGTTAGCATAGAGGTAAAGTGACTCGCCTAGAGTGTTAGGTACGGTCTGGAGGATGTACTTAAAAGACCAACAAGTAAGGTCATTCCACTCTGTCAAATTATATGTTCATGTCCAGAAATAACATGAAGCAAGTATTTTCAGTGTAAGATGTCCATTAGGTAAGTATTTTGTCTTCTATTTTCATATAAATATCTGTCTGGGGAGAATCTTACTTGATCTGGATAAATCAGTCTTTTTAGAAGGGGCCTGTTGGCTAGCACCTTCACTAAAACATCTGAGTTGAAAAGCCAGATGGGTTTATAGTTTTCAACCCTTGTACCATCCAATCCCTCCTTGAGCAATTACACTATATGTGTCAAGGCCTCCATAATTGCGTAATATATATTTACTAAGTGATGGACCAATTCCTCCATAAAAGGTTTATGATAACTATTCAGACAGATCTGTGTATAGCCAAGAGAAGAAAACTCTTTCCTATTGCCACCTATGAAAACTGGTGTGCTACTGTGGTCCACCATGAAGTATCCCAATGAGTCAGGCTATTAGAATATTGAGATTGTAGCCTTCATTCCATAATCATACCCACACAGTGCTTGGCTAGCAAAGGTGCTATACTGATCCGTTGTGCTCTCTCACTCCTGTAACGCTGTGTTAGCCTTTCACATCTATTATTGCAACACAAAGCAATCTTTTTTTCTTTGCTGAAATTATTTTTAAGGAAATCACCGAATACACTTTATTTCCCGAAACGGCACTGTATTAACCATGTGGCTATAGAAACAATCAGACATCCCTAAATAAGGCTTTATATAACACCAATCTACGGTCTGGCTCTATTTATTAATGCTTGATAATAATTTTTTTATTCCCATTGTAAAATAAACTCCATTTCTTCTTTCCAAGTTTAAAGTCAACATAATAAAATGTGCATAGGCTGTCCCATTAAATAGTCATGTTTCACAGCATGCATTGCGGTATTTGGCAGAGCTCAAGTCGAAAATAATAGGAGCTTTCTAACAGGGCTTACTTATCTCAAAGTACATTTAGAACATGTAATATTAAACCAACCAGCAAATTATTCTTTTCTGTCAAAAAGCTTTTTTTAAATCTTTTTGTTCTAAATTAAGATTAACTAGGATATGGATAAAGTTAAAGGGCCAGTTTGGGCACCATAACAACTTCATTGAAAATAAGTTATTACGGTGCCAGAAGGTCCTTGGTACTGGCTCATCTTTAGGACTTTAAACCGCTCACAAATGCTTTAACCCCAAAGTATGTGTCTCAGCGCTGGACTGCTCTGCCCTCTGTCCTTCTACTATCTGAAATCCTAGATAATGGAAGGCTCGAGCATATCGAAAAAGAGCGTTACTTATTGGTGTAGAGTAGTCAGCAGACTTTCTAAGGCAATCAGTAGCTCCCCATTCATAAAAGTGATATGTACAAATGCAGGAAACTCAGTTTGTAATCCTGGACAAATACATTGGTCCATTTTTCAAATCACGAGTTTGCATAACCATCAATCACCTTTTATATCAGTATACCATGATGTGCCAAATAAAGATTGTGTCTTTGTTTCCACTGGCTTTACTTAATTCCTATATGGAAGCTAAAGAATTGACATTTTTTTAATGGGGCAGTTACAATTTCTTCAATTGTTTATTTTTAGCAAAGAATAGCCAGCATGTGCTACTAGAGTTAGCTGCTGTACTCTCAGGTCACACATCGAGTGATCTCCAAACTTGTTCTGAGAATTCTTTTACTCCAGACTAGCGTATGATAAGACTAGGAACAATCAGTAGCTTGACATCAATGACTTGGGACATGCTTGTCGGTAATGCAATATTTAAGCCCAAAGATAAATGCCTTTTTCATTTAGTGGAAAGGGTAGTTTTGAGAGCATTTGTGATTGACATGTTTTACTGTTTCAAACTCCTAGAGTTTGTCTCAGAGTTATTTTCCCCCCCAAGAATTTATTGTCTTGAACATAAAATATGATTCCACTTGAGCCGAAATTGTCAAACACATCAAATAAAATGAAACATTACCTTAAGAAAAGTTCAATGTGGACAACTGCAGGCGCGATCTTCTCAACCACATCAGCAATGAAGTTAAATTTGTATCTTGGACTGTTGGGATGTTGATGACCTATACTGGCAGAAAAAATTGGTTGTGTTAGTAAGAATATTTTCTGTTCAACGTTTCAAGACACAGACAGGCTTTCTTTAATTACAGTCTTCCAGTTTCCTCTTGGATAAAATGTCTGCATACAAATCTATGCGTGCACATAACCTCAAATGACCTTTTTACTCTAACTATGCAAAATGTTATAACGAAAATTGAATCTTCAGGAATATCACTGCTTTTTTCCACTGAATTTTGCTACAGTACTTGAAGCTCGAAGTGAAATTGTGATGGAAAAGCCTACTAAAGACAGGTTGACATGTCAGGACCATCATTGAAATCCTTTCTAAACGACCGATATGTCAAGGACATCACAAGGTGAACTTGCAGCATCTGTTAATGCGCACTGCAATCAATTTTCGAACGTAGGTGATCATTGATAAGAGCAATCAATCTAAACACTTTAAGTTATATCAGGCTTTCCTGTTCATGTGATTGCTGATGCTACGAATCAGATATACAGATAACATTGTTAGATGACGCCACTGTCATAAGAGCTTAAAACTGACAAAAATAATTAGGAAGCCAGAGACATATCATAGCGATGGTAAATGCACACAGCATCTCCGTGTTCCAAAATAGCAAAGCTTGCATTAATATGTTTCCACAATCAGTAATTTATAGGGATTATGTCCCCACAGTGAATAAGATTTAAAAACCCATATCAGCTATTCTTCCCCATCTGCATGTCTGTAGTGGCTCTGTTCAGCTCCAGATAGTATAGATAGATAGATATATATAGAATTTGCTTCCCTCCAACTGAACAAATCCAACTGGCTATCACAGAATAAGAAATAACCCGGTTTCTCCTCACCAAGCTGAACTCATCACAGAAATTATTTAAAATGACCACTAAAGGCACCCAGACCACTCCATCTTAATGAACGGTCTGGGTGCAGTGGCTCTTTCGTTTTAACCCTGCAATGTAAATCATTGTCATTTTGATGAAACTAATGTTTCCATTCCTGCAAGCCACTAAAGGTGCTTCCACTGTGAGATCCGAGTCAGACTTGATTCTCAATCAAATTATGCTTCTAGAGAGCATTTAATTGCACCATAGCCTCCCAATGCTTCTCTGTGGAGAGACAGAGCAGCCACAGAGAGACTATGTGGTGAGGTAATATACGTAAACCCTCCCAGAGGGTGGGAACACCAACACTGGTAGGGGGAACACTATAGCAGTTGTATTTCTAACGTTAATGCAGTGGTCTCACTGGGAGGGGTGGGGGGGGGCAGAGGGGACATGCCCCCCCTACATCATTACGTGCCCCCTTTGAAAGGGAGGGGAAAAGTGACTTGTTTGGTAGAGGGGGCAAAAAAGACATGGATTCAATCCATGGGGTAGATGCGAGCTGAACTGGCAGTGCGGCTACATCTAAGGTGTGACACATTGCCTACCTGGCTGAGACTGCAGTTTGCAGAGGGATTAAGGGAGCGTGTGTATACACACACATAGATGTTTTATAACTGCCCCCCTACTTTTGTCCTTGGCCCACCATGTGCCCCCACCCCCAAAAAAAAATGAATCCTAGAGACGCCACTGATGTTTGTAGTGTTCCTTTAATGTAAGCATTTGAAATAAACAATGAATAAAAAAAACTGTCAAGTCAAAAACATTCCAAAGACAAGAATTTTCAGCATTTTTACAGAAAGAAAATAAATAATTTTTTCACTTTGGCTGAAGTGCTGTATGTGTCTGGAGTCTGTCTACGAGAAGTTTCTGATTGGTCAATCCACTGGCACAGACTGGCACAGACTGGCACACAGCAGATCAAGAGCTTTTGCATGCTGTTTTTTTCTCTCCATATAATCCCAAAGAAAACATGCAGAAAAATATGTGTATGTTTTCTCTGGGGAATTATCTACTAAATAGGGAAAAAAAATTAAATATTTGAAAGGAGTGTTTCTTTAATGCTACTTTAGGTGACTAATTTAATTTTGAGAAGTGTTGTATTCACTTTGATGCTGCCCCATGAGTTTACAGTATTATAGGAAGTGGAACTAATGCAAATTAAGTTTAGAAACTACAAACATTTTCAAAGTACTGAACAGATGTATATTCCTTGTATTTACGTGGGCAGCCGTGTTGTTAATGCTTTTTATGTCAGATTGTGCAAGTGTACATTTTTTTATACGGATAATAAAATGAGCAATACTATTTATTTTTCAAAATACCATCCCACAAGATTTTTGGAAGAAACCTTTCTAATTACATGGTTGAGTAAACCAAGAAATATTTCACATCTCTTTAAACTTGGCAAAATAATCCAAATATTTACCAGGAACACCTATATAAACATGCAGACCATCCGTGTTACACAGTAATTCTTATAAATAAATAGATACATCTAACAGCATGTCTGTACATTCCTCGTGAGACATGTTAGCAGGGTTCCTCAAAGACCTTTTCTGCTTTTCACTCATCTTCCTAATAGGCATATCACCTTTATAGTTTAGAGACCATTTTTTATGGGTTACAAAATCTAGACATATAAACCATTATATTACTAGAGACTTGGAAACTGTATACGCTAGGCAACTGACGGCTTCATTTTTTTCTTTAATTTTTATTTTCTTTTAAATTATTTTTTTTGAATTTGGAAAATAGCCTTCTCCAACAAAGACACTCCAAGGACGTAGATCATGATATAAGGAAGATAATGAGAGTTTCAGTAGCTAAACCCTGTTATTCTCAGCTAAGGTGTCCAATCTGTATCGAAGCAGATTAAAAGTGATAACAAATTCATACTCATACCGCCAATACTAATTTGATACGCCAGATAATGTGTGTAAAAAGAGGTTAGTAAACTTTTATGCTGTTCAGAATGATGTTGTTAACTAGAAATAATAATACATTGAAATAGATTTAAAGATGCATTTTTTTTTTTGTATTAAAAATTATATAGGAGAATATTCGTTGCCATCAAAACCAGTACTTAAAAGGTTAATCCAAGCACAATGAACACTTCAATGTTTTGAAGTGGTCGTGGTCCCTTGAGTCTGTATGTACAGCATTTTACATTGGACATATGGAGATAAACCCCTCTGCTGCTAGAGGAGTAACTCCACCTAGGGCAGCATTAAAGGGTACCATGATGGTCAGTAATTCCATCACCCCTACCCATGCCACACATGTCCTCTAGTGAAGAGGAGTGATGTCAGCTGTGGATGGTCGGGCGCCGCCTCAGTGCTGAAAAAGTGGTTCCTTTTTGCTTTATTCTTTTTTTAAAAAAATATATATTTGGTGGGTGTGGACCACCATAGCAAGGGTTACTTTGTTTTTATGAAAACAATGTTTTTTGGTTGAAGTGACCTTTTGAATAAAAACTAGTTCTCAAAAATGTAACTGAGGTGAAGCAAAAATGTATTAATAGTTGACTTTTAAAGGGAAACTTTGGGCACCAACACAACTTAAGTATATCCACAGAAAAATGAGGAGGAGTAGGTGACTGCAGTATCTAAAAGGTAATAAGTATTAGCCCAATGCTACCTAAGAGTTAACTCACTGTTTACCTTTAAAAAGTGTGATTGTGTTACAATGAGTGGAAAATAAACATTTGTAAATGTTTGTATGCCTTTAGTAGCACTCTTTGCACCAGCATGAACCACTTTGCATCTGAGCTTTTCTTTTGCCCTTTCAACTTTAACACATTTGATATGATTTCACCTTATTGGAGGTTATGCAACTTTCCATTGTTATTTGTAGTTTTGGCAAGAAAATATCCATTCTACACCGTAAGCCTGCCTCCTTAGCCACATGCCCCTACTCCAGAAAAAGACTTCCTTATCGGTGTACATATACATCTCACACACTGACCGCACTGAGCTGAATTGCCATAAGCAAAGAAGCCTGCTTTAGAAAAAGAGGACACCTTGCAACACCACATTTTGGCACATTAAATCTGATTTGCAAAATTGAAGCTTAAACAGATAATGTTGAAAAATTCTTCAATTCAACTATAGTCACAGCTTAACTTTTTTAGCCTCAGTTTTGTCATTCAAATGTATTCGATTGAAGGAAGCTGCTTTTTTGTATGTTAATAGTGATCTGAGTAATTCATGCACATGGGCAAACATTACACCCCAAGGATGGTAAAATGAATACGATCAGTGTCAGACTGGAAAAAAAATGAGGCCCAAGCATTTCATGGCATAGCAGCCAAAGACATTAAAGAAATGCTCCAAATCATACGCACAGAGAAAAGCTCATCTTAGAGAGCATTCTACAAGCGTCATAAATAGCTTCGAGTTGCCTTGAATTGGAGCCTCATTATTTAAAAAGGCCACTTAGATAACAGTCTTGACTGTTTCAGAGAGACTTTCTGAAAATGAATAAACAATGATTTTCTAGAATACTCCAAACTGAGATGGATAAGGTAAGGTAGTGTACAACACGACTGTGACCTTGACCGAGCCGTGCCCTCATTCTTCTGTTCAAGTACACATTTATGTACACAACATATTTTATATAATGTTTTTCATAAGATGACTTGTCTGTAACTATGGAATCTGCTGGTTCTATATATATATATATATATGTCAAAAAATTATATTAATAAAATATTATCTCTCCAGCTTTTAAACAACAAAAACTGTCATAATATTTTAATAGAACATTTTTAGACTCTTAGTTTGGTTTCTCCTGGAGAAGATGGTTGCAAGCTACGAGTTTATGTGCGCCTCTACCAGCTTTTTGAAATAGTTGCTGTAATTCCACCAATTGTTTATTTTTATCATTTGAGAAATGTTTAAGTTAATATTAAACTCTTGACCCTTTTCACAGTTGAAGGTGTAAATTCCACACACCGTTTTCCATGCTGTTTTTCTTTTTTGTGGAATTTATATTGAGCAGGGAAGAAGACAAATATTCAGTCGAAGCCATGTATTGGTGTGCCACGTTAAATGATGTCTGGAATATAGCATTCCATTAGGCATCGTCACCTGAGGAAAAGTAAGATGTGGACATTCTACTTTTCTAAATGGCAGAATGCTGACTGGCTGGCTAAATAGAGTGATCAAACTGTATTGTGCAGCTTGCTTTTTCAGTAATTTATGAAGATCTTGACCAGAGACCTTGGTTTGAGTTTTCCTGTCCATCCTCACATATATGCCCCATTGGAACTGACCACAGAGCGTATAGATTTGAGAAGATCCTCTTGAAACTGTCTCACATGTTAAAATTAAATAGGAACAACCAATGTCGAGGTACTGTGATGCAATAGTGCAAGGAGCATCATAGGAACACAACAAGGGCACATGCAAGGGTTGTAGGAGAAATGTTTTCATACTGGGGTACTGTTCCTGCACTTTTTATCCCAGTAAAAAATCCAATAGCATTAATAAGGGTGGGGGATGTCAGTACCAGAGAGGTCACAGTTCCTTTTTTGAGCATACTGCCTGCAACAACCACATTTGTATCAGCACATTTTGCTACCATATACTCAAATATATTGTAATCTGTATGTCTTGCAGATTCACTAGTGATGCATATTCTGTCCTTCAAGCAGGACAAGATGTGAAGATGTGAAGGACAAGATGTTGCCCAACCTCTCTTCAAGCAAGGGTAAATGGTAAATGAGCATTCCAAGCACCATTACCACTACATTGTGCTATAGTATTTATGGTGCCAGGAGTGCCCTTGCAACCTTCTAGGGTAAGGTTTAACAACTTACCTGGATACTGGCATTGGTCACCTCCACCATGATAGCCAGAACTTCCATTAGCTCTCCTGAGCTAAATCCTGAAATGCAGGACTAACTCATTGGCAAAGAGTGTCAGTTGATCCCTCTCAGCCAATGAGCTAAGCCCTGCAATGCCAGGCTAACTCTTAGTGGAGGAGTTGTCTATTGAAATTGGGATGTCAGAGCACTTCTGGCACTGTAACTCCTACAGCATGCTGTAATTGTTGTGGTGCTTCTAATATTCTGTAGTGCAGTATTTATCAACATATTCTGTGGTGGTTAGAGGGCTTACTCCAAGCACCATGACAACATCACCAATTTGAAGTGGTCATGGTGTCTGGAGTCTGTGTGTGCAGCATTTTGCTATGAAAAGTTGCAGATACAGAATGTACCCTTCTCTGCCAGCATCATTGGAGCATCATTAGAACACATATCTTAGTTTGGCTAATATCACACAGCTCATGTCCTCCCCCAGACAGTCCTACTTGACATCCCTCCCTGGCAGCTAGTGGTAGTGATGTCAGCATAGCGTTTTTGCAGAAATTTCCATTTTGAAGGACTGCCAAATTTATAGTGATGGAATAATTCTGACAGAAAATCTATCAGATTTAAGAAAATTGCACTAACAAATTACCAAAATAAGGCAAACAAGTGATGGCGATACTTTGATCAAAGTTCTAATAAAGCTTCTAGAAATGATCCCTAGTGTCCCTAGACACCGCTTTCATGGTGGCACTGAACTGTCAAATAGGGGACACAATTATTTTGTTACTCTGTGGTCAGGGGGCTAAGACAGGCACTATAACCATGTCCTATAGAAACCAGGATGGCCAGTTGCCCAACTTCTTAAATAGTTAAACCATTATTAGAGCTACAGATAAGCTGACATAGAAATTATCAGTTGGGCAACAGTTCTACTATTTTTTCATGAGAAATGGAACTACTTAACTACATATCTCAAGAACCCACTTGGTTTGTGAAGTGCCCCCATTAAAAACACATTATATGGTAAGGATTGGCCTGAGTTAGCAAACAGTAGGTTGTCTGTGTGCCAGAAACCAAGATGGCTGAAGATTGGCTGAATTTGGATTTACTTGGTGAAGAGTGGGTGATGGAGTTGGCTGGCTTCATTGTGTGGGTAGATGGTTGGATAGAGATAGAAGAATAATACTAACAAACAATTTGAACATCATTTGTGGGTAGTATTAATTTAATTTATTTGTGTGCTCTCACCATTACTTGTTTATTCGTTTGTTTGTTGCTGTATTTTAGGGTGGTGATTGTGGCCCACCTAGGTGATTGTAGCACCATCGTTTATGTTTGAGAAATTTTCACTATTGTATTGTATTCCGAAGAATAATACTAACTGATGTGTTACAGTTAGTAGCGGACAGTCAGGTAAGGACTATCTAGGGTTTTGGATATACTGTATTAACCTCTAAATTGTCCAATTGGTTCTTACCTTGTTGCTTTTGGATGTGGATTGCATAAGAATAGCATTAAAGAGATTTAAAGAGTCAACATGTTTTGTTTGTTTTTTAAAGGGACACTATAGTCACCTGAACAACTTTAGCTTAATGAAGCAGTTTTGGTGTATAGAACATGCCCCTGCAGCCTCACTGCTCAATCCTCTGCCATTTAGGAGTTAAATCCCTTTGTTTATGAACCCTAGTCACACCTCCCTGCATGTGACTTGCACAGCCTTCCATAAACACTTCCTGTAAAGAGAGCCCTATTTAGGCTTTCCTTATTGCAAGTTCTGTTTAATTAAGATTTTCTTATCCCCTGCTATGTTAATAGCTTGCTAGAACCTGCAAGAGCCTCCTGTATGTGATTAAAGGACCACTATAGTGCCAGGAAAACATACTCGTTTTCCTGGCACTATAGTGCCCTGAGGGTGCCCCCACCCTCAGGGTCCCCCTCCCGCCCGGCTCTGGAAGGGGAAAGGGGTAAAAACTTACCTTTTTCCAGCGCTGGGCGGAGAGCTCTCCTCCTCCTCTCCTCCTCCGTTCCGCCCCGTCGGCTGAATGCGCACGCGCGGCAAGAGCTGCGCGCGCATTCAGCCGGTCACATAGGAAAGCATTTACAATGCTTTCCTATGGACGCTGGCGTGCTCTCACCGTGAAAATCACAGTGAGAAGCACGCAAGCGCCTCTAGTGGCTGTCAATGAGACAGCCACTAGAGGAAATAGGGGAAGGCTTAACCCATTCATAAACATAGCAGTTTCTCTGAGACTGCTATGTTTATGAAAAAATGGGTTAACCCTAGCTGGACCTGGCACCCAGACCACTTCATTAAGCTGAAGTGGTCTGGGTGCCTAGAGTGGTCCTTTAAAGTTCAATTTAGAGATTGAGATACAATTATTTAAGGTAAATTACATCTGTTTGAAAGTGAAACCAGTTTTTTTCATGCAGGCTCTGTCAGTCATAGCCAGGGGAGGTGTGGCTAGGGCTGCATAAACAGAAACAAAGTGATTTAACTCCTAAATGACAGTGAATAGAGCAGTGAAATTGCAGGGGAATGATCCATACACTAAAACTGCTTTAATTAGCTAAAGTAATTTAGGTGACTATAGTGTTCCTTTAAATGTACAAAGGACAGGGCATTAGGACCTAAAACTGGATTACCATTCCACTACCAGTGAGACAGTATTAGTTTAGAAGTTGAGCAGGCCCACACATTGTAAGGATCCATGCGACCGCCAACATTACATTAATTCATTTTATTGAGTGCATTTACAAAACTTTCCCTTGATTTGCAATAACATGTCTTGTGCCTCTCGTGTTTGTATTCATTCGTGTAACGTTTAGGTATACTATTAGTTTTAGCTCTGTGCACACTTAGAGCATAACATAACCATAACAACTTCATTTGAATTAAGTTATTATGGTGCCAGAATGTCACTGGCACTGCCTTACATTTAGGGGTTAGACCACTCATGAACGGTTTAACCCCTTATTCCTGCATTGAGCATTGATCGCTCTGCTTCTGTCCTTCCACTGCTCGCAATCTTGAAAGAAGAGGTCTCAGCCAGCGGCACTGCTAATTGGCTTACATCGTAAGTTGATGCTCTAAGCCAGTGGTTCCAAACCCAGTACTCAAGTACCCCCTATAAGTCCAAGATTTAAGAATTACCCTATTGTGTTTAAAGTGTACTTTTTTTTTCTAAGACACAATTAGGTAATCCCTAAATCCTGGACTATTAAGGGTTACTTGAGGACTGGGTTGGGAGACACTGCTCTAAGCCAATCAGTAGCTCCCCATTCACAAAATGGCTTGAGAAATGTATTTTTATCTAGCCATTTTGTGAATGGAGAGTTACTGATTGGTTTAGAGTATCAGCTTACTCTCTAAGCCAATCAGCAGTGTGTAATAGAATAGAACCAGTAACGTATACCAGACCTTAGAGTGACCAGGCTAACGTAGCAAGGACAGAGAATAGTCAGGAACACGCAAGATCAAGGAAACCAGAAATCAAACTTAGTGAAAATACAAAAACCGAGTCACAGGGAAGGAAAAAAGAGAATAGACAAAACACAGCCAAAGTCAAAACCAGAAATCAGTCAACAGTAAAATGCACTAAAAGGAACAAATAACTTTAAACCACAGCAGGGCAACGATTCAAGCCCTCTGAGCCTATTAATATTGTGGCTTTTTAATTGAGTAGCCATGTCTCCAAAACGTTCCAATTAAACTCATGACGTTGGCGTGCACACGCCGCGTCATAAAAAGGGGTGGAGTTGCATAAGAACTGCTGAGGAGAGAGGGAGGACCATAACAGGGTGCCTCTGTCCAATGCTTCCTCTTCCAAGATTCTGAGCAGCAGAATGACACAGCGCAGAGTGATTGTAATGGAACAGTTTGTGAATGGTTGAACCCCTAAAGGCAAGACAGCCGCGCATGCGCATTAGACCTCCCCATAGGAAAGCATTATTCAGTGCTTTCCTGAGGGGATTCTGGTGATGCTGGAGGTCCTCATGCATTGAGTGAGGACGTCCAGCATTGTTTAAAACACTTTTTGTGTTTTAAGAACCCGGAGATGCCTCTAGTGACTGTCTGATAGACAGCCACTAGAGGAGGACTTAACCCTGCAAGGTAATTATTGCAGTTTATAAAAACTGCAATAATTACACTTGCAGGGTTAAGAGTGATGGGAGTTGGCACCCAGACCAATCCAATGGGCAGAAGTGTTCTGGGTGCCTGGAGTGTCCCTTTAATGTGTTACACTGGTTTTATTATATGTCCTATTAATCGAGTTGTAATAGAGTGTTTGGTGCCAAATAGTAGGGTTTGGTGTTAGACTTTACAATGTAATATATTTTGGGCAATGAAGTATTACAGAATATGCTTGCAATTTTCAAGAGCTGTGAAAATAAACAATTTTTTATATTTTTCATGTAACACAATAATTGCTTGCATTCGTTTATATTTCGATATTTTAGTATACTTTAATAATGTAAATGATATTAAAAATTGCATATTATAGTGTTTCAGACACCATAATTATATATACACATTCTTACTTAAAATTACAATTACGATTAAAAGTACTGGTTGCCAAGAATATGTTTTAGGTATTGACACGAAGCTGTAAACAAACACGTTTTTAAAGTGGTATGACTTATACATATTTGATGACTATGGCCCTACTTACCATGTGGATCTGTAGTCTTTATTGCACACTTAGTTATTAAAATAAATTTGACTTTCTGGGCCAGAGTGATCGTAATGGAACAGTTTGTGAATGGTTGTACCTCTAAAGGGAAGCCAGCACCAGTAACCTTCAGGCACCATAACAATTTCACTCCAATGAAGTTGTTATGGTGCCCTTAGTGTACTTTGAATGCTAGCATGCCCCTTATCTAAACTCTGCATTTTAAACTGCTGTTTTTCAGTAAACACAGGTAAGGACAATTAACTCTAGTCACCCGCTTGGATTCCCTCCAAGTTCGAGTTTTCATGAACAGCAGAGTTGGAATGAGCTGAACTCAGTGGCTGAGGAGTTAACCCCTTAAGGACTGGACTGTTTTTTGAGATGTTGTACATTTGCCACCAGGCCTCTTTTTACACTTTTGTGGTGTTGTGTTTAGCTGTAATTTTCTGCTCTCTCATTTACTGTTCCTATACAAATTATATTATTTTTTTCAGGACCAAAAAGGCTTTCTTTACATACCATTATTTATATAATCTCATGTAATTTAATTTAAAAAAAAATAAGATGAAAAATTGAAAAAAATACATGTTTTTTTACTTTTACTTGAAAAATCTTTTACTAATCTACAAAAGCGAATAAAAAAAACTGCTAAATAGATTCAAAATTTTGTCCTGAGTTTTAAAATACCCAGTGTTTACATGCTTTTTTGCTTTTTTTTTGCAAGTTATAGGGCTATAGGTACAAGTAGGATATTGCGGTTTCAAAACATACATTTTTTCAAATGTATCAATAGTGACATTGTAACACTATTATCTGTCATAAATATCTGAATAACACCCCACTTGTACATTTTTTTTAAAGTAGACAACCCAGGGTATTCAATATGCGTTCATATTTGTTTGTGTGTGAAAAAAGTAAAAAACTAAATTGAATAATTTTGGCCAGTGTTTGTGACTAAGTGGCCACTAAAAAAGACTGGACATACCCCATTTGCAATACCTTGGGTTGTCTTCTTTTGCAAATGGTATGCCATCATGGGGCTAATTCTCATTCCTGGGCTACCATACGCTCTCAAAGGCAACGTAACCAACCTGGCCATTTTCAATGTAAAAATATTTGACCCATATATTTGACCCTGTGACTTTCAAAAATGCTATAAAATCTGTACATGGGGGGTACTGCTATACTCGGGAGACTTTGCTGAACACAAATATTAGTGTTTCAAAACAGGAAAACGTATCACAACAATTATATCATCAGTAAGTGCTGTTTGTGTGTGAAAAATGCGAAAAAAGTCATTTCACTGATATGTTTTACTGTTTTGAATCACTAATATTTGTGTTCAGCGAAGTCTCCCGATTAAAACGGTACCCCCCATGTACAGGTTTTAGGATGTCATAGAAAGTTACAGGGTAAAATACAGTGCTAGCAAATTAAGTTCTCTGGACTTTTGGCCTGGGTTGGCAGGCAGGTCCCTCAAATTGCAATTAATAAAATTACTTAATTATGTAAAAATATTACATAAATACACACATAGAATTTAAATATATATGCATATTTATATATTTGAAGTCTACGTGTATATTTATATAATTATTTATGTCATTTTGTATATGGACATGTGTATATTTCGTATTATTTTTATTTATTTATTTATATATACATAGATATATATACAATTTCATTCTAAGTGTATTTTGATATAAATATATATATTTTAATATCAAAATACAATTAGAATAAAATTGCATATAGATATATAATTTTTTTTAATTTTTATCATTATTTTAAATTTTTTCAATTTAATTTAATCTACTTATTATTTGTATTTTATAATAATATATATATACAATATATATAGTTATTATATATATACGTGTGTAATTTAATTATAAGTGTATTTTTATATTAATATATGTACATATTAATATAAAAATACACTTAGTATGACATTATATATATATATATATGTCTATATATCATATATATATATATACACATATATAATTATTATTTTTTTTTTATTAACATTGACTTTAATTTTTTTTATGATTTTACACTAGCAGGGAGACTGCCTGTCAGCACAGACAGTCCCCCTGCAGGCAGACTGTTGAGTGATCACATGGCCACAGAGGTCCTAATCCGCCATGGGTAGACTGTCTGGGCTGCAGGCAGTCTCCCCACACACCGGACAACACCGATCGCTGCCGGGGGAATGACAGCGATCGGGTAAGTACATAAGACAGTTAGGACGGTTCAAGACCGTCACCGGTCGGCAATGGAAAAATGCAGATGACGGTTCTGAACCATCCTCGGTCGTTAAGGGGTTAAAGGGACTCTCCAGTGCCAGGAAAACAATCCGTTTTCCTGGCACTGCAGGTCCCCTCTCCCTCCCACCTCCCATCCCCGGTTGCTGAAGGGGTGAAAACCCCTTTCAGTCACTTACCAGAGGCTGCGACATTTCCCACGTCTCTGCTTCTTCCTCCGTCGCCGCTCCTCCCCTTCATTATGTCAGCTGGCGGGGGAGACTGAACCCGCCCGCCGACTGGGGAGACCTAATGCGATGACTGTTACGATGAATGCATGCGCATTAGACCTCTCCATAGGAAAGCATTGAAAATACTTTTCAATGCTTTCCTATGGGGATTTTAGCGACGCTGGAGGTCATCACACAGCTATGTGCTATGGACCAGGAAGTGCCCTCTAGTGGCTATCTTGTAGACAGCCTCTAGGGGAGGACTTAACCCTGCAAGGTAATTATTGCAGTTTATGAAAACTGCAATAATTACAGTTGCAGGGTTAAGGGTAGTGGCAGTTGGCACCCAGACCACTTGAAAAAAATGAGAAAAAAACAGGTAAGAGGTTAAAATATTTAAAACTGCATTAAAGTATTCATTGCAGAACAAATAAATATGGTAATAAAAATAGTGAAAGATTTTGTGAAGACACACAACTGACTCATGCATGTCATACGTACTAATATAATGAAAACTTTATATTTATTTTAATTTTTTTGTAAAACATAAGCTGATTAGAACGTGTAGGTCAGTCAATGGCACAGCCACATAAATGTATTGATAATATTTACATGGTTATTTACTAAAATGAGAATTCAAGGTGAATTTTCATTTCACTTAAGGTCAAAGTGGCCAAACTGGACACCACATTCTCTAAGTTATCTATTCTTTCAGTTTAGCTATTCTGGCCTTAAATTTGAAATTCACTTTGCATTGTTATTTCAGGAAATAACCCTGTTAGTGAAAAAAGAAAAACAATCTGTTGCACATTCCTTCATTTCTATTACAATAAAAACCTAGAGAATACAATTACAAAAATATGTAGACACATTAATCCTTGAAGAGTCAAAACGTCATCTCTACAAGGTCTGCAGAACCCAGTTTCAATGCTGCACTGCCCTCTACAGTGGGCACAAGGAATTGCACATGAACTGAATCTCAGAAACTGGGAAAAGTGATCTCCTGTCTAACATTATTTTCATTTGTGGTGAATAGTTTATGTTTACAAAAATGCAGACATGACAGTAATACTGGCCCAATGAAAAGTACAAATGTCCCGCACACTATCAGAAGGGTTCGTCATTCATTTGGAATGTGAATCTTTTACACATCTCAGCATTTCATTGTAATCCTTTACCACAATATCCGAGACAGACATGTAAAATAAAAATTGTAATAAATTGATGCTAAACAATTACTACTTTTTGCATTTATCATTGGTAGTAATTTATTAGTCAAATAGGAAAAATTGTTAGCAAATGTCATAACTGCACACGTGTGATCAGAAATGGAAATAATTTAACACATCAGTTGATCTCTCATTAAAATGCATCAATTAACATTTTCCAATGGCATATTCCTTACAAGTTCTATATTCTTAGCGCAATTTCCTTATGTCCGTACAAATACAGCACATATAAGCAATGATAATTATTGCAACTATTTTCATATATCATTTATTTTTTTACGATGACTGTTACAATCTATTTTACCATATCTGTATCAGTGGTCACCCAATTGTAGCTCAATGCTGTGTTTTACTAGTTAAGCATTTAAAAAAAAAAAACACCTGGAAGTATTTCCATTCATTCCCTCTTACCCGATTCACAGGCTCCTTTCTGCACCTGTACTATGGGGGAATGTCCTTGTTGCAGTGCCCGGCGACTCGCCACCTTCATTTGGCACAAGTTGTCATATGTCTGCCCATCATTGGCGCACACTTTGTAGTTGTGCTTACACTGGCATGTTCCCTTGATGCCTCTCTTTCCGGGTGGCGGTTTACACTGCAAACTGTCCCCACATGGTGGGTCTATGTCACGTCCACACAAGTCACCTTCTCCTGCAGCGCAGATCAAACAGCAGTTGCAGCGATCTGGAACATACCCGCTAGGGCAAATTGGGCTCGGACATCTTGAAACATCGCAGCGAGACGGGCATGCAGACAATGCCGGGCAAAGAACTAAGAGGAGCAGTAGAAGCAGTGAGGGGCAGACACATAACTTCATGGTGGTGGATTATCTTCTAAGCAGGAGAGAGAAGAACCTATTAACAGTGGGAGATAGTTATAGTTTTCTAAAGGTCGTTTAATGAAGATATGCCTTCACATTAACCATCCAATCTTATGTTCAGATAATTAAACATGACAGAGTTTATCTACAGTGCCCTTCTGCCTACAGCAATCAGAGAATTGGGTCCGTATGGAGTGTGGTGCCTCGTTGACTGCTACACCATACGAGTGAAAAATAAAGTGATGCCTGAGTTTCCTTGTTAGTATTTAACAGTTCTGTGTGGATATGTGAGCTGAGAACACTCTATGGGCTGGTTAGTTATGCTTGGATTGTCACCAGGTTCAGCCTATGCTAGGAGGGGTTTTTTCCCATCACACCCTCTCTTCTGCTAAGTGCTTTTGAGACAGAAAGTCAGTGGCATTCCAGTGTGTGTGCCAAAAAATGTGCTCACTCCAGTCATCAGCACTCTGTGCCTGACTGCAGCGTTTTAAGAAATTCTATTTACGTTTTTCTTTCTACTTGGTAACAGGAGATAAAAAGTAAATCACAGAAACTTTTCATCGCTAATTATTATTAATATTAAAGTGAAAGGCATGCTGTCTTGCAGCGTAGCAGATGATCATTAGCATAACAGAAATACTACATACTCAGAAAAGCTGGACACACGTGCTTTACTCAAAATTATACATTTTTCTGATGTTACATCATGTAACATATCTGCCAAGAGTACCAGATCTCTACGGATAGTCCCTGAGTTTGTTTCAGGTTTTCAGCCACGTACAATTTCTCATGTTTAGAAATATAAGAAAATATTTTACTTAATTCACATTTTCACAGGGATTAATCAAAAGGACCACTATAGTCACCCAGACCACATCAGCTCAATGAAGTGGTCTGGGTGTCAGGTCCCCCAGGTTTTAACACTTCAGATGTAAACATAGCAGTTTCAGAGAAACTGCTATGTTTACTTTGCAGGATTAATCCAGCCTCTAGCGGCTGTCTTCCTGACAGCCACTAGAGGCGCTTATGTGACGCTGGATGCAAAAATCGCATTCAGCGTGCAGAACGTCCATAGGAAAGCATTTAGAAATGCTTCCCTATGGGCGTTTTTATTGCGCATTCCTCCACACTTGCGCATGCGCATTCCTCCACACTTGGGAGCTGACGTCGGAGTGGGAAGAGTGGTCACCAGTGCTGAGGGAGCCCGGTGCTGGATTAAAGTAAGTAGCCGAATGAGTTTTTACCCCTTCAGCCCAGCGGGAGGGGGACCCTGAGGGTGGGGGGAACCTAAGGGTTGTATAGTGTCAGGAAAACGAGTTTGTTTTCCTGACACTATAGTGGTCCTTTAAGTATAATATACTTGAGCTTTATTTGACATTGGCAACCAATCTTGTTGTACATGCTTAGAAGTTCTTCACATGCAATTTACCTCTATTGCATCTTAAAAATCTGTAGCGATCTCCAATGTCCAATGACTATATGTACCAAAAAAATTCCAAAAAACCCCCCAGTAAAATAGGCGCTGGCCAATATCTTATAAAATATAAAAAGACAATTATTTATATTTTAAAAGAAAGCAGCACCTTAAAAGTGTGATAGCTCATAAAAGTACACTCTAAATTTAATCAAAAATAAAAAGAATCTTGCATAAAGTGCCAATAAAGTGTGTTTTTTTGCACAGTGCCCTTGTAATGTTTGAACTTGTAGGAATGTGATTTATCATTTAAAAAAAATAATTCTGATTTAAAGTCACAGCTAACCTTTATTGTTTTTGAAGACAATTGAGGTCCCGTGTGCACAGCCCAGGCAGTAAGGAAGTGACCGCAGGCACCCCATCCACTACAAGGCAGGACAACTGAGGAGCAGCTACTGGGATCCACATAGTAATGAAAGGTTATTCACCTACAGGCTTGGACAAGCCATTACACTCAGCAACTTCACTTAATCCAGGACTTTCCTCAACAGCAGGAGTGGTGAGATCCATCCAATACCATCCACCAGTTGATGCTTATTTTTGCTACTTTTAGTGTGTGCACACTGGGACTGTACATTTTTTCACATTTTGTCATTATTTTTTGTTCAACATTTTTTCTGCCAAATAAACAACTTTTGTTGATTATACACAGGGCTCTCATCCATACAGTGTTGATTTACACTATTCCAACTGACACAGTGTCAGATTCGATTGGGGATATTTTATTGATTTAACTTGTGATGTTCACGTATATCACCTAGGTGTTACATGGTTGTGATCATATAGGTAATTACGCTTGCAGGGTTAAGGGTGATGGGAGTTGGCACCCAGACAACTCCAATGGAGAGAAGTGGTCTGGGTGCCTGGAGTGTCCCTTTAACGTGTTACACTGATTTTAATATATGTCCTGTTAATCGAGTTGTAATAGAGTGTTTGGTGCCAAATAGTGGGGTTTGGTCTTAGACTTTACAATGAAATATATTTTGGGCAGTGAAGTATTACAGAATATGCTTGCAATTAATGTTTACAACACTTTACAGGAGCTGTGAAAATAAAAAATTTTTTATATTTTTTTCATGTAACACAATAGTTGCTTGCGTTCGTTTATATTTTGTTTTCTTTATTTTAGTATACTTTATTAAAAAATTAAAATAATATTAAAAATGGCATATTATAGTGTTTCAGACACCATAATTATATATATATTCCTACATAAAATTACAAGTACAATTAAAAGCACTGGTTGCCAAGAATAGGTTTTAGTGATTGACACAAAGCTGTAAACAAACACATATGTTTTTAAAGTGGTATGACGTATACATATCTGATCACTATGGCCCTATTTACCATGTGGATCTGTAGTCTTTATTGCACACTTAGTTATTAAAATGAATGCAAATTTCTGTCAATTACCATCAATTCCAAATCAGGAGCACGTATAGCAAAGGTATTGTGATGACTGTGATCAAAGATTCAGCTTAGATAAGCAAAATTTTACAATATAAAAAGTCTTCAATGTGAATTTTGTTAAGGCTTATTTTTTTAGACCATTGTCTGCAACTGTGGTACTACCTTTCGTTTATATTGGTTTATTAGTTTTGTAATCCTTAGGTGCAGAGCAGTCCAGAAAAAAAAATGCAATTGTTCCAAAAAAACCTGACAACGTGCATCAAAACTTAATTTTCCATAGGTAAAAAAATATAATGTCCATTTTTAGTTCTATTCATTATACCACAATCAGACACTACATATGATTTCCACACAGTTTAAAAGCCTGTCCAAATTGGAGCTGGAGGACACTCCGTTGGGGACAGATTAATTCTCTTCATATTAAACTCCATAGCAAAAGTCCTGGCTTTCTGATAAAAGTAAAGCGATTTTTCTCTATCGATTAAGTAGTTATGGTAAATAACAGCAAGCCTGGTGTAAAGTTTCAGCTGAGTCTTTTTGTTGCCCAAATCCACGGCTGCTGCAAGTGCAAGATTATAATATCCGGTGGCATCAAAAGGATCCTAAAATAAATGAGATATATACATATCAATATATATATCAATAAAGCCAAACTTATTGAGACTGAAACCCAAGATTTAATATGCACAAAGTGGAGGACATTCGCTAGTATGTCCATCCTTAGTGCCTCCAGACCAGGTTGAACTATTCCCAACATATCAATAATCATGAAGAAATTTGGACCAGGCACATATAGAAAGTGTTTAGGAAGATTTTATTATTGGAAAATAATTTATAAGGAAAACCATACCATATAGTGACAAAATGTGTCACTATAGAACAGGGGTAGGCAACCTTTGTTACTCCAGATGTTGTGGAATGCATCACCTCTGCTGCTTTGCCAGCATTATGGCTGAAAGAGCATTATAAAAAGAGCCCACAAGACCTCACGTGCCGAATGTTGTCTACCCTTGATATATATAGTGTTCAGTGGCGGATTCAGGGGGGGGGCAATGGGGCAATTGCCCCCCCCGAGAAATCCGCCGGTCTCCCTCTCCCTCCCCTGCTAGCACATGCAGGTGCTAGCCCTGCAATGTGCCTGCGGACCGGGGGGGAGATCAGAAATCTCCCTCCCCGGTCCACAGGCACTGTGCTGGCGGCCGGCGGGGGAGGGAGAGGGAGGAGAGAGAGGACCCGGAAGCTAAGGCTGCAGCTCCTCCGGGTCCTCCTCTCGCGAGATTTGGAGCGTTGCCGCGGTTACCACGGCAACGCTCCAAATCTCGCGAGAGTGAACTCTAGCCCGGGAGTGCGGGCTAGAGTTCACTCTCCCCACTGGGACCACCAATGAATCCCCCACCGGACCACCAGGGAACGAAATATGTCCCCCCTCCTCCCCAGTAAAGGTAAGAAGGGAGGGGGGACATACGATATTTATTTTAATTAAATTAAATTAAAAATATATATATTATAAAAAAAAAAGCCACACACATACATTGCCCCCAATACTGCCCCCCCATTCACACAAACTGCCCCCCATTCACACAAACTGCCCCCCATTCACACAAACTGCCCCCACACACACACTGCCCCCCCATACACACACAACCTACACAAACCCCATCTAACTGCCCCTATACACACAAACTGCCCACATAATACACACAAACTCCCATACACACAAACTGCCCTATACACACAAACTGCCCCTATACACACAAACTGCCCCTCATACACACGCACTGCCCCCACATACACACACTGCTCCCCATACACACACACTGCCCCCACACACAACTGCCCCCACACATACATACACACACTGCCCCCCATACACACACACTGCAACTGTTACACACACATACTGTCCCACACATACACTGCATCCCTGACATACACTGCCGCCCTCACTCACACACTACAACCTTCACACACACACTGCACCCCTTACACATTGCACCACTCACACACACCACTGCTCCTATGCCCTACTACAGCCCCATTTCCCAGCAGATCTCAGGTAAGTTGTCAAACTGTTCTTAAATGGTTTGACTACTTACTGTGGGAGGGGGTCCTGGCACTACTGACACCATAACTACTACACTGAGCTGTAGTGGTTATTGTGTCTGGATTATTTCTTTAAATAATCTACAAGTGCCCCTCCCGAGATCAGGCTCTGGATCCGCCACTGATACAGTTGTAATCGAATTTTTTCAGCCCCCATGGAAAATCAGGTTTATTGTCACAACTCACAGACTTTCAGCTGTTTGCAATGAACAAATTAAACAAAATAAATTGAAATAGCTCAACACAACAAATGCCTCAACTGGTTTCTCCAAATTCAACTATAAATGCAACTTATAATGATTTCTTAAGTTTCAAAACGATTCAACCCTCTCAATAGAATCCCTCACAACAGCTTAAATGTGCAAAGCAGCTGTTGTCTCAAGCATACCTTATCCAACTAATCAATGGCTTCATTAGTTTCATTAGTTTGCACCCAAGAATATTACTGAACTGGAGGCCATTGCTAATGAGCAATGGACTAAGATTCCTCAGAATGCTACAAGAAGATGGTGTCTGGCTAAGCATCTTGATGCAGCAAATAATAACAGCAAAGGGGTGCTCCATGAAGTACTAAAGATGCTTACCATGAAGGGGTTGAATCATTTTGAGATAAGTCCAGTGGGCAACTTTATCGTTAGCCTGGATTCCAAGTGTCCAAATGTAATAACGTAAGTAGAAAGCTTGGAACAATGCGGTCATGTAATATAATCAGCTGATATATGTACAGTACCTTAAGTTTATAAAAAATAATGTCCCCTAGGATTAAATAAACTTTCATGTAGTATACTCCTTCCTCTTCGAGTTCCAGTGGAGATGAGCAGAGTGAGAGAGCTTTCAAGTAAAAATGTTCTGCCAATTCACATTGACCCAAATGGCTGTATATCACAGCTAATCGGTGGTAAGCCACTCGTTCATTCAGCTGATCCTCTAGAATGAAAAACAATTACAAAAAGAAAAGCAGGAATCTGTTAATGATATGTTTAGAAAATGTGCAAAGCCTATCTCTCTCTGTATATAAATATGGATTTAAAAATGGACATAAGAATATTTTGTTTTAGCTCCCCACTCCAGCACACTGGTTTTGAAATCGGGAAAACATAGCTAGAGTATACAGTGATGATTGCCAACTTTAATTTGAAGCTAGTTACAACTATAAACTATGAAAGGTACAGGATGACTGTTTCTTTGCCAAGTACGTCATTACACAAATTCATACACAAAAGAGAGAAATACAATTTCTAGAGGTATGTGTCACAGCGCCCGCAAAGCCGCAATCTGACCCAAGAGTGGTCTCTTGCCCAGAAGGCACACTTCATTGAGGCGTGTTCCCACGAGGTTGTGGGAATGCCACCAATGGCTTTACTTACCTAAGCAGAGGCAGAGTCTGCTAGTATTTTAGATGCCGGATGCTGCAAGCATACCTTATGCACCATTCTACATATTTTGGAGCCGTCCCATCATGTATTCTCCTGGTTTGTGATGCTCGGGAACATTCGTGTGACATAACGCATGCACATTCCGACACAGTTTGGCCAATCAGAGCCCTTCTGTGTATATTTAAACCTTACCTGGTCAGTTCTCATTGCCCTGTCGTATTTTACAGTTTGGTTATCCGAGACCGTGTTTATTCTTTTTATTCCTGTTTATTTTGACCTTGGCTTGTTATCTGGCTATTCTGACTTCTGTATCTCTTGATCTTTGGCTTGTCTAACCGTTTTCGTACTCTGTTTCCATGACCTTGGCCTGTCCTGTACTATTCTTTATACATAGTGTTAAATCCGGCCATTCTAAGGTCCAGTAATACGTTTTAGGGTTGTCTTTGCTTTTTCATTTGTTTCTTAAGTTTTGTGTGTTGGGAATAACGTTATTCCTGACAGAATGTAAAATATGTATTTGGAGCCTGTCCCTCAACATACAAAGCAGAGAAGAGTCAGTAGAGTTCAAATCCTAATGAGAGTAAATTGATTAATGATACAATCAAACCATTAGATGCACTAAATTCAAACGTGTGGCACATTTTTAAAGAGATATTAACACTTTGGTGAGTTCTGTGGCACATTACATTGCAGACCGCAGATCATTTGTAGTTGTAAGGAAAACTGAAACAAATCAAACCCCACTAGACTATAGGCTATGGAATATCTCACAGAGTAAAAATGAGTGCATGACCACAAAGATTTACCACAAGATCCAATCCACCACTGAGCCTTAAAGGGTTACTCCAATTAACATAACCACTACAGCCTGCTGTACTGCTGAAGATGACAGGAGTACCCAGTTCCCAATTACCTGTTAATGGGGCAAACCATTTAGCAATGGGAGCCACAAAAGCTGGCAGCCGTGACCATCCCTATTCATTGGCTGTGAGCATCAGCTGACTACTCTCAGCTAATGACTGACATTCTGTGAAATGAAAGTTGCACAGAATTGACATTATTCCAAATAATAATTTAAAATTTGAGGTAAGTAACCTGTGTTATTAGAAACATCAATAGTATGTATTTGTATTGTATTAATATTTTAATCACTCTTTCGTATAACTTGAGCATTCTTGTTTTCTTCTAATACGTTATTTTTGTCACAGCGTTATTCATAATGTTTTATTAAAGAAGTTTACATTTTTGACATGTGACATGTTGTTAACATGTTTAAGAATGCATAGCTTGTTTCCTACAGCATCCATGTCTTTAGATTACATTACTTAATGTATGTTTATTATATTAAGGAAACAGGGAGAATGAACTTTACCGAAAAGCACACTAAGTGCCAGAGATATTTTTGCATGTTCCAGACATTCCTCATAATGTTTCATGTTGATCAATAAGTCTGTCAGCTTGTTGCACAACCGAAGCTCTGCCTTGACATTTTCTGTCTTCACCGCAAGAGGAAGAGCACAGTCCTAAAATGTTCATGACAAAAATGTAAATTTGAGTTCAAATGTTCCGCTCTGATTGTCTGAAATATGTATTATTTACAAGGGCTACAACATTTTCTGTAGAAGTATACTGTGCACAAGATTTGTGTACAGCAGAAGAAATTGTTTCAATCGCCCCCCTCTCTCTTTGTTAATCAACAATTTTATGCTAACTAAATTCTGACTCATGATGTTACATAGCACAATGAGGTAATGACCTCCAGACAACTATTCCACGAAAATGCTGAATGAGAGCAGTCTCAAACATGGGTATTTGTGCTTTCCACTTGGAGACCAGTAGGAAGATCCCAACCCGATTGGGATGGATTTTTCCTGATACATCTAAAATCTGTTGAAGATGAAAGTCCCAAAGAGCACCATCCTACATATTTTGGAGCTGTCCCATCATAAAACCCCTCTGGACATTTTTTTTCGTACTTGGTCTCACAGGTCTTTAACCAGACACTCCCACGTACTCCTCGTAGACATGCTTTCACCATCTATCTAATGACCCAGCAAGCACTTAATTCTGCTTGTCTTTGCTGCTGGAAAGACGATTATCGCCAAGCATGGTAAGACCACAACTGTGCCACCATCTCCAATATTGCTCACCTCGCTACTAACTACACGAAACTTTGAGAAAATTGCTTATAAACTGCAAGATGCCTGTTCCCATTTTCAAAACGTTTGGTCACCTTGGGATGCTCTCTACAAGCAAGCGCCTCCACCAGTAACAACACCAAGCATGGGCCTCACCATGGCCTTGAACCCCTTCCCATTGTCTCTCTTCCTTCCTTAGTTTACTCCGTTTTGTTGTATAGGATATATAAATTGCATAAAATGGTAAATGCACTTTAAAAGTGTCCAATGGTGAAAAAATGTGCTTATATATAGATTGTCCAATCTCTTGCTATGTATTCCTGTGTTAAGTACCATTTTTTTATCCACTCAATATTAATTATACATTGGGAAAAAAATTGGTTCAGTCGATCCATTTTTTCCAAAACTGAAATTTAGCTCAGGACCTCTGACACTTAATCATTTGTCAGTTCAGTACGGCCGAATATTGTCAGTGAAAAATATTCAGGAAAACGATGAATAAAAGAGGATGGGAAAATGAGCCAGTCGGTGTACTGCAAAATATGTACATAATACTTGCTATGTAAACCAAATGGTATGAAAATCACCTATTATTGTACTGCAAAATATATACATACTATTAATTTTATGTATATTTTTTGCCATACACTGAAAATCGCCTATTATTGTACTGCAAAATATATACATACTATTAATTTTATGTATATTTTTTGCCATACACTGAAAATCGCCTATTATTGTACTGCAAAATATATACATAGTATTCATTTTATGTATACTTTTTGCCATACACTAATTGGCCCAATTTTGGCCCTTTGGGTTCATCTGATTCATTTTCCGAATCCTTTTTTGTAAACAAAATTCTCATGAGCCCAACCGACATGTGGCCTAAATTAATCCACCTTGAAAAAAACAATATTTTCAACAGAACTGGTTCAGCAGAAACAGATTTTCTCGCTGTGCACAAGTCTATTGGTTAATGGAAAAATGACATTTTCATCATATGCATTAATACTATTTTGACAGCACTGTACAGACAATTCTACCAGCTGACATTTCATGTTGTTGCTTAGTCTGTTGATAATTATTTCCAAATACCTAACTCAGTCCTGTTTGCAATATATTGCTGTTTATTCCTCATCTAATAAATGCATAACATTGCATTTATCAGTATGTAATTCAACATATTCACCCGATCGACTAACTCAGCTAAATAGCAGTAACATTGGAATTCTGCTCATACTGCATTACTATATTTAGCTTTCATCTTCAGATAGTGACGGAACTTTCAATGCCCATTAATAAGTCATTAGTGAGCAAATTAAAAAGAAATGGACACAGGGCATAACCCTGACGTAAAGTCGAAATGCGTTTTCAAAATTTAAAAGTACTTATATGTTGTTGCGGTAGTGTATATATCATTTATGCTGTTTTTTACATACTGTTTTTGTATGTCTCAATTTTTTTTTTTTTAATATTTTTTACTTAATTTTTTAGATCTACTCCAAGCCTCCCTGTAGATGAATAATTGTAGCCAGTACTGGCACCCAGAAGCTGTTGATACAGACCCCGGTACCGGGAACGGCTCTACACTTATTCCTGCGTGCTATGTAATTCCCATCTATGTGTGAATATCCATCTTTTAGCATATTGTCAAGTATATAATTTGTATTCATCACTGTGTGTTGTATGTGATTGATTGTTTATCAACTATAGTTTTCATTTATTTATAACTCTGGAGTACTCTATTACTTTTGTCCAACTAGAAAATGTTTCAAAACTACTCTCTTCATTTTTTAATAAGCCAGTTTTTAGTCATTAACACATTTTCATAATATCCCAAATAGGATAATATATCTGTGAAACCCCCAGTTAATTTGGATGACAGATCAAATGAGCTGAAATAACAGGAATAATTTGTCAAGGGTGAGGATTACATTGATGAGGATTGAAGGGAAATATACCTATTCCCTTGATTGTTTTCAAATGTTCTCCATAATTATATATGTTTTCTAATAAGACTAAATTCTACTTTCTGCCATGGAATGTACTTTACCCTGTAGAATGATACTGCCTTTTCTCTATCATTTGCTCCATTGAAGAATATATCTCCAGCAGCTTCAAATAACTCCATTCCCAAGTTTGGATCCCCGGTGGACAAAGCCACGTTCTGGGCAACCTGCGAAGAAAGTAATATATGTATTTAAAGTAAAGACCTTTTCAACCTCATTGCATGACTTTCATTCCGCTGTTGTGGGGCTGAATAATAAACAATGTGTGTGAGAATATAGTTTTCATTCACTGTAGCATTCTGTGTAGCGCCATACGCAAAAGGATGGATTTTACATCACGTACCGCACAGTGAAAAAGTGGAATTAGGATTAATATCAAGTTTTATTATTACATAGACTTGAGAAAGTCTCCAGTTGAGACTGAAATGTTAATACGCTGTGATTGTCTGCTTTTGGAGTTATTAGAGCCTTGAAAAGTTAGTTTTCAAATTACAGAGAGTGTGGTTCTCCTTGTTTGACATAAGTACGGCTGGTTGCTGCACCATGGTAAGCACAGATTAGCTAAACCGTGTGCTCGGTTCTTGGGACTAATTATTATTACTTGGGTAGAAATTATGGAAACTCGTATCTCTTCTCTGAATGATAGCAGTTATACGCTTGCCTAATTAGATAAACAGCTGTGGTTTTTTAGGAGTAAATGCACAGTCTTCTGATTAGGTGGTTATATGACCTGTCCACCTTACAGGTGTAGCCATATTTGCATGCATTGGCCAAGTGACCTGAATGAAAGCCAGCATCTAGATCAACCAGTGAGCATTTATGAAGAAAGTGGCTTTCACGTGAGGTTTGCATCATGTGCAGAACCATTGAGGGAAGAACAAACAAATATTTGCAGGTGAAAAGGAAAAACTATTTTACAGAGGGTGCACGCATTCCCCGTTAAGGTTTGTCATTTGTAACATGTACATTTTTTTAAAGGGGAACGGTCACGTCTCTGGAAATGACAATCACTTGCAATGTGTTAACATTTTTACATAGTGAGAGATGCAACTGATTTATAAGTGGACAAGTGTTCTGTAAATATATATGGTGTCAGAAGAGCAGACATTAGGTGTTAGAGTAGGACCTGCCAAAGATGGGGTACATTGACGTTGTGCAAGGCTTATGCAATGCATGATCATATAATGTTACTAAACCCCCATTATTTTTGCCCATATTTGGTGTTTTAAAAAAAATCCAAATACAATCTGTGAACTTTGAAGTTAGTGGATGAGCGAGTGCACTGAAGCTTGTGTATTGTATGAATTGGCCCCAGCAGCACCCCATTTATGCATGTTCAGGTAAGTGCAGCCCCCTGTTTTCATATACATGGTCTGTGTACATAATGGTGTGTTTTTATTTTATTCTTGAATACCATAGTGTAGATCTGTTGTATGTTTGAGTGTGCTTCTACAAATTGTTTAGGATTTCTTTTGAACACATGTTTGTGTCCTGGCTACTTGGGATGCTCATGTAAATATGCAGGATCACACTGAGATTTGTTTAGGAGTTGCAAATATTTAGATGGAGGACCAAGTTTGTGATGACTCTACAGTGCCCTCTGCTGGTCAAACTGAAACACATTGATTTGTATAATTTCAATATGCAAATAAGGAAATAAGGAATTTGCAACAACTAACCTATTTTACCATATGTTAGAAAGTTGTGATTGTGTCATTATGGTCTGTTCTTTAAGTTATGTATGTTTGTTTATATTTATATGGTTTTTACCAAATGTTTAAGGACAAGTCACCAAATTAGGAACTGTGTTTCCTGTCTGGTTGGCTCAGGGATTCCAGTAGCAGAGTTTTCAGGGCTGCTACCTGGCTTCACTATTCCCTGGTGTCAGGGTCCCGCGGGCGGCTGCGAGGGGAGGCTGCAGTCCGCTCGCGGCACTCACCCTCCAGCCGTCTGCGGTCCCCCTTCAGCCGTGTGCTCGGCGGGCGGCACCCTCTCTCCCACGGGTGCCGTCCGCCTCTTCCTCTGTGTCTCCCAGCGGCAGCATGCATGACGCTGCACGCTGGGAGACCGCCCACTTTAACCAACGCCGGGGTCAGTCACCTGACCCGGCGTTAAAGGCACAGTGCCTCAATCACAGTGGGAGGTTTAGATATCTCCCACGTGTGATTGTTAATTCTGATTGGAAATTATCCAATCAGAATTAACCTTTGGATTTATATACTTACCTTTCCTGTTCCTCTTCGCCCTGTTGTGGTCTTTGCTTGTTAGTATTGATTCTGAACTTGTGTTTCTGGTTACGTACTCTCTGGCTTGTTTATCCGACTTTGTGACTTTCTCCTACCCTTTGACCTCGGCTTGTCTATCGTTATTCTGTCTTCTGGTTCCCCTTACTCGGCTTGTTTCCTCACTATTCTTTGTGTGCTTAGCCCGGCCACTCTAAGGTCCGGTACGGCACTTTGTGTGTGTGTGTGTTGGCGTGTTTGGTTCCCCGAATCGTGACACCTGGTCAGAGACATTTTAAGAAAGAACTGGCCTGACAGCTACAAAATGTGTTTGTAAAGACGGTGGCAAAAGCTAGGCATGTCAGCCGCCATGCCTTGGTAAAGGCAGTAGTTGTTGGCGGCAAAGGTAGAGGGGTCGATACCTGCCTCAGAGAAGGAGAACAGGCAGAGGAATTGATATCTGCCTGGGAGAAGGAGGAAAGGCAGAGGGGTCCACACCTGCCTAGAAGAAGGACAGGTAGAGAGGTTGATTCTTGCCTCAGAGAAGGAGAACAGGCAGAGGGATTGATATCTGCCTGGGAGAAGGAGGAAAGGCATAGGCATCCATACCTGCCTTGGAGAAGGACAGGCAGAGGGGACCAACTGCCTGTAAGGAGGTGGCGTTGGCAGATGGGCTTTCACACTGAAACCAGCTGGGGGTGATATAGCTTGACCTTGGTTTCAGTGATGATCCCTCTCTGAGGTGGCAGACCCACACTTCCTCAAAGTTGGTAGGCCCAGGACATGGTATGTCATCACAAAGTGTTTTATTTCTCTTGATACTTTCAGCATTTAGCTTGTGTTCCACATCTTGTTTTGGCAATTTGCACACGTGCCATGGATGTGATCTGATGGCATGCACTCCAGCTAGTCTTGGCCCTCATATCATTTTAATGTGGCTGGACCATCAATTCAAATGTGAGTATTTTCTTTTTAATGTTATTGCTTCAACACACCTAGTTATTACATTAATTCTTTGTGGTTGCCTTTCATTCCTAACTTTTTTATATGTTGTACAAATGCCATGACCAGACATGAACCTGTTTTTTTGTTAAAAAATGGTGACAACAAGCTTGTTATCTAAGAACTGTCTCCTTCAAAAAGAAAGCTGCTTAGCATGTGGTGTACTCCTGTTCAACTGGTCAAAGAATACAATGCTTGTGTGCTTTTATCAATATCCCCAGGACACATCAAAATACAGAAATGAAATATACATATGGATATGTACCTGAATATAAAGATCCACTAATTCGTTCTGACCAAGGATATAGTAGATTTTTCCAGCCCAGAGCCATGCATAAGCTTCCTTTTCCTTTCTTTGCAGGTCAATAAAAATCCCTAGGCTCCTTTTAGTGTATTCCAAAGCTGATTTGCAGGCCCTAAACACAGTGATATATTTCATGAAACCACTGTGTAATACCACTGTGTAATACTTGGTACTTAATCATGATAATCGGACAATACATTTCCCCGATATAAAAGCAGTTATATCTTATACAGTGAAGCCATTATTAGGTAGTAATAGGTAAATGTAATTTCATCTCCAAGAACCTATGTGTATTATAAACCCATCCCCTGGATTATTCTCTGAATACAATATTCTTGGCTGCTTAGTAAAGCTAATGCTCATATTAAAAGTTTCATGTTTAGAAATTCCTTATATAAGGAAATGTAAAGACACAGCATGGTATACTCTTAGAGTAATCTAGAAAAGGGTAATAAAGACTGACATAGCTTGAGTTCAGTTCCTGGACATGACCTCATCTCCACCAAATTTGCCTCAAGCCATGCGTTGAAGGTTATTGATTGTTTCCTTCATTTGTGCTCAGTGATGAAACACTAATTTCTAGATCTGAGACTCAATGTATTTAAGAGATGAATGTGGAGAACAAACCCAACCGTTCAATGTTCCCATGCCTCCATTGTTTCTATGCTGAGGTTTTACATGAATAATTCCTTTAGTCAGATCACCAGACATTGTCCTAAACAGGCATGTATCTTGTAATCTGCATGTTTTGTTTTACTCATATTGTAATTTTTAACTCTGTCATATCAATTAATCAATTTCCTCTCCCTCCAAAATTTTCAAAAACCATTATTTTCACCAGGTAATCTCCCTCTACCAAAAACTTAAATTGTTTTATTTTGCCCCCATTATCACGTCTATTAATTCTCTACTAAAAGGTGGTGCTGTAAGGACACAAGGCAGAAGAGCAATCTAAGGCTTATCTCCCCAAACCTTCTATTGGAGATTTAATTCTATACACAAGGTCCACATTGTCATGCTGATTTGCCAGAAAATATATACTTTGGTGCAAGTTTAATGGGCATACATTCTGCCATAAGTCAAATCAACCTTGAGCTGCTCGTTGATGAACAGATTGCTCTAAAAGCCTTTAATTTTCTGTAGTGACACACAAGACACTAGGGTCCTTCCTTCTTTTTGATAAATAAAGTTGTATTTAAAATTTTCAATGCAACACGAAAAGTGTTGCATTTGTATATTTCCAGAAAGGACCAAAGTGAGTCGATAGTACATGAGGAACCAAATGAAGTTCCAATATATGAGAGAACCGAGTTCCCTTCCACAAGTAGGAGTAAGTAAGAAAGCTAGACAAAGAAAGAAAAGGTAAACATTTGTAAGTGAGAACTCCTTAAAAGATTAGGCTATGTGAGCACAAGGCAGTTCCTTCAATCATTGGACCTTGCATCTCTAAAAAAGGATAGGGAGGCTCACAACAGAAGGAGACTCAATTTAGGACCCTCAGGGGAAAAGGTCTCCATCCAAGGTGACCATATTTTCAGGAATTGGCCAGTGGTTTTCATTAATGGCCGCTGTGAATTTTTCCATTCTAATCAAGTATCAGATCTTGGTCTATATCTGTGCCTGAGAAGATGGTGCCACTTTCCAGCATTTAGCCAAACAGATACTCAAAGCAGCACACACACGGTAAATACGTTTATGGTCTGTGGGTACAGTACCTTGTAGGCGATAAGGAAATAATATCGTTCTCATTCTATGCTCGTAAAAGATTATTACTTACCTCTCTGTACCTAATGATAAATACAGTTGACTGATTTTTTCAAGGACTTGACCCTCCAGCACTTTGTCTGCCATTTTCCTGGCTAAGGAAAGCTGATATTCGTTGTAAATGATACATTGTGCTTCATTAATTACAACTGTATTGTAGAAATTACACAATAACTGTGTAGCTTGAAGTTGGCCTGTTTAAACACAGCAAGTAGAAAAAAAATGTATTTTAACAATACAATAATGATAATATTTGAGACTGTAGAATCTTCTGCATCTCAAGTTCTGCCAGTTCATCATAAGCACAGATAGGAAAAATAAGTAAAGTTAGGGCCACTAAAATAATAATAATAATAATAAAAAAATCAGCAACTGATTAAAATTTTTGTGGTTAAAGGACCACTATAGTGCCAGGAAAACAAGCTTAGAAACAAGCTTGTTTTCCTGGCACTATAGGGTCTTTGGGTGTCCCACCCCCCACCCTCAGGGTCCCACTCCCACCAGGCTGAAGGGGGAGGAAGGGGTTAAATTCTTACCTTTCTCCAGCGCCGGGCTCCCTCGGCGTTGGGGACTCTCCTCCCTCTTCCGACGTCATCCGGCGAATGCGCATGCGCAGCAAGAGCCGCGAGCGCATTCAATCAGTCCATAGGAAAGCATTTCTCAATGCTTTCCTATGGACGGCAGCGTCTTCTCACTGTGAAAATCATAGTGAGAAGCGCGGAAGCACCTCTAGCGGCTGTCAATGAGACAGCCACTAGAGTCTGGATTAACCCTATTGTAAACATAGCAGTTTCTCTGAAACTGCTATGTTTACAGCTGCAGGGTTAATTCTAGATGGACCTGGCACCCAGACCACTTCATCGAGTGGTCCTTTAAATAACCCGCAGTTGAGTTGGGATGAGTGTCCAGCACACAATCAGTATATTGGTCAGATTTTTGTCATGCTCTCTATGATAACTTGGGCCCATAATCAGATAAATGATTTTGCTTCCTGCTACTATCACAATATGTTTAAATATCCTTATAAGGTGTATTTACTAAAGTGAGAATTTAAAGTGAATGTCACATTAAAGGCTACAGTAGCTGAACTGAAAACATATTTTAACCTTACATTTGAAATTAACTTTCAATTCAGCTTAGCCACTTTAATGTGATTCCAGCCATAAGTAACATTTGGTGGATTTCAAGTGAAAATTAAGAGGCAAAATTTACCAATCTAATGCAAGGATGAGAAGAATATAGGTGTTACTGATGTAACGGTGTCACGGTACAAATAAATAGTGCTACACACTGCAAGGGTTTCAGATATACTCGAAGGGACATAGACATAACTGCATTCAAAGTGAATTTCAAATATCAAAAGACCTTAATAGCTAAACTGAAAACAGAATTGACATGGAGTATTTTTCTTATTCGTCTATTTTTGGCCTAGGGTTGTAGTACTAAATGTACTACTTTTTGTAGAAATCCATTGATGTAATATTAAGCAGTAATACAATGGCAATTACACTGGAACAGAGTCTTCTGCTTATTTTGGCCTCAATTTAATATTTTTGGATAAACGTTTGAAATTATTTTTTCCAAAGTATTTAAATATTAAAAAATACATTTAAAATATATAACTATAGCAGAAATATTAAACTATGTTTTTAAATATTAAATCATTTGAAAATTGTTTCCAAAAATATTAAACAATTTGAAAAGCTCATTATTTGTACAATTGTCACTAGAATTATGTTATAATGGAAGCACCAGAAAATATATTGTGGATTTCTTTCTTTATAGGCGATATGAACAAATTGGACATTAAATCCTTAGTCACCTAATTAGGATGATGTTTTTATGGTACTCGAAGTGTTCCTTTATTTTTTCACTGCAGAATGTGAAAAACAAACAACACTATTAATAACTCTGAAAATTCTCAATGCTTACAAGTGGACAATAAAAAGTACAAAATAAAAGCACATACATACTTTCCAGATGGTTTGTTTCCATTGCCACAAGAAATGCCCACTCATAATAAATCCTTGCGTTCTCTTTATGGATTCCACTCATGTAGTAGTTCCCAAAGATAAGAAGCACATGAATGAAATCTGTACCATTGTCTATGCTGGGAATACTTGAGTAAACACGTATAGAATTAATGAAGAAATGCTCTGTCAGGATATGAGCATTCAAGTGCAGGCATAATGTCCCAAAGTTGGCCAATACCGCTGCCTGGTTGTGACAAGCACCTGTATCTCTTGAAATTTTCAGTGCTTTGCAGTAATGTTCTGCAGCATGTTTTATTTCATTCGTTCTTCTCAAGGCAATTCCTTTCAGGTTATAGATAATCCCAAGCTGATGTTCTGTACAAATACACAATGGCATTATGCTATTTAAAATATCCAGAGCCAACAAATTATTTTTGTCCAACATGCAAAGCCACGCTAGAGTAACTGAAAAATCCACCTTGGACCTTGAAGCCATCAAACCATTCTTTTCAACTGCTTTTAGAATATATGATTGAGCCTTTTTACACTGCTTATGGTTTGAGCAAAGTTCTGATAAACTCAAATATATGGACATGCAAAGTATTTGCTCCTGGTCGGTGAGTGCAGATGCCAACGCGTTTCTGAGGTAGTGTGCTATCTGTGTGGGAAATATTTGTCCCCCTTGTTTTATCCCACAGAGTTTGACAGCATTATCAGCAACGAATCCTGCTCCTCTCAAAGAGTTTGTAAAACTGCTAGAGCTGTGAGATGCCACTTTAACGGAGCTCAATGCCATATGGGGCAAACACTTGTAGTTGTATATATCTGCAAGTTTAAAGTAGTATCCTGGTACAGAACTTGACTTTGATTCCATTTTATTTCTTAAAACCTGCAACCTCTCAATGAAGGGTAAGGCCTCAACGCTTTGTTTTAAACTGATGTAATTTGTGGCCAGAAGTAGACATGCTCTTATCTCACTGTATGAATCTTGGTTCAGTATTGCCTTTCTCAATACATACTTCAGTATCATTGGATCCATGTCAGTGCTGCTGGGGTATGTTTGAAGTCCAAGGATGAGAGAAGCTGATTTATCTATCAAGAGTAAACATTTTTCTTTGTTATTTTGTTTCAGGTATACAGCAGTCAGGTTCATATACATTGCTCTGATGAGGAAGAGGTCACTGAAATTCCCATTTACAGCCCCTATTGCTTCTTCAAAATAGACCCTTGCTTGGGAGAACTTGTGTCTTTTGATAGCTAGTCTTCCCAAAAGGAAACAAATCCTTGTTAACGCCCAAGTCATGTTGGCTTTCTTTGCTGATTCCCGAGCTATGCTGAGATATCTAATCAGTTCCCCTTCTTCACTATATCCATTAAATAACATATGTTTAAATCCATATGAGATATCATAGATGGTTTTGAAGCCGGGAGTGTATTTTTCTTTGTTTAAAAACAGAAGTAATGACTCTAATGCTTCTTGTTTATCCTGTCCCTCACTGATGCAGAAACACGGAGCCTCGTAATTCTCACAATTCTTGGCATCTTTGCTCAAAAGGTTTATATTATCAAGTTGTAGATCATTGGGAACATCAGGAGAAATGGCAATCTCCTGGGTATTTAAAAAAAAATCCGTCAGCTTCTGTTTGAAAGTATTTGTATCAATATTAGCTGAATGGTTTGTTTCTGAAAATAATAAGAAAACACAATTTTATAGTACAGTATATCAATTAAATGTTTCATCGATGAATATTGAGATAAATACAATAATGTTAATTGCATACTTGGTTAATTTACAAGTAACTTTATTCAATTAAAATAGTTGGCAAGATATAAATAATATAAGAGCTATTTACACTCTAATCTTATTTGGAAGGGGCCTTAGTTGCCCATTGTCCCTACCACCACAACCACTTACACATCTATAGGGCTCCCAGTGCCAGGACTGCCACCACAACCACTTACACATCTATAGGGTTACCGCCTCCCAGTGCCAGGACTGCAACCACAACCACTAACAGATCTGTAGGGCCCCCAGTGCCCGGACTACCACCACAACCACTTACACATCTATAGGGCTCCCAGTGCCTGGACTGCCACCACAACCATTTACACATCTATAGGGCTCCCAGTGCCAGGACGGCCACCACAACCACTTACACATCTATAGGGCTCCTGCCTCCCAGTGCCTGGACTGCCACCACAACCACTTACACATCCATTGGGCTCCCGCCTCCCAGTGCCAGAACTGCCACCACAACCACTTAGACATCTGTAGGGCTCCCAGTGTCCGGCCTGCCACCACAACCACGTACACATCTATAGGGATCCCGCCTCCCAGTGCCTGGACTACCACCACAATCACTTACACATCTATAGGGCTCCCAGTGCCCTGACTGCCACCACAATCACTTACACATCTGTAGGGCTCCCAGTGCCAGGATGGTCACCACAACCACTTACACATCTTTAAGGCTCTGCCGAAGTTCCGAATTGCCGAATTTCCAAATGGCCAAAGTTCGGTATTTCGGAAGTGCCGAACCGAATGCCATTGGTCCAAATTGCCGAAGCAGACACATTTTTTTACTTACCCGAATTTCCGAACTTTCCGGAATTTTTTGCCCATGCACATCCCTAGTGAATAGTGTGCCACTGATGCTCTTTGAGGTCTCAATAAAAACATATCCTGATGCACAATGTACACAATTATTTAGAAACAGGCAGGTACACTAGTCAGATGACATGAGAATTTATTAACAAAAGCAAACCAGCCAAATTGTGGTGCTCACTCAAAAGATCCTATTTCTCCACGAACCTAGAAAATCTGTAGAAAATACTGAATGAGGAGCACAACCATAATGATAAAAAAACTTTATTAATTGGTTCAAATTGAATAGGTATCCCAAGAAACAAACAAAAAGAGAAAAAGTCTCAGTAATAATGCCACATTACAAAAAACTTATAAAATGTATCACAGTTCTCTATACGTAGTAAATAACTGCAAAAAGCAAAAATGCTAATCTAGATACAAATTTGATTGGATACCCAGAAAGAGCAACCCAACAAATCATACATACCATAAAGAGAAAAATACCAGAAATAGTGAGAAGAGGGAGAAAATCAAGAAGCCCCCAATGTTTCGTCGAGATTGCCTTTATCAAGGGAGCCGGATGTAAAAGGAAAATGATTCCTTTATATAGCCACTAATAAACCAAGACTGAGATCCTCCCAACCATAATAACATGGTTATGGTCACCAAGGATACCAAAATACAGGAAGTATGTGTACAATTGTACTTAATGAAAGCCTAGCAAGGAATAGAAAATTAATAAACATAAATACTTGAAACAATAATAAGACTATGACAATAAAAATAAATAAATTGAAATGCAACCAAAAAAATACCTGTCCATCTCTCCTGGTGTAAGTAAATGCACCAGGAACATAGTGGAACACAAGCGTGTTCCAAAAATGTCCCCAGTCAGAGTCACATGTCCCCAATCGTGCACATGGTAGACAACCAGGTGTTCGGTTACTTTCCTCCACAATATCTGACAAAGGTGAGTACAGCAACGTTTTTTTCCCCCTCAATCTCTGCAAACAGTCATCTTGGGGAAGGGCATTAACCTTTCCCCCAAAATAGCCTAGATTACTGACCTTTCTTTATACACTCATTGTACAGCGCTACGGGAATTTGCTGGCGCTATATAAATAATAAAATAATAATAATATAAAAAATAAATAAAAATAAACTGATAAAAAAAATAAGAAAACTAATATCATCCCGCCCCTTCGACCAAATATGGAGATCTGGAGCTTAAGCCCCCATCCCCCCCTTAGCAATGCATATGCTAGTAACTATTGAATCTGTTTTACCTTTCTGTTGGGATGGCTTGATATCTTCCAGCTCATCTGAAAACACAAATTCAGATAAAATATGTATGATTGAATCATATGTTGCACATTATTATTATTATTATTATTATTATGATATTTGTAGAGCGCCGTCAAATTCTGCAGCGCTTTACAATGGGTGGACGAACAGACATGTAGTTGTAACCAGACAAGTTGGACACACAGGAACAGAGGGGTTGAGGGACCTGCTCAATGAGCTTACATGATAGAGGGAGTGGGTTAAAGTGACACAGAGGGTAAGGATAGTAGTGGACAGTTGCATGAAAGGAATCAGTTGGGAGCTGTTAACAGTTTAATTGATACACTTTTATGAAGAAGTGGGTTTTTAATGATTTTTTGAAGGAGTGGAGACTGGGTGAGCATCTAACATAGTATTTCTACAAAATTACTAATCTATGTCTTCAGGAAAGTTTATAGAAACAATAAATTGTTGAAACAAGAGATAGTTTATGAAACAATGTACAATATATAATGAACAATATACAGCTATTGAAAACAATTATAATGTTACTAGTATTTTTGTTTTAATTTCCCGCTTATATAATCAAATTGTGTGTTTCCTTCCTCTACGTATCAACAATACTAACATACGAAATTCTAAGTTATTTGGGTTGTTCTACCACTAAAATCTAAAAAAGTCTGAAAAAATATTTTCGTCTTTGCTCTGTATCCCAGGAGATATCAGAGATACTTGGATTACTTTTTCTTTATATTAAAGGAACACTAAAACGTTTAGCAACATCAAGTGGGCCCTGAGTTTAGAGAACCCTGTAAGACTCCAAGCACCATAACCACCACAGTCTCCCAATAAGGGAGCTGCTAATAAAGTGCCCTTCAGGCATGAAACATGTCACGCTCGCTTTACATGTAGTGTGTTAGTAGTGTGTAGTGTGTTACTCTCTCCTCCCTCCCCCTCTCCAATGTACTGTTAGCACATTATTTCATAAATATTTTGGTGGTATTTATCTGCCGTTGTTTTACTGCTCTGAATATATTCTAGGAATGGTTAATAAAGAAAGGCATTGATAGATGTAATTTTGTTTAATTTATGTATTCTGTAACGTACCCAATCTGAAAACATTGCAGACACTCGAGTGAAGCATTTTGTTGAGTAGTTCTTTTGCATTATTCAGATCAAAGCTTTTCACACCTTGGGACATCAGTATTTCTTCCCACTCCAGGTTCCCTTGTCTGGAGAAAAAAAATAGTCCTTAACCACAAAAATCTTGGAAATGTTATAATTAATAATGCGGTTACTGAATTCTATGGCTTATGGTCTCATTTTGAAAAAAAATCTTTATACATTATTCCTCTGCAACAACCTGGGTGATGTAGTCTGTGACTAATAACCAGCAAGACATCTTAAAGTAACCTTTTAAGTTTCACTAATTACTAAATTGTTAACTCGTTTAAGCAAGGCCTTCTTTATCTCTTGTCTGATAACGGTATTTGTGCATATCAGTTATTCATTGTTAAATATTGTATTATTATTATTATTAAAACATAGTGGAACATTTAAATGATAATGATAAAATTTAATAATTAAAGAACATGCAGGAAAAGTTGTTTGTTGAGATGCTAAGAGTTATCACAAGGGACTATCGGAATGATTCACTAAGGTGAGATATCAAAGTGAATTTAAGTTTAAGGTCAAAATAACCAAACTGGAAACATTATCTAAGTCACTTCTGCTTTTAGTTTGGCTACTGTGGCCTTCAATTCACTTTGAGTTCTTACTTTAGTACATTACCCTGTTTATGAAACCCTGGTCTCAATACAGTCTTTTCCGAAGAACATTTTTCTTTTCAATTTCGTCATCTAGTAATGGCACGGAAATGAAATTATCCCATCATGGACACAATTATGGATAAATTAAATCTCTCACCCTGTATCTGATGAAAGAGTCTTCACATTGCTGGTCTTCACAAAACCAATATTCTCACTGGTTATATGTCTCCCGAGAAACCAATCCATGCATTCAAAATAAGTGCTGATGGTTTCAATAACATCTCCACTCTTATAGGACATCTCATCCATCATTTCACCTTCATGATCAACCAGTGCTTCACACAAGCCTACAGCTGAAATGGTGATCAGAAATGCAAATTACCGATTTATAAAAAGAGATTAGTTCTCATTTGTAGGTCAAAAAAAGTCATTTAAATTTTTTCCCCAAATCATTACAGTTTATTCAGTGGTGGAACAAGAGGACCCTGGTTCAAGGACTCTAGGTTATTTTGCCAGATGGGGATCTATCACTCGTCAAGGTCAATACCAAAAATTACAGACAGGAATAAGGGACGTACTAAACAGGTACTTTAAACAGAAACCACAACAGGGCATAGTAAATGGGGCCACATGCTATTCAATGCTAGTAGTACTGATGTCTCTTATGAGGAATGAGTGACGTTGGGAGCAGGAGAACCCTCCTACATATGTTCTCCCAACAAACAAACAAACAAACATTTTCTCTCTTTCTGGTGGAATATAGGAACAGGTTGACTGGTGTAATTTTGTTCTAATCCTGATATTATTCAATGAAGTCAGCATATTTGTGTCTGTGGGAATGACTGTATGAGTATTATGTATTGTTTGTGTACGGTCCTGTTGGTTATTGCTGTGAAATATGTTGCTGCTTTATCAAGACCAAAATAATTAAATAAAACCAAGGCCAAATAAAAATGAATTATGTATTCTTACCAGTTTTATTTCTCATTTTACATCTAGTAAAATCCACAAGATCTGAAACAGAATTTGTTTTCAGGAACCACCTATGATACAGGAAAAGCAAGCATTAAAAATAGACAACATTTTAAGCTATTGTGTATGTGTATTAAGCAGTATTCCGCAGCTCTCGCTACTGAGAATTCCTGGTAATATATTGTTTAATGCAGGTCTTATTCGTACAGATTCCTGGAATGAGAACTTTACTGTAGATACATATTAACATAGTGGAACATGGTACAGTTTACCGTAATGCAGACAGATGAAGTCTGTGTTCAATGTGGCTTGTTATCATAATAACTAATACATTGTAGAATTTAAAATAAAATGAAATGTTAGAGGGCAGCTACCTACTGATGAAAAGGACATAATGGCTCAATAGTGGTTTTAGAGCCAACCAATGTGTCACCCAGCACCGATTGCTTATTTTGGGTCCATCCCACATCTACTCCATCAACGACACTGTTTGACTGGAAAATCTGCAATACATCATCCACGACGGCAGCCTGTCTTATGTGACCGTCACCACAAAGGACAAAGAATGTTCCTAAAATAGAAGAGAAACAACAGGGTCAGTTAAATGTATTGCTTTTCACATTGTTCAAAATAATTCACACCTGCATGACTCTCACCTGTCATGGCACACATAATGCAGGTTTAAATAAAAGAGCATTAAATGTAATCTACACATTTTGCTAGCAGAAATGCAAGCAAAATTAGATGTTTATTTAATGTTTTGTTTTTTTAAAACATTACCCATTCATCACCTGTCTATCAATCCATAACATAAACCTCTCCATGGGGTATAGCAATCTGACGGAATATAGCAGAATGATAGAACACCGGCTGCATAGAGGCTTAAGCAGAGGATTGAGTGACAGGGAAGAGCAAGAAAGACATTCTAAGGGTGGTTCTCCTGCTCTCTGTCACAATGCATTTATTTATAACCCTTGTAGCAGGAAGTATAGAATGCTCTGGCACTGACGTGCTAGCAGTGAAGCCGGCATGTTGGAATTTTTAGGGTTCATTGATCTGACTCTTAATTTGACTGTTACATTATGGCCTATGACACAAAAAACATGCTTCCCCACACCATTGAAAGTAATAGATTGTTTTTGATAATATTAATGTGAATAATAATTATTGAGCAAACTATTTGAAGCCCCAGGTTGATTGCCCAGAAGATGAATGCACCAATCAATTAAATATAAATAATATTCACCAGAAGAAGTACAGCTTAATGTGGTTCTGTTGAATATAGTCAATCCTTTCAAGTTTTTCATGTAAACACTGCCTTTTTGGAGAAATGACAGTGTTTACATTACAGCCTAGGGACACCTCTAGTGGCCACTCCTCAGATGGCTACTAGAGGTGCTTCCTGGAGATGCTGAACTTTCCCCATACAGATGTATTGATTCAGTGGTCCTTTAAGATTATGAATGGGCAGCAACCCCTACAGGTTAATTTCCAAACTGCAAACCATTTGAATTATTCAAGTTCAGAAGCCAAAGGTGAAAAATAGATTTGAAAACTCTACTATTATTATTATTATTGCCATTTATATAGCGCCAACAGATTCAGTAGCCTTTTACAATATTATGAGAGGGGGGATTTAACTATAAATAGGACAATTTTAAGAAAACTTACAGGAACAATAGGTTGAAGAGGACCCTGCTCAAACAAGCTTACAGTCTATAGGAGGTGGGGTATAAAACACATTAGGACAGGAAATGGCAATCAAATAAGATGGGAGTGAAGCAGAGGAGAGAGTAGAGTGCTGCCCTTAAGGAGAGAGCAAGAGACAGGTGTGTAAGGTAGAGGATACTCTGGGAGGCCATAAGCTTTCCTAAAAAGATGGGTTTTAGGACACTTTTAAACGATTGAAGACTAGGAGAGAGTCTGATGGCGGTAGTCAGGCTATTCCATAGGAATGGAGCCGCCTGCGAGAAGTCCTGCAAGCGTGAGTTGGCCATACGGGTGCGAGCAACAGACAGAAGAAGGTCACGGGCAGAGTGGAGAGACCGAGAAGGGGATACCTATGGATCTGTGAAGAGATATAAGAGGGGCTAGAATTGTTTAATGCTTTATAGGTATGGGTTAGCACTTTGAATTGACTCCTATAGGATACAGGAAGCCAATGTAAGAACTAACAGAGGGGTGAGGTGTGAGAGGAAAATCAGTCTGGCGGCAGCATTAATTAGACTGTACTACAGGGAACAATTGTAACAATTGATTCATAATTAATCATTATTACTTTGATCATTATAACCTACCTTCCTCCAATAAAAGTCTCTTATAAATGAGATTTAAAGATTCCTCATTGACATGAACATTAATTCCAGCTGGTTCTTCGTCGGGAGAGAATAACCAAAATAACTGATCTAAAAACATGTTCTCCATGCAGTGATTCAGGAAACCTGCATTACATTGAAAATGGGAATAAATGACATCAACGAGATATATTTATATTTACATTAATTTTCAAGATAATCTTCGGTTAATAAAATGCATTGTCCCCAAAAAACAAGAAGTTACAACATTAACACTGTGGTCTTATGGCTATAGCATTATTAACTTGCCATTGAAACAAGCTACAATGGGTAGAGCTGGGTGTAGCCTTTTAGGGATAAATGGTGTTTAGAATTACGGTTTAACTTGTGCCTAGCGAGAAAATTCAGTGCGGCAGAACCATTTTTTCCAAAAATCTAAATATTTTTGAGACAGCCTAATTTTGGCCAAATGTCACTTTGACTTTTGTTACAGAGAAACTGACTCGGGAATAAATTTTGGGGAAAAAAAATTATTATCTTTATATTTCACAGCACACTGATGGTAGCATTTTTACAGGTTAACTGAGAAAAATTGACCAATAGAGAGCAAAACAGAAGGAACAGTAAGAAATATATGTATAAATAATATTTATTTTTTAAATATATAAATAGATTTCTTTTTCTGCTATTCCTGTTTTTGCGTCTGTTAGTCACTTCTCAGTTGATAGGTGAATATAATCATTATTTTTCTCATCAATCATCTCTGTTTTTGGCACTACTGGTGGTATTTAGAAAATCACAAATAAAACAAAAACATACTTGGCCTTTGCGTGTTTTGGTAAGTTCAAAATTTGAAAACATTTTGGCTCAGAGTTTGGGAACTCTACATTTGTAATGCATTATCTAAGCAACGCATTAAAAATAGAAAGTCTTTTTTAAACTACACTCTCCCATTAAGCTATTCTTCAACAGAACAGAAAAAAACATGCATTTTTATCTTTCTGTCTTCCTTTAAGAACTCAAACAGCTTATCGTCAAAGTCAAAATCGTGTTATTTCACTGTGTTAGCAGTGTTACAGGGTTATTCACAATAGTGGGAAATCAGTCAATTTCAAACTAAAGGCTAAAATAGCTGCATTGGAAAAGGTCAGCTAGGACTACTTTGGCCTATAATTTGAAATTCACTTTGAATCCACTATGAATTCTAACTTTAGTAAATTCTGTTACAAACATTAATATAACAGTGACATCTAGTGGACACACTTGTGACTGCACATCATGAAACACTATTAATAATTATTATAATAATAATAATAATCATTTGAACCATGAAAGATACATTCAGATTACTCTGGTTTTCAAGTACGTCCTGGGGATGTTACTTTAGTACCTTAGCCCAACATCCAGGGGTTGTTACTATGAATAATTATTGCTATTATTATTATTATAATTATTAATATTTTTATCTATAAAGCACTAACAATGTGAACTATCTGTACATTGATAATGTACAGAAAAACAATCCAGATATCTCTGCATGTGCTGCTTTTCAAACCGAAACAGTGCACATGCAGATTCCTTGCTCCCTGACCACTTCTAAAAGCAGACGTGATCATGGTGGCTGGAGTAACCCTGTAAGAATAATTCAATATTTATTTGTTAGTAACTTATAACCATGACGTACTTCAGATTTTTATGAACTTTATTTCTCGTGACACTTAACCTGAATAGCATCATTAAAAGCGCAAAAGTAACCAAACAATAATTTGACCAAACAAGAACGTGCTTGATACAAAATTGTTAGCTTGTGTGTGGCTCTTTAAACACAAATAGCAAAAAAAACATCATTTTAACATGACACCGGTATAATATCTGACTCATTTTTGTACTCAGGCTAGCCAGTTCTCCTTGCTTCACCAAGATACCTGTAATGGACATGAAGCTGCGAAAATGAGTGACTCACAGATAGAAACCTGAGAATATTCTGTGTAAAGTGACAGAGTTGCTCGGCTCTGCTCTCATTAAGAACATGGCCTCAAGCAGTGATAGTTACACCGTAGTACTATTTTGATAAGTTCTATACGTGGGCTGCATTCCCCATGGTGCTCAGCCAGTCTCAAGTCACCACTGATATAAAATAACAGGTAGACAAGGTAGAATTTGTGCTTCATTCTTTTAGGATTACTTTGTGAAAAAATATTGCTTACTATTTAGCCCTAAATATTAAAGGGATTTTCCACTATCCAAATACAAAAATAAATTTACAAAAAATCGGTGTTTAGTAGATATACCCCAAAGGAAACCATGTATGTATCAGTAAGGTTTATCTAAAAACAGCTGCAAGAATTGCCGGTGTATTGCTTGAAGCCTTTGCAAACCCTCCCATTCTAACCCCGCCCCAACTTTCTGTGGCTGTCCAATCACAGACTTCCCAATGCAGCTCAATGAGAAGTGTTTGCAAGGCTCCACTGAATGAGCAAAACCAGGAAGTAACATGACCTGCTGTCTGATTGACAGCCAGGGGGGGTGTAACAAGTTTAATTTATAAATGTGCCAGTTTATATTGAAATCTGCACTTTTTGTAAAATACAAAAAAAAAGGACACAGCCTTTACACAAAAAACACAGGACTCTGGAGTGTCCCTTTAGCATCATGTACTATCATAACTCTTTAATATGAAAAAAAAATCTGTTTTTCCAGAACATTTGATGTAGTATCACTGTCACTGTGAAACAATCTCTGCATGGTTTACATCTCTCCATGCAAATGTCGCTGAGGACAGTGAGTGGGATAGTGTGGACTATTTCACATTACCTAATGAATAGTATGTGGAAAATTTCCAGATTTCTTCAAAGGTCTTAAAGGTCACAGTTATCATATCCTTATCACTATGAATGGAGAGTAACCGTGCAGATAATTCCTAAACAATGTAAAGGAAAATAGTGTTATTCTAGTAACATTAAATTATATTATTAATTTACAGCTTGGATACTATAGGCATCAAAACTGTAGCTTAATGAAGCAGTTTTGGTATACATATATATCATACCCCTGCAGTCTCACTGCTGTAGTTTCTGCCGTTAAGGAGTTAAATCACTTTTGTTTCCGTTTATGCAGCCCTAGCCACACCACCCCTGGCTGTGACTGACACAGCCGGCATACAAACAAAATGGTTTAATTTTCAATCAGATGTTAACTTGCTTTATACGTTTTTATATCCTGCTCTATAAATTGAACTTTAATCACACACAGAAGGCTCCTACATGGTCTAGGAGGCTATTAACAGAGCAGGAGATCAGACACTTTAGTATAAACAAAATGTGTAACAGTAAGTTTAAACATTAGATCTCACTTTACGTGAAATGTTTAACCCCTTAAGGACCAAACTTCTGGAATAAAAGGGAATCATGACATGTCACACATGTCATGTGTCCTTAAGGGGTTAAGTCACGTGCAGAGAGGTGTGACTAGGGCTGCATAAACAAAGTGATTTAAGTCCTAAATGGCGGAGAATTGAGTGTGAGATTGCAGTGGCATGTTCTATACACTAAAAAGCTTCATTAAGCTAAAGTTGTTTTTGTGACTATAGTGTCCCTTTGAATTGAATGTTTAAGTGCAAGAAATAAATTCATATAAAACTCTCAGTCTTATAATCCAGTGTTTTTTTGTGTGTGTTTTTTTTTTTTCATTTTAAAATGTAAACATATTGAAAAGCAATGGAACATTAAAGTACAGGACTTAACATATCACGATCAATAGCAATCTATTCTGAAATCGACAAGTGAGGTTATTTATGAAACCATCACTTCTAGTGAACTTAACAAACAAATGATCAGTTCACAGACTAAGGAGAAAACTAAAATTAAACTAAGGAAATTGGAGTGGAGAAGGAAGCGCATCTCTAAATCTGATATTAGGTGGAGCAAGTCATGTTGTCTATGAACTTGAACTACATTTGTAGATTAAAAAAACACAATTTTAACGTTAAAATCTTTTGAAGTTAAAATTTAAAGTTAAGATTTGTGGTTAAAGTCTGTCTCATTACCGTACACAAAGCATTGAACATTGCGTACAAATTTCAGAACTGTGACACTTACACTAAACACTGCTGTGACTTCCTTGTTGTCATTCTCCAGGAGACGCAACCTATTCCTGAGGACTTCTTGCAGTTCTGGATCAGAAGCGCCATGTCTAAACATCACTAACTGGAGACAAAGATCTACAAATTAAACAAATACATCTCATTAGATCATCAGCTAAAAGTAGATATTTCTACTTTCTATTTCACTGAACTTGCCAAGCCAAATCATTTAAAAGTTATCTGATATTACATTTATATTAATGAGTTACATTCATCAAACTGGTGATCCTATGGGTATTTAGACATACCCTGTCCTCCTTACTTGTGTAGCAACATAATAATGTGGCTGGCAGGCAACAAAGTGAAACAAAATACGGTAGCATTAGGCAGAGCCATATTACTCAGAAGATGGCATAGGCGGTAATCTAAAGTCCGGTGGGCCACTGTCTGGTCCTGATACTCAAGCTGTGGCTGTGATACTCAAGCTCTGGCCCTCCTTGAGCTGACAGGGAGATCAATGGAAGAGCCCTGTTCTGTCCTTTGGCTCTGGCCCTCCTCAACTGCTCAAGATAGCTTGTGACCTATACCTGAGTGCAGTCCCTGTTTCTATATATTATTGGACGCATATACTAAATGTGATATGGTTTTAATGCGAGTCCTGGACATTTAACGTGTGTCGTGTAGGAACTACATGTGACAAGGGCTGAATGTCTTAAAATTCCTCAACTGTCTTACAATGTTTGTACAAGATCTGCTCATATGGCACGCTGCATTAGTGCTGCATTCAATAATTTGTTCGTTTGGACAGAGAGACAAGCGCTCACCATTAACCTTTGTAGGGGGCGCAGAGTCTCCAGAACCATCAAACCAGTGAATAAATATAGTAAATGTAAAACAACTGTCATGCACTCCTTTAGAGTGCCATAACCACAGCAACATTTCACCACGTATAGTGATAATATGGTTGTGTTTGTTGCTGCCAAGGATTGCTGTTTCACATAAAGAGCTGGCTAGTTTTCACATTACGTTTGTTTACTCAGTCTGTTGTTTATTTGTTTTCTTGCAGAAGTGTATGGTGTGTGTCATGAGACTTGTGTGTGCACCTCATTACAGAAGCCGGTGCTTACTCATGTACCCAAAATGCATCAGGTGTTGATATTGGGTTTTTAGTATGTACACTATTTTATTGTGGACAAGTTTATTATTCTGTTAACATCTTTAGACATAGTGTCAGGGGCAGGTTAAAAAATAAGGAGATGGGGGGCGGAAGACGAGGACCCGGATCTGGAGGATCTCCTGTCACAGGCCAGCAGCGGCAGAGCCATCTCCCAGAAGCAACCTGACCCACAGTGGGCTACAAAAACTGATATTAATACTATCGTGACGGAAATCAAAGCATCCCTTGCCTCAGAAATGGTGACCTTAAAGGGTGACCTAGGCACGCTAGCAGGCAGAATCAAGGCCATGGAGGAGAGCATCCAAAGCCTTTGGACTTAAACAACAGTCCATTGATACTCACGTACAGGAGTTGTCAAACACCTGTGTAGCGCTAAGTGCTGAAGTGGAACACCTTGAAGACTTGGCACGCCAGCAAAACCTGAAAATTCGGGGTATCCCTGACACTATAGATGCTGGAGAATTATCTCTCTACATCAGAAGACTGCTTGCAGCAGCCTTGACACCCAAGCAGGCCAAAGGGTTGCAGCTGGATAGACTGTACCGACTACCGGGCAGCCTCAAGAACAAGGCACAGACTCCCAGGGATGTAATTCTCTGCTTTAAGTCACGATCTGATAAAGACACTTTCCTTTTACAAGTTAAAGGTCAGTTACTGTATATGTTTGTGCAACATGCTTTGAGCTTCTATCATGACCTCAGTAGAGCAATGCTGCAATGGTGTGCCACATTCAAGGAGGTGACTTCACAGCTGGGAGCGGCAAATGTCCCATACAAGTGAGGGTATAGTCGAGCAATGTGATCAATGCTACAAGCTAACTTCACTGTCCAACGAGGACAGCTTTCTACAAGCACTGGGGCTGGCTACTCGTGTAACATCTGGGTCTAACAGATCCACTCACCAGTTGGATGTGGACAATGTCACTATCTTCACATCAGCTGGTTCCTCAGCTCTGGGATGAGGAGCAAACAGAAGATGTCCTTCTCGGCCAATACCCAATCACACTGGGGCTATACAGCAGACGCTCCAATTTTATGTTACCAGTTTTATTATCCTCTCTGTTTTAGTTTACATTTGTTTTTAATCATAAGTGTTTTTATGCATATACTTTACCAATCTAGAAGTGACCTATACTGGTCAATTGTCCTCTAAGAAACAAAGTGGTACTTAAGCAAACTACCGTTCTAAGGAATAGCCCTCCGGGCTCATTTATTCCCAATTGGGCTAGAACACAATCCTATACATGCCACCAGACAGGCGGCCCAGATACGCTTCTCAGAGTAAATCTCCATATGGTATCTTTAAACTAGTAGGCAAACAGGCAGACACATCTCGCCCCAGGTCAAATGCTTTCTAATCTGTTTTGTTTTTGTTATTGGTCTCGGATGACTGCCATGGTCTACACTCACATATAAGCCACTGTATATTAACCTCACTTTACCGAAGTCTATATTATATATATTGTAAAAATAGGTGTAAAACGCTGACATGTTCGCTGTCAACATTGTGTCATACTGTGCATGTGTACTTTGATTGACGTGTTATACTTGCTCACCTACAAAAATAAAGAATTGAAAAAAAAATAGGAGTTAAGGATGTTGTTTGAAATAGTTTGTTGACTTTTTTTCTATATTCGTTTAATGTCATCATGGGTCTACTATGCACTGAATGGCCAAATATCCCAAATTCTTGTGTAAAATCATCTAGGGAGTGCCAGTGGTTGTCATTTTCGTAATGCTGTCTATGTTTCTTTTGGATGCAGCATTCATTGAATTATGTATTTATTTTCAGCAGGATACAAACAATAAAAGCTGGACAAGAAATAGGGTGGCAGTTATGTGTAGCAGGGTATAGGTACAGAGCTTGCAATGGGTGTGACTCAAATGTGTTTTCCCAAAGCAGGTCCCTGAGGAAAGAGCACTCAAGGCTCTGCAACAGACTATACTGTAACTGTAAGTTACTAGAGAGCTCTAAAATACACCTAAACAGAGTGTGCATTACTATGGAGCTCGGTAATACACCCATACACTCTGAATATTCATGTGGAGTTTAATAAGGCAGCCAAACACACTGAATATTTATATGGAGCTTAATGATACATCCATACACAAAGGACATTATTGTGGAGCTCTATAATACACCCATACATCGAGCACATTACCATACAGTGCCCTGTTGCATTAGAGTGTGCACCTTAAAGCACAAACACACACCGCGTTTATATGTATGTATGTATATATATATATATATATATATATATATACACAAACACACATACATACACTGCTGTGTGTGTGTGCTGTTAGTGTGCTGGTGAGGGTAGTGTGAGGGTGGTGTGAGGGTGCTGTGTGTGAGGGTGCCGTTTGTGTGCTGTATGTGTGTAGGTGCTGTGTGTGTGGGTGCTGTTTGTGTGCTGTATGTGTGTGGATGTTATGTGTGTTAGGGTGCTGTTTGTGTCCTGTATGTGTGTGTGTGTGCTGTATGTTTGGAGGGATTGTGGGGATGGAGGTGGGGGCAGGTTAGTAAATATCCCCCCTCCCTTCTTACCATATGTAGGGAGGGGGGGTCCTTGCTGCCATGTGCCCTCCCTGGTGGTCCAGTGGAGAGTGAACTCTAGCCTGCGCGGTGTTGCCACTGCAACGCTCAAATCTCGCAAGAGGAACCCGGCGTAGCTGCTGGCTAGAGCTCCCCGGGTCCTCTCCTGCCTACTTCATGCTGCTGTGGGCCGGTGAGGTAGATCTTTGATCTCCGCACAGGCCCATGGAGGCTTAGAGCAGAGATGGTGCCCAGATAGCACTGGCTCTGCATGAGCCGACAGGTGAGATCCTGAGATTTCCCCTGCCGGTCTCAATCCATAGGTGTGCCGCGGGGATTAGGGTGTGCCCAGGCACACCCGGCACACCCCATGTGCCCGCATATGACCTGTTTAGGAGGGACATCCTGATCTTACCCCACCTGATTGTGGGTATTTTCAGTATTCCTGCTGTATCTGTCTGAATAACAGAGTTCCACAACAATAATACGCACAGTAATGTGTCTTTCCACTACAATACCTGTGTTTAGAAATCAGTCTGTGTAAATAAGTGGAGCTCTATAATATAGCCAAATACATATAATTTTGTCATATTCTATGATGCCTCACACCCAGGGGCTTTCAATATCGATGACTATATAATTTTCTCACACCTTGGAGGAGCACTGACCAAAGACACTCGTCTGCCTATTAGAATAAAAGCTATATTTTACTATCATAAAACATGCAGTGCAGTTGTGGTCTTCCCACTTCCTTTTCTCTCCTCTACCCATCTCCATACCATATTGTGTTAAATGTTACTGCAACATGTAAATTTATTTTCTGTTTCCAGCTTGCATTTAAATTCTATGAAAAGAATCCTGCAACTTTAATGTAAAGCAGATTCTCAGAAAATTCTTTCTGCACGTACATTTGCTATAGTATCAAGTTTACAATGTTGGTATTAAAAATAAATAAAAATAACTGTACCTGGTACAAATATTTCTGCCTGATCACTGCACATTTCCGGAGTGTCCTTTAAACAGTCTGTAATATGAACAAAGTCTTCTGCTGAGGAGGAAGCTGAAAAAGAAAATACTATTTTAGTGTTTTAACCCATTATAAAACAGAATCTAAACTGTAAGGAAGTTGGGTACTCAAGTACATGCATTTTCAACTTACACCTATTAAAGGTCATTTGGCCCATAAACAAGCAGTATCTGCTTCTATGTTGTATCAAACACATTACTCAAGAAGATATACACACCTGCACAGTATACTTACCTGTATACACCTAAATCAGAGACATTGACAGTACATGTGAATTGCAAACAAGCACACACACACATGCCACACACTTTACTCAAATATACTTACAATAAATTTGTCAAAACGGAGTGTAAAATAATACCAACAACAACTCAAATAGTTTTTCCATTAATGAGTCCCAACTGAGGCCTCCTGCTACCTTTAGCACATCGTGGGCCATTACAGGGATAACCTAAACCACTTGCATATCAGACAATGGCACCCTAAATGGTGGTCACAGCTAACCCTCTCTGACGAGGCCCAAACAAAGACTGAAATGATCGTCTGGGGTTGTTGTATCTCCTGTACAGAGAGAGCCTGTGGCATTTCTGTTTTGGACCAGCCTTGTAGGTGGGATCAGTCTGATTTGCAGTGGGGCAAGGGTTCTCCATGTAAAGGCACATGGAACATGTGAACACAAATGTGTTTTAGACCTTAGAAGGGACTAACCCTAGGATAAGTTTTTATATCATATTTTTTTTTTGCCGTTCTTAGTGCCCTTGTATTGTGACATTAACCTGAGACACACACATACCGTACACTACATATATACAGATAACATACACAAAGACAAGAATTACACACATCTGTGCTCCCATTAGCCATACAGACATGTTCACTGTAGCACCTGAAGGAAATGGAGAAGGTAGAAATACTTACCTGAACCTCTCTCTCCTTCGGAATAGCCACATTTCTCTTCAACTCTGTCTTCAATTCTCAATTACTTCATCTGCCAAGGCCCTATATTATTAGTATACTCTCTCCCATGTGTAAGAGTACAAAATAGGGGTCTGTGGAAGATCAAGCAAAAACGAGGGATCCTCCATATTTGATGCTCACGTGTCCATCTCTCGTAATGACTGATGGGCAGTGGCAAGTTTTGCTGGTGCAAACTGCTTAAAGACCCATTCATTACTATATTTTGCAACAATGTGGCTCTATTATACATTTTATCTCTATATTTATGTATTTCAATGAAAACCCAAAGCATCCTTTGAGGATTTTTTATATAAATATTTTTTTTTTCTTTGCGGAGCCATTCAACAAATCAGGCCCTGTCCGAAATCTATAAAATATTTACACACAACCTCTTGGAAATGGGAAACAGGAAGTGATGCGAGTGTTTTAAATTTTTTTAAGAAAATACAAAATTAGCTGTATTCTTACAAATTTGATGTCTGGAGTGTCCCTTTCAGCATATACAATTTTTATGTTTCTTAAAACAAAATCATATTTTTATATAATTAAATATATTATTTAAAGACTTACAAAACACTTTAATAAAACATTTTTATTAATTTTAATCCCCTCTACTCTTTGTAGCTCTAAAACACATCTTCTTGTCGGTTATGTTTGATAGATATCCCTATCTAGCCTACATGCACTGTTACTATAGGACGAAAGCCAATGTATTCTGGCTGTATTTTCATGCATGTAACCAGGAAATACAGACTCTTACTTATCTGTTACCAGCCCGGCCTAATCATTAAACGTTTCGCTCTATTGTTCATTAAACACGTCTGCAAAAAAGTTACTTTACAAAAACATTTTTTCAATCAAATACATTGTGAGATAAGTTGGCACTAGCATTCTTCGTGTTCTGTCTCATAGCCAAACACTGACAGATTTGGAAAGTTCCCATGAATGTTTGGTAAACTTGTGGGAAAACGTGGAGTAGCAGAGTTTTTAGGTTATCTCCTAGGGTGGCATATGATTGTATTCCAGGAAGAAAGTGAATTTTCCAGCACAACCTTACAGGAACACTGCACGCAACATAACCAGTCTGCTGTTTTAGTCATGGTGCTGATTTATATCGTGTACACCACAGGTTACATTTGATTGATTTTGTTACGGCTTAAGGTAACACTCCAAACACTTAAAGCACTTAAGCTTCCTGATGTGCTTTATGCGTAACGAGTGTGGCCTTCTTTTTTTTTTCATTTTACAAAAAGTGCAAATTCCACTAGCAATTGACACTTTTATAAATCAATCTTGTAACACATCCTAGCTGTCAATTAGGCAACATGTCCTTTTATTTCATGGTAGATTAGCTCACTCCAGAGGCAGACAATTGCTCAGAGCACCTGCCTCTCAATGAGCTGCATTGGACAGTCTATGATTGGACAGCCACAAAAAGTCTGTGCGTGGTTAGAAGGGTAGGGTTTGCAAAGTTTCAGACAAGAGATCCGCAACTTTTGCAAGCTGTTCAATGCATGCATGTTTTCATTGGATGTATATTTACTAAATAGTCGCTAATCGTTTTGGGCAGTGTAGTGTCCATTTAAAGTGATCCTGCCGTGGTAGGTTCACTTTCAGATTTATAACCATTTATTTTTCCAATTATATATGCATTTCTCCCATTGTTAAGCCACAACATGGCATTAGTGGTAAATTTTGTCATTAATGGTAAATTTTCAAGCTGGACAGAGGTGGCAAGTGGTGTCCCTCAGGGGTCTGTTCTGGGACCCCTTCTATTTAGCATATTTATAAATGATCTTGAAGACAGCATTGAAAGTCATGTTTCAGTGTTTGCAGATGACACAAAACTTTGTAAAATAATACAATGTGAGCAAGATATTACTTTGCTGCAGAGGTATTTAGATAGACTGGGGGACTGGGCACTCAACTGGCAGATGAAATTTAATGAAATTTAATGCAAAGTTATGCACTTCGGCGTAAAGAATACACAAGCAACGTATACCCTTAATGGAAGCGAATTAGGGATAACAACACACGAAAAGGACTTGGGAATTGTTATAGACAACAAACTATGGAACAATGTCAATCAGCAGTGGCCAAGGACAGGAAGGTATTGTCATGCATGAAAAAGGGCATTCATTCTCGGGATGAGAATATCATTTTGCCTCTTTATAAATCACTGGTAAGACCACATATTGAATATGCTGTGCAATTGTGGGCACCTGTTCTAAAGAAGGATATTATGGCACTAGAAAAAGTGCAGAGGCGGGCTACAAAATTAATAAAAGGAATGGAACATATCAGCTATGAAGAAAGGTTAACTAATTTAAACCTATTTAGTTTAGAAAAACATCGCCTGAGAGGGGATATGATAACATTATACAAATATATTCGGGGCCAATACAAACCATTGTGTGGAAATCTATTCACAAACCGGACTTTACACAGGACACGAGGCCATGCGTTTAGACTGGAAGAAAGAAGATTTCATCTAAGGCAAAGGAAATGTTTTTTTTACTGTAAGAACAATCAGGATGTGGAATTCTCTGCCTGAAGAAGTGGTTTTATCAGAGTCCACTAGATGCATACTTGCAAAAACAGAATATTCAAGGATATAATCTTTCAATGTAGGGTAATAACTGCTTGATCCAAGGATAAATCTGACTGCCATTCTGGGGTCAAGAAGGAATTTTTTCCTAGCTTGTTGCAAAATTGTGCTTCAAACTGTGTTTTTTTTGCCTTCTTTTGGATCAACAGCAAAAAACAAATGTGAGGAAGGCTGAACTTGATGGATGCAAGTCTCTTTTCAGCTATGTAACTATGTAACATACATAAATAAAATGCAATAATTATTATTGACCTACCATTAGATCCCAGTGATGTTATGGCCTTCTTCATAGAATCCACAAAAAAATTAGCATTTCTGGTTGAGTGTGTGTGTTCATCTGCAGAGGTTTTATGTTGTTCCGAGGTACCTTGTTGAAACTGATTGTGTTTCTTGTCAATCTGGGACACGGAACCCGGGCCATCCAAACCTGATTGCTCTATTCCTTCCATTTCATCTTCCTTGATAGGATGTAATTTATGGACCCCAGCATGAGAGTCTATGATAGGTGCACCTGTCCCTTCCATGAATTGCGGAATTCTACGGTAAGATACTAGCATTGAAAAGCCTTGGCGAAACAGACGTGCCCTTAAAAAAGATTAGTATGTTATCAAAGATGCTTAATATACATATTGCAAAACATATTACATGGGATGGATGCAGTGCATTGAAAGGGACACAAACCACCTTAACTACTTATGCTCCATCATTGCACTAGAAGTCCTTTATACTTCCATCCTTTTCGTTCTAACTATGTTGTTGATATATGACCACACCTGTCAGTCATTGGCATCACAGTAGAGATATCATGCAAGCCCATATTCACAAGTCTCAAAATGAGTTTAATAGCCAAACCAAAAGCATAATGAGGTGAAGCAGTCAACATTGTCCCATCAACAGTCCAGGTTTTGTCAATATCTCCATTTTAATAAAAAGGGGGGATACATAAATACTGGACTGTTGGTGGGCCATGGAGATAGGTTTGGGAACCACTGACTTGCATTATATTTTTCAGTTCAACTATTATGGTTCAAAGTATGAAATTCATGTTAAATTCCCAGCAATTCTGACAGGGTCATTTTCTACAGTCCAAATGTCAGTCTGCATTAACAAATAGGACATTATAGAGGTATTATGACTGCACGATATGGACACTATTATAAATACTAATATTGTTAATAGCATTTATATAGCAGCAATATATTCTTTACAGTAATAGAATAGGGATCTAACAACAACTAATTCAAATAGAGAATAACATTGACAGAGACAAGATGTGAAGAAGTCCTGCACAAAAGAGCTTACAGTCTGTGTATAGGACCACTGTTTGGTCTACAAGTCCAATATGTAGTAACCGGTACACATGGTGAAGCTCAAGGCATTCACAAAGGTTTCCATCCCCAAATCTCTGTGCCCACAAGTTACAATCCAATATAGGAATGTCCCATAATGACAGGAGTAGGGTTTTACATATTAAGACTACTGCCAGGTGGCCCACATACCCTGCTACTATGCATGGCCACAGGTAAGCCACTGTCAGGAATATAACGTCAGTTTACAATGTCAGGATAAAACAGCGGATTCTGAACAATTTCCTTGTCAGATGGTAATTTGAAATTTAAATTCCTGACATTTGACACTTACTGAGTAATTTACTAAAATTACAATTCAAGGTGAATTCAAAGTGAATTTTAAATTTAAGGACAAAGTAGCAAAACTGGCAAAATTCTATAAATCAGCTATGCATTTTATCCATCTAATCTATAAGTTAGCTATGCATTATTCCATCTACTCTTTTATCCACTGTCACACCTCTTGCCCCCCAAAAAAATCTTTCATAAAGATAGACTCTTTATGAAATACTCATGTTGACTGTGTTGGAATTTCAAAACATATATCAAAAGATATTTATTTATTTATTTATAAAATATTTTACCAGGAAAGATACATTGAGATTTCTCTCGTTTTCAAGTATGTCCTGGGTCCACAAATCATTGCATTGTAACAATAGGGTACAATAAAATACAAAACAATATTAATACACAATAAATACAAAATATAACATAGAACAGGTAGGAAATATATAATCAACCATGACACGTGCATTCTATTTTGAGGTATGTAGAGAGGGATCTCTTAAAGTATTTAAAGCCTGCGGAAGATTTGAAAGTGAACGGGAGGTCATTCCATAATTGCAGCGCTCTATAGGAAAAGGAGTATCGGGCTGCTTTCTTTTTGTATTGAGGTAGACTAAGTAAGGTGTTGGTACTGGATCGGAGCTTATAGGAGGTGGGAACAGCCGGGGAGAGCTTTCTGCTCAGGTAGGGTGGGAGTTTCCCAGAAAAGCTCTTAAACACAAGGCTGGAAAGATGGAGGGTGCGCCTGGCTTCCAGCAACAGCCAGTTTAGTTATTTTAGCATGTCACAATGGTGGGTCATGTAATTACATTGTAGCACAAATCGGCAGAACGAGTTATACAATGTATTGAGTTTATTAATGTGGGATTGCGATGCAGATACTACATCCCCATAATCAATGATTGGCATCAGCATTTGCTGTACAATCTTTTACTTTACTGTAGGGCTTAGGCAGGATTTGTTTCTGTACAGGGCACCTAGTTTTTGATAAAGTTTAGATGAAAGTTTTTCAATCTTGAGGCCAAAAGATAGATTGGGATCTAACAACATACCCAAGTATTTGAAAGAGTGGACTACGGTCAGTGTGCTATTTGATTTTGTTTTGATGGATAGGTGGGAATTGTGTAATTTGTGTAATTTAGGTACTGTTCCAAAGGTCATTGTGGTAGTTTTTAGGAAGAGTTTGCAAAACAAAAAAGGGACTACTTTGTTACTTTGTCTCTGTACTTTTCCTATGCATGATACTTCTTGACACTGCCATCAAGAGTTACTACCATCAAGTTCCAGTCCTCCCAGCTGTCACCAGTGATGGCCGTAGGTAAACTGACTCTATCTATGGAGGATCCTGTAGTCTTGTGGAATCCTCCATAGACCCCTCTGCTGTACTCTTGCTCATGCTCAAGTGATGTTGGCTCCTAACAACTAAGGCACCAGGACCGGAAGAGGACCCACCAAAAGAGGATGGCAGGACGAAGGTAAGTAAAACTCACCCCAGGCCACTCAGTGGTACACAAGTACTCAAATTGTGACAGTGCCACTTTCAATTGAAAACTCAATTTATCTCACTTTAATGAACAACCCATTAGGACATAGCAGTAAGGTACAAGACCTGGTGTGTGTTCTTGCACACATTTCTTCATGCTTATGGGCAGGATATGAAAAGTAGGACATACAAAAATGGTAGCTAGCATGCTGTATGTCGTATAAAATAAATCATCTAACACATTAAGGTAGTTTCTTCAAGATTCCTCCTTTATAAACAACTTAATTTCCTTTCTGCTTCATTTGAATATGCTGACCTTAAACATGTGAAATTGTCACATGTCCAGGAAAACATGGTGAACACTGAAAAAAGACAATTTTAAACAGCGTACAGCCATTGTGTCTGCAAATTAGGTATGAAACCTCAAAAAAGAACTAGTCATTCCAGCGTTAATCCTTTACTATAGGCAAACCTGCAAGACACCGACGCAGGGCTGGCCCTCCTTTTACAAACAGACTGTTTATGAAAACTTTTCTCTGGGGTCCTGTTTCTCAGGACTGTCTTACCAAATTGAGGACAGTTGACAGTTATCAGTCTTAAAACAGTACCTGTCATAAGGCTATATTTCATGGCCCTGTAAGAGGTCTTTGGTATTTAACTATATTTTCTCTTAATTATTCTATTTTTATATTCACAGGGTAGGTTGGTGGTTTGTGGGTGAGAATCTCGTGTCTGTGATGACACCTTTTATGGCAATGTAGCTGTATTTCTTATAACTCAGACTGATGTCTAAAAACCACACGTAAAAAAACTTTTTAGGTACATCTACAGTTTATTAGTAAACCTATTCATACTATTGCACAGTCAATAAAAAGCTATATATCATTAAAACAAAAGGCCTATATCCACAGCCATTTACTGTGGCTGGTTGATTATTTAAACTTAAAGTCATTTGAATCAGTTATAACAATTCTTGTCATTTTTACCATTTAAATATATCTTTTAATTATAGTTACGCGACAGTCTATGTGAACCCTGTGCATTTTAACATTTCTTATAGGAATTTTCAAGAAGTTATTTTTGGTTCGTAGGAACATTACAATATATGTGCTTTTATTTAAAAGTCTTACTCTATCAGATTTATTCAGTAATGTAAAAAAATTTATGGAATTTAAAGTGCATTTCAAATTTCAGGTGAACAGAAACATGCCCTAAGTCACCTATGCTTCTAATTCCACAACTTTAGTCTTACATTTAAAATTCACTGTGACATCTCAGTTTAGTGATTAGCCCTGTATATGTTTAATCCTTGTGTTATTTGGCTTTAACCCCATGAGGACACATGATGACGAAATATTCCGTCATGATTCCCTTTTATTGCAGAAATTGTGTCCTTAAGGGGTTAAGTGGGCCCCCTTTTCATTTCCAGTATTTGCTATTCACTTACTTTTGCCATTCTTCCCCATCCCCAGCCCTTCCACCACCCATAAGACCTACCTGTTGTCTAGTTGAGGGCAAATAATGGATACGCATTATGAATTATATCCTTGGAGATTGGAGGAGACACAACCGTGTGTCAGTGTTTTAAATCATGATCCCTTCTTCCTGGATAGCAACTTAATCCAAGTCCTGTTTTTCTGTCTGGCTGAATCTTTGCACTTTCATACGCACGTTTTAAATATAGTTATGATGAAAATAAGTTGCAGTCTATTTCCTTGTTTGTAGTGTAAATGGAATTCTTTACACTCACACGTTTTATGCACCCTTGTGCCTATGGTTGCGTTGTACGTTAAGAATGAGAAAAATGGAGTCAAGTTACATTTGTCATAAAATAAAGTAGATGTGATTTCAGAGGGTAAAGAGCTGTTTTAACCTTTTTGTAGTTTATCTTGTTCCTTACAACAAGAGGGTTTGTACTAGAATAACAGCCAAATTGACATGGAATTGGCACCTTAAAAGGTGTGTAAAATGTTTTTTATGTTGTTTTGTTTTTTTACCTTACATCCTGAAAATCAGTAACAAAGCTTTTAACCCTTTAAAATAGCTCTGTCCATTTTGTGAGTCTTTGTATATTTTGAAAAGACCCCTAACGGTGACATCCCCCCAACTCCTTCCTATGTGCAGTGTCCGGGGAAGCTTTTGGTGTATGTGTTTATAACAGAGCTCAACAGTAATAAAACACAATACGGGCAATTGACTAAAGTCTAAATTTAGTCTGGATTTGATATTTTGCTAAAATAAGTGAACCAACCGGATTGGCAATTCTCATATTCACAAAAGGCAAATTAGATTGAATTTCAGTTATATCAACTGAATGAGTACATCTTTTACACCAATAATTTACACTAAAGTGAATATTAACCTTAAAATTAGACTATAGGCACCCAAAGCACATCATCTCAATGAAGTAGTCTGGGTGCAGTGCCCCTGTCTGTTTTACCCTGCAATGTAAAATAGTTTCTGAGAAGCTGCACTGTTTCCATTGCAGAGTTAATTCCACCTCTAGTGGCTGTCTTCCAGACTGCTACTAGAGGCACTTACTCCTTGAAACAACATTCTACATACTCACACTTTGAATGAGGACGATTAACGTCTTCAAATCCCCCACGAGAAAGCACTGATTCAATACTTTCCTATGGAGAAGCTTTAAGGCAAGCACTGCATATACGCATTAGGTCTCACCATTGCCGTGATGTTTTTAACTGGAGGACCTAGTATGTTAGGGAAAGGAACACTATAGTGTTAAGAGATTTCTCACTCCCGAGATTCTCATATGACAATTAGAGGATGTGTATATTTATCAAGGGTCAAATTTTAACCAGATTCATTCTGAACAGATCTGGAAAAAAGCTGCGACATGAAATCACTTGTATTGTGTATTTAATTTTGGATATAATTTTGCAAGAAATACATGCTCATGGGCAGCACAACAACCAGCAGTCAAAGGGTTAAAATATTTGAAAATTAATAAAATAACATAGATGTAATACATAATATTGATTAAAAAAAAGAATCATCTAATATGTATTTCATAACCTAAACTTTTATTCTTTTAATTATTGGGGTACAATGTACTCCCTATGAGTTTGGTATTTAAATGGTGCTAATGACAGATGTTGCAGTATATTAGAACGTATTGGAATCAGAGATGTATTTGCCTTGGGCGGCACTTTCCAGGTGCGGGGGCAAAAATGCCACCCCCAAATGCCCAAGCAAATGCCTTGTTAGCCTGGTGGCAGGCAGAGTGATGCCGGAAGCCAGATGCAGCAGAGTGATGCCGGAAGCCGGAATATGATGTCAGGCCCAGGCCTACCTGGACCTCAACTAACCGCCCGACTGCCTGCACGCCTGCCTCCCTCCCTGCCCAAACCGACCGACCAGCATCCCCACTGGACCCCAGGTAAAAAATCCACCCAGCTCTCCCAAAGGTAGGGAGGCTGGGTGGATTTGAATTCAAATTTAAAAATAATCTGTGAGTGTTGGGGGAAAATGTGTGTGTGTGTCTGGCTGTCAGTGTATGCGTGTGTGTATGTGTGTGTGTGTGTGTGTGTGTGTGTGAGTGTGCGTGGCTGTCAGTGTGTGTGTGGCTGTCAGTGTGTGTGTATGTCTGTCAGTGTGTCTGTGTGTGTATATCTGTCAGTGTGTGTGAGTGTGTGTGTCTATCAGTGAATGTGTGTATGTCTGTCAGTGTGTGTCTGTGAGTGAGTGAGTGTATGTCTGTTGTGTGTGTCTGTGAGTGAGTATTTGTGTGTGTGTGTGTGTATGTCTGTCAGTGTGTGTCTGTGAGGGAGCCTGTGTGTCTGAGTGATTGCATGTGTGTCTCTATGTGAGTGTGTCTGTGCGTGTGTGTGTATGTCTTTCAGTGTGTGTCTGTGAGGGAGCCTATGTGTCTGAGTGATTGTGTCTGTCAGTGTGTCTCTGTGAGTGAGTGAGTGAGTGAGTGAGTGAATGTGTGTGTCTGTCAGTGAATGTGTATGTGTGTGTGAGTCTGAGTGAGTGAGTGTGTATGCCTGGCAGTGTGTGTGTCTGTGAGAGGGGGTGTGTCAGTGAGTCAGTGTGTGTGTCTGTGTCATTGTGTGTGTATGTGAGTGAGTGTGTGCGTGTCTGTCAGTGATTGTATGTGGCTGTGAGTGAGTTAGTAATTGTGTGTGTCTGTCAGATTGTGTCAAATCAGTGTGTATGTCAGTGTATCTGAGAGTGTGTGACTGTCAGTCAAAGTGTGTGTTAGTCTTTAAAAGGAAGAGGTGTGGCATTGACAGGAAGGGTGGAGCAAATGTAAATTAGGGTTACCCGAGTTCCATCATGCCTAGGACAGCACAGATCCAAAATACACCACTGATTGGAATTGACTACTATCAGTTATCTGGTAGGTTGTAATTTAAACAATAAAGACTTGAGAGTTAATTGAATAAATATGAATGTATTAAAATCCTGTGACAAGGAAATAGGCTGGAAAATGTGTTAATTGTAAAAAAAAAAAAAAACATGGATTTGTTCTGATCTGCTCCAGTAGGGGGCACATTTGTAAACTAATTTCACTTGCTTTTTATAGTGGAAACTAGTAAAATTCACTAGATTTGTCCACTAGCCATGAAAGCAGTCAGCAGATAAACTGACAAAAGAAAAAAAAAATTGAAAATGTGTATTTTTTCATTTTGCAAGAAGTACAGATTTCAATAGAAATTATACTTTTATAGATTAATCTGATTACACCACTTGGCTGTCAATCAGATAACATTATTTCCTGGTTTGGTTAGCTAGGTAGGTGGAGCTAAACTCAGGAGGCAGCCATAGCCCAGAGCACCTGCTTTGCAAAGAGTTCTCATTGAGCTGTATTGGGAAGTCTGTGATTGGACAGCCACAGAAAGCCTGGGCGGGGTTAGAAGGGGAGGGTTTGCAAAGGCAGCAGACATAGAAATGCAGGTTCTCATTTGGGGTATATCTACTAAACAGTGATTTCATTAAATTTTGTATTTGTGCAGTAGACTGTCCCTTTAAGAATCTTTTTAGTATTTTAGACTTTATATTTGCATCTGATGATAGCTAGATCATAATGTAAATGAGGGTAACTCACAAAGCAAACTGTGTTCTGTTTCTAGATTGTATCAAGGCTGTTCATACTGTGATATCAAAAGGTAACTTTTAGCAATGTAAACAGAACTATCCAAGCATGCATTACATTACAACAATTTATACATTATATCAAAATGAAAGCCTTCAATATCCAAACAAATTCTTATGACCATCCAAACAATAAAATGAACATGAAAAGTACAGTTAACCAGGAGTCAGAATTACCAATAAATAGTTTGAACTCTTCCAATGCAACAAGATTCAGGATTCAGTTTGTAATGAGTTTCCTTTCCTCTTTCTCTAAAATAGTTATTAGAAGAGGTTATTTACTAAATCGTGAGAAAAAAAACAAAGTGAAAAAATAATTGAATTGGGGTATTTTTTTTCTAATTCAGCTATTTTGGCATTCTTAAATGCACTTTAAATATAATTTTTGGTTTATTCACAAAAGTGGGAATTCCAAAGGACGTTCATATTAAAGGCCCAAGTAGCTAAACTGATAGCAAAGCAGCCTGTGAGATTTTATTCCATTGTTTTGTTGTTGTTGTTGTTTTTGTTTGTTTCGATGCTTCTTTATGGAAGTGTTGTAGTTGACAAGCTCCTCTTTGGCCATAAATAGTATCCAGCAATTGTGGCAGCTACCAGCGTATTCACAGTAACATTTTGCAAACCAGGTTGTGTGCAGCTGTGCCCCAAACTGTGGGCTGTAATTGCCCTGATCCGAGGCTTGGAGTTTCTCCAGGGCAGGAAGGAGATGTGCATCTTACAGCGGCTCACTCACCCAAGACATGCCAGAGTAGGGACAACGTTGTCTTATGTATTTTTCCAATGCTTGACCAATCTTGACGAACAGTGCAGTTTAAGGCAAACCACATCCTTTGTCAAGATTTGTCAAGTCCCATTTTCCCACAATTCTTACCAGCCCATTATGTCACTTGTTTATAACCTTGTGATCTGGGTGTCGGAAGCGCATAGTGAACATTTGCATCTTTTCCATAAAAACAAGTAATGCTGTAATTACAGGGCGGAGAAGGGGCACACGAAGGCAGAGACTATACATCACTGCCAGTATACTGAGCATGGCAACGGCTTGGAAAGAGACCCAGCGTTCCAGTTGAGAAGAGAAAATAAAGTAAAACCTGGTGAAAAATATGGCATTGACATTTAGGACTGATAAAGTAGAGGGGAGGAGGGGGGGGGGATTGAAGGGGTAAGTATAAAAGTAACATAGGGTTGGCCTGTGACAGAGCTGCTTTAAAGGTGCATGAAGCAGTGAACATGCTAAACAAATCTCAGAGAGCAAAGTAGAAAGGATAAATTGTTACTTTAACCACGAGCTGCAAAGGAGCAGGTTTTTAGCTGCAGACATTTGTTATTACTACAATTAAAATCAAGAACAACATGGGAGGACAGCAGGAACATGTACAACGTAATGGTTGGAGCTTCGAAAATGGCCAAAGTTTATACAAAATACACAAATAGGGCTTAGCACATGAACAATTTGCTTAAGAAATTTCTAAACATTTTCAAATATTTCAAGACTATTTACAGTCGTAAGTCTCATCTGAAAAAATGATGATTTAGTTAAACATATGGACATGCTGTGTTTGTTGCTGATGTAACCCATGTTTATATAAAATCCACAAATAGAAATCAGTGTACATTTTGTTTGGTCCAAAGACAATATAGCCATTTAGTGACACAATTCTCATATTACCCAATATGTGTTATGTATTTAAATATGTTTTAAAAATATTTATAGTGACACAATCTTCATATTACCTATTATATATTATGCATTTAAATATTTGAAAAAATTAACTTTTAAAAGCGTGTACCAATCTGAATTTTCTGCGCCATAACCTCTACAATTATGCAAGTTGTTACGGTGCTTAAAATGACCGTTTACCAGAATTTGTCACTGTCTGATTACCTTTGGCTCTGCCTCCACAAAACAAAAAAATTACCAGAAAATGAAAGCAAATACAATCAGTGAAAATATTGACATTAATTTTTACATTGAGATTTTGCTAATCTTTGCAGATTCTAGTTACAGTTTAACTTGTTTAACATTTTCTTACATTTAACTAGCCTGTAAATCGAAGGATCAAGTAGCAAGAACCAACTTCATAACTTTTAAAGAGAGACTGTTACTTCTTGGGAATTTACACTATCTAATAAAATTTTGAAAATCACCAATAACTTGTGCTCATATTTTTTCATGAAATGTTCCATTTTCGTTTCCATTTATCTTAAATCCTTAGCAAATGATTTATAATCCAGTTCAGAGAAGACAAAGCCAGGACAATCATTGCAAATTAAGATGAGAAGAAGAAATGTTGTATACTCTCTATGCTGACTGCCAGGTGCAAAGAACAGTGTGTATAACAATGATTGACAGGAAGCTAACATGGTGGTGCCTACCGACAAGATAAAGTCGATTTTATCAAGGTTATTCAAAAAAGTGAGAATTTAAAGTGAATTTCAAATTTAAGGTCAAAATAGCTAAACTTGAAACATTCTCCCAATCACATGTGCTTTCAGTTCAGCTACTCTGGCCTTACATTTTTAATTATCTTTGAATTCATTGCAAAATCCCACCTTAGTGGATAACCGTGTATGTTTCACAACTAACAAACCCATATTTTTTTTTTTAACTATAGCGATAAGTAAACATAATATTAAAAATCTTGCAAAGTGTCAGTTCCCCTTTAAAGCATCAAATGTGTATGAGAGTAGCCACATAGTAGGGCTATACAGATGTGAAATGTAACTATTGCTGTATCTCGCTGTACCTTTTATCAGTAACTTATTAGTATGAACAGAAGTTATCTGGATGTTAATAGAATGAACTATACTGAGGTAAGGGTTTAGGTTGTTTAAAACTTTCGAAATAGCGAGTTTGGTAAACGGAAAGCCAAATTGCTACATTTCAACCAATGTAGCTCTGAGGGGCAGCAAAAACCGTCCAACTCACAGTTTAGTGAAGATGTCCCAATGAAAAATGTTACTTTCTTTATTAAGAATGACATAACTCACAGGGAGAGGTCCCATTTCAGAGAGGTGCCAATCATTGATAAATAAATAGCTTTAATATCCTATAAATAACACTTAGAACACTAAAACAATATTAAAATATAATATCCATACAATCATATGAAGGCAGTGTAACTGGTTCTAACCAATCTTGTTTTACAATTAGTATGTTTCACATGAAGTATACAGAGCTTCTCCTATACAACCCGTATTAACCCTTTCAGTGCCAGCATCTCTGGTACTCAAGAGGTTAAAATAGTTTTATAGAGACATGAAAAGGTTTATTCACTAAACACCAAATTGTAATCAACTGGAATGGAAATTGCAACATTTCTTGTAAACTAACCAAACTGTGTCTATAGTAGGGTCTGGACAAGTCTCGGTGTATAGGAGATCCCATAGTAACATGAAATCTGGAGATATTAAAATGTTTTTAATGCTTACCTCCCAGCCGCTATCTTGCTACTTCTAACATTTCACCAAATAACAGTCTGAATACTCTGTGCGGAACTGCAGCTGATACATCCCTTCCTCTGTGACCTCTCTACCTTTCCTGTTGACTGAACAGCCCAGTGCTAAGCTCTGACTCTCTAAACTAACAAACAGTTGACCATTAACAGTTTAAGTTTGTCTACAGAGCCATGTATTCGGGTACGGCATTTCGAGTTTAAATGGTTTTAATGCCATTTAACACAACACTGAGCTGTACAAGGTTCTATGAATTATTTTCCCTATTTCTGAGTTAAAGTGACACTTCTGGAGCTTTTTTAACTCTTCAAGCGTCAGGAGAGTTTGAGCATGATTAACTGCTTAATTTAGTTAATATTAAGTGTACTTTTTATCACTATAAAACATGTCTATTTTATTTTAATGGACGGACAGGATTTTCTTCTATAAAACAGATTAAGTCATAGCACACACATAAAAATACATTTTTAAATCTTGTAAGGCTACTTAAAATCACCTATCTCAGCAAATAAATAAGGGGATTCAGTTCCACCATACGGCTGTATTGTGTTAAGCCAACCACTACTTCACAATACCACAATATCAACTGGTCCTACACTAATTCCAATGTGGGAGACAAATTAAATAGTGCTAAATAAGCTACAGTGTATGTAACCCCTTAAGGACTGTGGATGTACTAGGTGCGTCCGACAAAAAAGGTCCTTAAAGCATGTCCTTAATACTTACCCGGCCGCCGCCGTTCCCCTGCCAGCGATCGGTGTTGCTCCAAGTTTGGGGGTACTGCCTGACAGCCCAGACAGTCCCCCCTCTGCAAATTATCTTTTATATAACGTTATAATAAGTGTATTTTTTTTATTAAGATATACATAATATGTATAACTATTTATATTGTTTATATATATTTATTATAAAAAATAAAAAATAATTAATAAAAAATAAAAAATAAATGAAAACATAATAAAAAGAATGTAAAAACATATATATATATATATATATATATATATATAATTTTATTCTTACTGCATTTTGATATTAATATATATTTATATCAAAATACACTTAGAATGAAATGATATATGTATATGAATGTATATATATATAAATAAATAAAAATAATAAGAAATATATAAATATCCATATACATAATTACATATTTTTTTTCATAAATATACATATAGACTTCAAATATATAAATATGTATATATATTCAAATTATACATGCATATTTATGTGATTTAATTTGCTAGCACTGTATTTAATCCTGTAACTTTCCATGACACCCTAAAATCTGTACATGGGGGGTACTGTTTAATTAGGGATTCTTCGTTAAACACAAATATTAGTGTTTCATAACAGTAAAACATATCACAGCGATGATATTGTCAGCGAAAGTGAAGTGTTTTGCATTTTTCACATACAAATGGCATTTTCACTGATTATATCATTGTTGTTATACGTTTTACTGTTTTAAAAACCCTAATAATTGTGTTCAGCGAAGTCTACTGAGTATAACAGTACCCCACATGTAGAGGTTTTATAGTGTTTTTGAAAGTTACATGGTCAAATATAAGGCTTGCTTTTTTGTTTTTTTACATTGAAATTGCCCAGGAATGAGAATCACCCCTTTAATGGCATACTATTTGCAAAAGAAGACAACCCAAGGTATTGCAAAAGGGGTATGTTCAGTCTTTTTTCGTTACTGTTCATAATAGTTTTTTGCATTTTTAACACACAAACAAATATAAATGCTATCTTTGGCCAGTGTTTGTGACTAAGTGGCTACTAAAAAGACTAGACATATCCCTTATTGAATACCCCGGGTTGTCTACGTTAAAAAAAATATGTACATGTGAGGTGTGATTGAGACATTTATGACAGATAACAGTGTTACAACGTCACTATTTTAAAAATATATATTTTGAAATAGCAATGCCCTACTTGTATTTATTGCCCTATAACTTGCAAAAAAAGCCAAGAATATGTTAACATTGGGTATTTCTAAACTCAGGACAAAATTTAGAAACTATTTAGCGTAGGCGTTTTTTGGCGGTTGTAGATGCGTAACAAATTTTGGGGGTCAAAGTTAGAAAAAGTGTGTTTTTTTTATTTGTTCATCATATTTTAAAATTTTTTTTATAGTTAATTATACGATATGATGAAAATAATGGTATATTTAGAATGACCATTTAATGGCGAGAAAAACTGTATATAATATGTGTAAGTACAGTAAATGAGTAAGAGGTAAATTACAGCTAAACACAAACACCGCAGAAATGTAAAAACAGCCCTGGTCCTTAACGGTAAGAAAATTTGAAAAAAATGCTGTTGAAAGAGCATTTTGTATATATAAAATTCAACATTAATGTGTTAAATACAATTCAAAAAAATGCAGTGTCAAACTTAACAATTAAAGTGATAGTGCTTTGATGTATATACTCAGAGAGCAAATTATATATCTGCTCAATTACAATTATAATTAAAGTGACATTACTATCCAAAACCTCCTCAAATGATACCTATAGCTGTGGTCATCTCTAAAGGGACACCTGAAGCTGGGGGACTGGGCTTGGTGCTTAACCCCAAAAGGAGTCTGGTCAGGATTTTCTTCTGGCACATTATAAATACAAGAATGATGCCATATACAAGAGAAGTAATGCTAAAGCATGTATTATATATTTTATGGATTTCCAAAATAGTGATAATGTCTCAGTAAAGTCTCATACGTGTCAGACAAAAAGCCACTAATGGTGCCTTCTCATTGAAGACCTTTGACAGTCGAAGGTCTTCACGTTAGGCGTCATCATGCACAGTATGAATTGGATTCATTGCTAATCAATGAAAATAATTTGATTGATGGAGTAGAGCATTTGCCATGCATGTGACCCATATCTCCGGTTCTTTTCTATGAGAAACACTGGTTTGGATAAAAGTCATCATAACTGGTGGCTTCATTGAAGGTGGCATGACTGCATAGCGGGGACTGTACCGGAACGGGTTTACACGTGTTTTATGGTGGTTTTCTTCCCTTTTTTTTCCCTTTCAGTAAAGTGCGGAGGGAGTAATCTAAACACATTAAGGAACACCCTATCATTAAAAAGTAACCCATATATTTTTTTTATCGTTACTGTTTTTCTTTAATTTAAGCAATTAGAAGATGAATGGGGTAAGCAGTTAGGGAGTTCTTCATGTTAAGAGGTACATACATTTAGGGGCTATTTATATTATGCTTTAGACCTTTGGTTGCTTGAGAATAATGGGAGTAATAGTTCACAGTATTTCTAGTGCCCATAACAGAACCCTGCTGCAATCTTGCACTCTAGTGACACAATGTTATGGTGTGGGGTACACCACTGCACCCCATTCTATAATGATGCATGGCGAGCTGATGGCCCCGCTGCATAAGACATGAAGTTCGCAAATTTCTGTGGTGCCCAGGCTGCTTAACACCAAAGTAACATACAGATACAAAGACATCTATAGGAAATAGCAGTGTGGTCAAAAATAATTAGGAACTAGGTAAAGTTCATTGTAATGTGCCTATTTTTATAATGTGCTTTACATACTTTACATTTTATGTGTATAACTGCAAGGATACGACTTTACTCAGTCATCACTATGCTGGACATCCATACATTGTTCTCAAACTCCTGAACTCAGCAAATAAATCACATGATTCCTGAAACTGTATCTCTGTCCTGGAAATTCTTCTCTGTTAGATAAACAGGAAGGCATATCACCATTGCTGTATCCCATTTTGATAGCCTTCACAGTAAGCATCTCAGGCAGCAGATTGTTTGTTAGAATAAAAATATTGCAAGGCCAGTTAGAATTCTAAAAATGCAAAACACGCAGTTATTAAATGCAAAATATACAGTCAATACAATATTTTAATCCGTTTATGTTAAATTAGGAAATGTTTGGGGGATTATTCACTAAACAGTGAATTTCAGTGAATTGAATACTAAACTGCAAAATTTAAGTAAACATATGGGTTTTGGAAAAAATCACCAACAGAGATGTAGTTATGAATTGGCGATATTAGCCTGAATATTGCAATTAAGGTTTTCAATTCAATACAAGTTTCTGTTTCATAAATTAAAAACCAACAGGGTTATCTCAACTTTTGACACGATTTTTCACTATACTTTGAATGGACAGAATTTTTAAAAAAAAATTATTAGAGTACAAACAAATGTGTAATTCTCATATTTACTAAAGCTGTTAGAGCATATGATTTACATATCTACCAAACTCTGAATTAGTGGATCTGGAGTAATTCCAGTAAACAAATTTACTTGCAATTTAGTTTGGCAACTCTCTTTGCCTATTCAGTGTATGCGTGGGGCCTGCACATACCCTATCCTGGCTGGCCCAGCCAATTTGGGCACCAACAGAGAGGCAAGTTTTATTTGACCTTGTTTTGGGCTGAAGATAAGGATAAGATGGTAAGTTTACTTTTTACTATACAGATATGACCATGACAATCTCTGCCCCACGCTTGAACAAAATTACTTCCTGCACCGATAGGAATCTCACACGGAGCAGGCTGAATGGATGGAAGATCTTACACACCTTCATTCTGAGATCCGATCACTCAAAATGGTAAAAAAAAAAAACCTTAATGGAAAGGAATGAGGGGGAAACACAAGAGAAAGTGATTTCGTACAGCAGTATAACTAAATGAAAATTAGTACTATGTTTAAAAGAGCACCACATATTGCAATTGACCCAAAAAGGTGTGTTGGTTAGATCCTTAATTTAAACAGCATATAAAAAAAATGAAATAAAAATGTATTTGAGTATATGTAATCTGCACTATTGGACATGTTACAAGATACAAGCAAATAACTGCAGGAAAAAAAGGTTGATTAGCCGACATTGCAAGGGTTAAAGTGCAGGTAGTCTGACGTTCAGCTCAATTTACGAGAACCTGACTGGCTGGTTTGTTTGTTGTTTTTTTGGCTATGCAGCAACATTTACACCAAAATTGTTATGTACTAGGTTTTATAACTTTTCTGCAATGCCAATTAGTAAAGGTGCTAGCTGGTAAAACCAGGCAAAATAGCTCACTTGCTGAGTGCTGCTATAATGTGCTGATCTCCCCTGTGTTGTTGAAAGTAAATGTACAATAAAGTTGTACTTACTGAGCATGTCATTGCAATGAAAGAGGCAATCTCATTTCTTAATTACAAATATAGATTAAAACACAGAACCCCTCCAAAAAGGGGGAGGCCGTGGAGACTTTATTTTATTCCACCCCAGTATGGCTGTAGTATCGAGAATATTATTATTATAATTGCCATTTATATAGCGCCAACAGATTCCATAGCACTTTACAATATTATAAGAGGGGGGATTTAACTATAAATAGGACAATTACAAAAATACTTACAGGAACGATAGGTTGAAGAGGACCCTGCTCAAACGAGCTTACAGTCTATAGGAGGTGGGGTATAAGACACGTTAGGACAGGAAATATCAATCAAATAGGGTGTTAAGTAAGAACCTAACAGATGAATATAGAGAAACTGTCTTTAAAAAGGGCAGCTCATATTTTGGCAGGTTTATAGAAAGGCTAACTTGTCTTGGTGTTTGTTACACCTAGAAAGGTGTCAGTCCAAAACATTGTATCTGCAAGGTATGTAGGGGGACAGATCTGACTAGCAGATTTCAAATCTCTCTGTACACAGCCTCAGTTTTATTTAGGAGCACTAGTTCTCAGAATACTCTTGCGACCCATTTTTTTCTCTCCATTAGTTTAAAGGGTAATCCAGACGTGGACCCCTTGCTCACGGTGCCTAGAGAGATATCAGCTATGCCTCACTGACAATGCCTAACAAGGCTGAAACGATCGTCTGGGGTTGCTGTATCTCTCGTGCAGAGAGAACTTGCTGGCATTTCGGATCTGGACTGCCCGTATGGGTGGGACCAGTCTGATATGCTTCAGATATGTTCTCTCTGTAATGGCACAAGTTGAGCTAAAACCAGCTTGAGTTCTGAGCGGGGACCCACCGAAGGGCAGGCTATTTTAGCTGCTGTCCGTTCTCAGAATACTCTTGCGACCCATTTTTTTCTCTCCACTAGTTAACTATCCTTGTAGACTGTCATATAAAATATGATAGGCAAAGTCAAATGTGGAAAGGCACAAGGAGTACAGTGCATCAGATAGCAGTGGAGGCTAGACAGTGCAGTATGCTGGTAAATGGTAAGTATAGTTTCGAAGCGGCCAGTAGACTTGTTCACATTGAAAAAACTTGGTTCAGCTGAATTGATTCTCTTAATGTCCCACTTCTCTATATTACATTAACTGCAATAAACTTAGTTTTTTGCTAGGTGGCAGCATAACACATATGTTATGCTTCATACTTATATGTTCTTGCAGCACTGAAGTTTTTTTAAAGGTTTGTGCATTTAGCTGTAGATAGTCAAAACTATGCCGAGTTAATTAATGAATTCATTCATTAATTAATAGAAAGGCATGGCATAAAACGTGCTGTAAACATTGCAATATGCAATTTTTTGTTATTGTAAGCACCTAAATTATCCGTACACTGGATTTTAATATTTTTATTCTACTCTTTTAGGTTTTAATATATACTATAAAATTATAGAATTTATATATTCCGTTCTAACACATTTGAAATAAATATAATGAGAGTGAAAACAAATTGTAACAATTACGTTTTTCTATTTTTCTTTTGTTAAGCAATCATACCTTTACTTTTAAAAAAAAAAAATACTTTAAAAATGAAAATAAATATAGTCCCACAACCACAAAACTAAAATGTCACATGTAATAAGTAGTTGGTTCAAATCCCACATTAGCAGATGCCATTAAAAGCACAATGACAACAATAGCTTTATACAATTTTTGAATTAATTTTATATCAGTAATTTGTTTTGGACAATACAATAACAGTTCTATTGAAAACATATTTTGCTACCATAATAATCCCACTTTGATGGTTTTACAGATTAATTGTGGGGTTGGTGGAACTGAGATACTGTGTTCACCTATTCCGCACAAATGATTACCCACTAATCTGCACGTCTTAATTCCACAATTTAATTGTATGCTGTGACAGAAGCTCCCATGCCATGGTCTTTTGGAGAGGCTTGAAGTCCAGCCTCTTGCCCACAGACTGTGGACCTTTTCCCGAGAGCCCTTGAAATTGGCTTGTGATGGTAGCAATTGGATAACAAACTATGCACTGTTACTTGATAACTCTGCAGTGCCCTCTGCTGACTGAGTAGAAGTGTGTGCATTTACATAATGCAAGCATGCAAATGAGGGCAACCAAATATTGCTGTTTTTGTACTGTGCTTGAAAATGTTACTGGTATTACATATTTCATGTATTAATTATAATTGCTTGTTCTCCAATCTTCTGTGTTTTTTGTACTTCAAATGCTTGTCACCACAAGTTTAAGGATTAGTACCCAAAGGCTAGTTCTTGTCCAAAAATAAAGAATTGCGCTAGTTATTATTATTAGTAGTATTGCCATTTATATAGCGCCATCAGATTCTGTAGCGCTTTACAATATTATAAGAGGAGGGAATTTAACTATAAATAGGACAATTACAAAAAACTCACAGAAACGATAGGTTGAAGACGACCCTGCTCAAACGAGCTTACACTCTATAGTTCTATTTGGAACTGTATCTAATTTGTTCATGGACCCCAGTAACAGGTAACAGATTTGCTGGCTGGCTGGATGGATGGTCCCTGTAGCATGGGGCAAAGTCAAAAGGCCAGGCCTGAGGGTCACAAGTGCCATTATAAAAGCAGGTGCAAATCACATTGCATGCAGAGGTGCATACCTGCCTGGAAGGAGAGCTGCAGAGGAATAGGCAAAGGGGACGATACCTTCATGGAAGAAGAGTTGCAGCCTGGTCGGGTGGAAGAGCTCCTGGGATTCCCCAGTCAAGTTTCGGAGACAGATCTGATATTATAAACTGTGGCTGAGACCTTAAAGACAAACGTGAGATCTTTATTTCCTTTTTTCTATTCTTATTCCTAATATTATCCATATTAATGTTACATAAAATAAATAATATGCACTTAAAATTGGTAAAAATGTATACCAAATAGTCCAAATTATTATCAAGCAATTATTCTGGGCTTTAAATTTTGCATGTCGTACTTATGAACGGTTACTTGTTCTGCATTATATAAATTTATGTAGCTGTTATACTTTATCCTGAAGCACAAAAGTGTCCTAAACAAAGAGTTGTAATAAATACAAAATAAATTCCCTAAATATATATGCAGTTGGTTCTTCTTATGTAGATTATACTATCTTTTTTGATTATCCACCCACTGTTGAAGATCTCTGAGTCAGTTAATTGCCACTCATGGATATTTGAGGACGTATAAGACACCACACATATATAAAAATTCAGTTTTAAAATAGTTCTTTATATTGTTTCTCATGAAGTTCAGAGGGCCATTACTTTTCCTGAAAAAATGAATGAGAATTGTTCCGGTATGTCAATGAAAAATGCAAGTGGGTTCTATGCACTTGTTCATGTACTTCCATTTTGTTGGTCTAACTGAAAAAATATATGCATTTTTAACCCCTTAAGGACCAAACTTCTGGAATAAAAGGGAATCATGACATGTCACGCATGTCAGGTGTCTTTAAGGAGTTAATACACAATTTCCGTTCACTGTCCCGGGTTCTCTGTTTCTTTTTTATTGATTTGTCTATACTCTTCTGTCTATTTTCCTCTGATTGTACAGCAATGTGGAGTATGACAGTGCTTTATAAATAGCAATAATAATAAAAGTGATAATAATTACAGCATTCTCAAAACCGAGACATGATCTGATGACCAAGTCATAATCTGTTACTTCCTGTCTAAGGTGAGAGACCAGTGGGTGGAGCAATGATCAGTGTTTTTTTTCCACACAAGCTTGAAGTATGCTGCAAATTCATCCGCATTAAATATTTTTAGGTGCTTGGAATGTTTTTGTATCTAAAAATATTTTATATTTTCCTTTCTCTCCTGAGGTGTTTAAGATTACAGTGAGAGAAAGTGACTCGTAGATTGCACACATTCTAATTTCAAGTTCTGCATGTGACTTACGCCTGATTAGCTGTAATACAGTATTTTTCCAAATCTTGAGGTGAGAGCACCGATAAGTTCAATCAAGTGTTGAAAAAGGGGCAACATGGAGTTCCTGTCTCCACATAAAGTTGGTGAGGACTTCAAACATACATTGCAATAAACTAAGGCCTCCAGCTCATGTGAGTGTATTTCTTGTTTGTATCAGCTCTATACTGATTAGGGTACTACACTATGTCGGTCTCTTTTATTTACTTTGAGAGTGGATATCAATGGACGATCTACCCATTGATCTACATGTACTACTTCATACTCAACTGGTCACTCAACTGTGACCACTTGAGATAGTTAGAGCTCACTTGTAAGCTCTATCTTATGTGAGTGCTCCATTATATACACTTTTTATAATGTGTTGCACTATAATGTCTACTTCTGTTAAAGTGATTGGATTCTGGTCCATTGTTTAACATAACATTATGAAGCTCGGTATTGTGCTGGTGTGGTTTCATGTGAAACACATTGGTTGTATTTGTATAAATATTTCTCCATTTTACGATTATTGATACTTTGGATTCATTGTATGTTTTTGGGGACGTTCTACATGAACTGTGGTAGCAGGATTCACTTAAGCAATGATACAATAGACATGTATCCACTTTACTGTGATAACTCTGGTGCACAATTGCATGTTTTTGTTTTTTTAAAATAGGTATTCATAAAGTTTAGTGTCATGTTCGTTGTCAAACTTCCCTTAACAAGTACAAAAACAAACAAACAAAAAAACGCCAACTGTTTTATTGCCTTAGTAAGAATAAAACAACTCCTCGTTTTCACTTAATTTTCAGGTAAAGAAACGGCCTTGTTACCAGGATCACTGTAGAAATATGTAGATAGACTTGAGAACATTAATAATGTTGAAAATAACAGGAAGTACTGTTAGCCTGCAGCCCGTACACTATTGCAGACAGAAAATCATCAGAGTTCATATTTCAGTGTTACATACTTGTCCCCTAAAGTCCTCATGTATTTTAAAGATATCTGTCTTGCAAAAATAACACAGTGGCTCTTTGTAGGTTATAAAAATGTATTCATACTTTATAACGCTAGCTTAATTGCTAGAAAAGAATAGCTAAGATTTTACTTTTAGATTTAGGTAAATGCTGGCTTGCTGCATATGAAAGAGCGTTTCTTCACCAAATGGGCTGCTGTTTATCACACATTTTATAGGTTTTCTATAAATTAAATGCCAGTGGGAGGGGCTAAAAAGGGGTGGGTCAACCTGAAGAATAGGCAAGTCATTCTGGGTTGAATGCATGTCAGGCTGATTGCCAATCATGCAGTTAGTGCCCTCTGCAGGGTCCTAGTACCCTCAATGTAGTGTGAGTGCATCTAATTTGTAAACCTGGGACGGTGGGACGGGACCCGGAAATAATTACTGTTACGCTGAAATCAGGACATTTGGGAGACCAGAAAAATTCCTCCGTGTGACCTTGTTTGGGTCTCGATAAGCACCTAGCATGATCTAGGTTTAGCTTAATGCTTTTAAAAGAAAAATATAATGTCTTTCATTTTCTACAACTTGCTTGTAGAGAAAAAGTGTGAATTCTATACCTGGATTTTTAAATGAATATGTAAGTAAAGTTTAAATAATCATTTATTGTTGGTGTACACCCAAACATAATATGTTGCACGTGCTTTTGACTTTTGCAGTCGCTATCCTTGTAGTATTGTACATTTCAGATTAATATGTTTTAAACCATACATTTGCTTGTGCTTTCTACAATGCAATGCATGGATTAATCATTAGTACTCATCTCCATCAGATTTAATCTTCCCCAGCCTCTATTTAACCAGGCAGGACTGTAAGGAGGCTAGCTGGGGCAAGGGGATAGACACTGCACACAGCATGATGAGAGCTGGGCTCTAACTGAGGATGAGTCGTAAAGGGTATATGTGTGTCTTGTGTGCATATGGGTCAGTGTTTGTAGATGTGTACATGTGTGTCACTGTGTGGATATGTGTGCATGTGTGTCATTGTGTGCATATGTGTGTCAGTATGTATATGTGTGTCAATGTGTGTATGTGCATGTTTGTGTGTCACTGTATCTGTTCATTTGTGTCAATCTGTGAGTGCCAGTGTGTATCTCTGTGTGTATGTGTCTGTGTGGATCTCTGTGTTGCACTTTGTGAGTGCCAGTGTGTATCTTTGTTTGGCAATGTGCATCTGTATGTGTGCATAGGAATGTATGTGTATATGTGAATATGCATCTGTATGAAAAAACAACACTACATACAAAAACATCCCTGCATTTAAATACCAACACTACAAAACATATGCTAACACTCAAACTCCAACACTACACATAACTACAAACCTGCATTCTAACATCAGTTATATGTACAAAACACAAACATACATACACACTCCATACAAAGACAATCATACATTCACACATACAACATTGCAGGATAGGCATATGGTAGATCTACAGCTGACAAATCACTTTCGCAGTTGTACAACAGTTGAGAACTACCTTGCAAAAATATTTTTTGCCAACAGAGCCCTTTCTACATTAGTTCCGTTCCTGGTCCCCACCAACTCACTTAAGCTCCAAACGGTGCTCCCTAGTGGACATTTTTAGCAGAAATCTGATTGTGGTGAATATAAATATTTTTGTGGGTATCTTTTTTGTGCCAGTGTTTAAATGTGTGGCTGTCTAAATAAGTTCTAAGCTCATTGAGAATGCATATCTGTGTGTATGCATTTTCCGTCTGTTAGAATGCTAGCATTAAGCTATTGCAAACCATACCGTAATATTTGGTGAAAAGAGCTGCTGAAATCAACCCGGTAACGCTCACAAGTCAGCATATTAGTAAGTAAGACTTTCTAGCAGAACTATTTATTAGAGGTAAATTGTTTGTCTTTGTTTTTACTATATAGTTTTTTTATTTTATTTTTTTATTTTTTTTACTATATAGTTTACTATTAAAACTTTAATATCTCACCAGTGAATAAAAACACAAAGTAGAATATAAAATGGTTTTACTGAAGATTTAAATAGATACGTAGTAAATATATCTTTATTAATGTTTAGGCCTGTTTTTTACAGTGCATTATTACTAGCTCTCTCCTGCCCTCTAGGGTTCTAATAAGCAACATACTTCATTCTCTTGAAATCCAAGCTGAAAGAATAGCAGACTTAGAGAATTTTCTCAGTTCACCAAATTTTACCTTAAATTTGAAATTAACCTTGAATTCACTCTGACTTTTAACTTTAGTGAACAACCCTTATAGCTATTTCCTTCTGCTTAAAATCACAACAGTGCTCTAAGTGCATAGACTTACCATGAAAAATACTCTGTCCCAGAAAAGCACAGTTTTTCATTGATAATTTTTCCTTTGCCTTTACATTTTAATTCTGTGATTTACACTTTTAGTATTACATATTGATTTACTGCTCCTACTGATTTTCCTCTGCTAGTCACTTCTCACTTGATCTGTGTATAAAATTGAAATGTAGCTGATGTCCTCTTCCCATCAATCCTCTTTTTTCACGACTCATTTCCTGGTTATGGCTGAGGTTATTATAAGTTTCTAGAATGTTTAGGTCTGTAAATGCTGTTTGTAGTTACACTGTATGCTCCAGAACAATTTATTTTAATTGAATTGGTTATTATGTTTTGCTCATATAGTGATGTCATTCCATTTAGTGTTAAACCATTTTCGAGCGGTTTAACGCTAAGATTTTTTGGCCACCCACAGCCTGACCCCTACTAGAGGTATGGCCAAGGCAGAGATGAAGCAATTCCTTCTAGCCACACCAATTCATGGCAGCACTGTTCCAAGCTGAAAGTTGTCAGCTGCTAATCACAGACATCCATTGCTTTTCCAGCTAATGCTTCCTCAGTAGTCAAAGCAGCAGAAATTTGGTCGTGTATGTAGGGTATCTATGTAAAGGAATATATAAATGGCAATTAAAATAGACATTTCAGGCTGGTGAAAAACTTTTAAAGTTCCTATGTTTTCTGCAACATACTATGGTTTCCAACTTCATGTGAGTTGAGCCCAGACTAGAAAATAACTGACTTCCTGTCAGACATTCTGCACTTCCCATTGCTTTATGGGAGCTGAACTTATCCCATAAACCCCCTGTATAGTAAAAGAAATTGAGTTCAGTACATGACAACAGATCCACACACTGTGAAATGTGATTGGAATGCCCTACTTGGATGAGAGCAGCTTGTCACTGTACCTTGGTGTCCTTTCTCGATAACATGTCCTGCCACCACTCAGTATGGCTCTATGTTCCTCTCTAAGGTCCTGTCTGTGGGTGCCTCTCTTTAGCAAATATTTATACTATCCATTCCGTATATCATTGTACTGCTGATTACTTTGATACATCATTCACCATCAACTCGCACCCATTCTCGCACCTCTAGAATGTAAGCTCATTGAGCAGGGCCCTCCACCCCCTCTGTTCCTGTGCGTCTGGTTACAATAACATGTCTGTTAGTCCACCCATTGTACAGCACTACGGAATCTGATGGCACTATATCAATAATAATAATAATAATAATAATGTTGGTGTTATGATAATGATGCTGTTCAGTGACATTCCAGTATGATCTATGTAAAATACCCAGATAATCAGGTATTTGCCTAATTGTGACTTAGGTTACAACTAATAGCTCATTGCCTGATTTTTGTATCCTTTGGTATTTTAAACCCTTAGACCAATGAGTTGGAATCCTTAACTTGGCTTATACTCTCACTAACATGATTATCTGTCAAGTTATCATTGATAAAAAATATATTTGAAATAAATAAATATATATTGGGTAAAAAGAAATAATGAAACCTAGAACGTCAGTGACTGCGTAGAGGTAGAATATACCTGCTCACATCTGGATTAAGATACTTTCTGTCCTAAAAGAGGTCCCATCAGAGGACGGTTTTATATTATATGCAAAACACCTGCTAATACTAATAAGTAATATATAAAAAAGACGTTTCCTTACCATGTAGATTTGTAACAACTCATTAGTAAAAAGATTTCAGTATTTTGTTTCTTTGTTACAGGAGCATTGGAACATGTGATATGTGAGACTATGTGTACAAGGCATGGAGATTAGCACTGTTACTTTTTTTATCCAGGAGGACTTTCCTTTGTCTGCAATTAGATACCTTGACACAAACTCCTTTTCTCAGAAATCCAATACACACCTGCATTTATAAGGAACCTTGATCTGGAATTGGGCCAACCTGTTGGGCTGCTAAAGCAAATCAAATTGATACATTAGCCAGAGATAAATCCCAGCAAACCCAACTAAATACCTCATCCAGACGTGAAAAATCCAGAGCTCAGAAGAGTGTGATGAAAGATAACACGGTAAGACCATCTTCGATCTTCAGGAAGCCTCCAAAGGCACATAGCTCCCTAAAGTTTTCATGGCTACTTTCGCAGGCTTGTTATCATTGAGTTGTGGACAAATGATGACTCCTGTCCACTTTAGCATTTTTAAATGCCTTACTGGCCAGAAAAAACGTCTAAAGCAAATTAACATCTGATTGAAAATGAAACATTTAATTTCATGCCGGCTGTGTGAGTCACAGTCAGTGGATGTGTGGCTAGGGCGGAATTAACAGAAAAAAAGTGATTTAGCTCCTAAGTGGCAAAGGTTTCAGCAGTGGGACTGCGGGGGCATGACATTTTCACCAAAACTGCTTCTTTAAGCAAAAGTTGTTTCTTTTCAAGGATACCAAATAAGAGAGCTATCTGCTAATCAGTGCCCTAATTTGGTATCCTTAATATGGCAATCCCACATAAGGGTGCCAAATTTGGGAGCTAGCTATTGAATAGTTAAAAGAGCAAAATTAAGAAATTGGCTTTTCTTGATATTGATCTTTCAGCTGCTTAGGAGACAGCTTCCTACTTTGCTATCTTGTGTATATCATCTACATTCAATATATATATTTTGTATATCACATAAATTCTATATACATTTAGTACATACATTCTATATGCATTATACATGCAGCACATACATTTTATAGACATTCAGCATACACATTCTGTATACAGGCAGCACATATATTCTATATACGTGCAGCACATACCTTATGTACACATGCAGCACATACATCATATACTTCCTGTCAACATGCAGCATATACATTCTATATACATGCAGCATATATATTCTGTATATATGATGTGTTCTGAATGTATTCTTTTTCATTCCATTTCAGTCTATATTCGGATGCTTCTGAGTCTATTTTTTTAAAAAAAAACAAGTCTGGATCAGAAGTTCCTTCTTCTTCAGATTCCTAGTGAATTAAGAGTAGTTACAATTGTGTTTCTGGGTTGACCTAAGCACAGGCAATTTCTGCTCGGGTCCACTAGATACCTAAAACATGATGATAACCTTAACATGAGCTACACAAGAGAAGTTCTCATCTCCACCTCCTCTACATTGGTTTAAACTCAGAATTGAACCGCCGACCACGACCAGGGCATCACACCCTTATGGACCACCGTCAATTGCCCATTAGTTTCTCTCGCCCTAGGAAGTAGAGACAGAGTCAAAAACAATAAACGGAAAAAAAAAACAACTGATGAAACCTCTACTACATAGCTATTAACCGTCATCACACTTCCCACTGGCAGAGTTCCCTTAGATATAAGAGTGTACAGGAAGTATAATTACTAAAACCCTTTAATACACTGCATTACGTATGGTGTCAAGCCATTTACTGCCATTTACTGCATAGATGAGAAGACTACTTATCCTCCACATTAAACATGATATACATTTCAAGTCTGTCATTTCAACAAATGTAATTGCAAGGTCTTACTTATTTACACCTTCAGACTTCAGCAGGGATATCGTAATTTCAATTTCTGCAAAGCATTTCTCATATCTGTCTGTCTGTCTGTCTATCTGAACATTTCTCTCTTCCTAGCTCCTGTCCTGGCATTATCATGTGAAATATGTTATACTAGTGAAAGCTCTTTACACTAACTATTCATGTGCGGAGTTTGCATATTCACGCAGTTTTACATTTTTCTTTTCTTTTTTTCTTTTTTTCCCAACATACCAGTGAACTTTTCTAACATTACAAGAATTTGCTGACTGTACTAATTCTTATCACTAGGGAAACAAGATATAGCTTCACACAGAGTGAAATATCAATGTACCATTTTTAATTCAGTATTATTAAATAGATTGCACTAAGATAGGGTACCTTGGCATTCTACTTTATTTATAAACATGTAATCTGAAGTCAAAGTTTATTAACCATTTTTACCATCACAAACTTTAATTTGAAACTCTTAAGAATAGCTAAATAGTATTATTAAAAAATAAAAAACAAAATCCCTTTCTATATTTTTATTGAATACATTGTTCTAGCACTGATTGGGGTTTATTCAGTAAACACAGAACGTTACTGAATATTAGGCTAAGCTAGCTGAACTGTGACTATAGCAGAGTTGAAAAATTAATCCAAAAACTGTGCTTTTTGGCTACAATTCCCTTTTCGGTTTATTGCGATTTGATGTTTAATGAGTGAACCCAATAGTTCTTTAGGAAACGTATGTAAATATTTAGTTTTATAATACCCACTAAAAACGTTAATTTCTATAAAACATTTTCTTTACCTATTAATCAATCCCACATAGCACCTTAAAAGTTATTTGGAAAAACCCTCTCACAAAACTGCTGTGTGTTATAATAATTCTTGGCTGTACTGCATAAACTGACCGGGTATCCCTAACCTCTGATCGGTCTGAATTCTGACCAGATATCCCGCATTTCCGCATGCAGTACCCACTGGTATAATTTTCCGCATGCTGTGATTTCCACAGGCTGGCACTTATTTATGTTTATTTGCATTGCTATCCAGCGATTTCCCTGTTCACACTAGGTCTGCTGGCAAAGAAAAAGAAAATATTTTTTTTTTTTGCCAATTTTGCGGAAAAAAAAGTAGAGGGTTAATGTATTGCTGGTTACTGTTTAGTGAAAGCAGTGGGGCAGAACTCCTCAGTTTTTGTTGTATTAAAAAAAGCTTATTAATAAATCACAACTTTTTGTGTGGTGTGGAGTAATGAAACATGTGTGATAAAAAACATGACTCTATCATGACCCCTCTCCCCCCACCAATATCCTCCCTCTTTATCTCTGGAGATGTTGCAGAGAGCATTATGAATATCAAGATTCCCATTTTCTGATTATAGTCCCATCAAACTAAGTCAGGTCTAACAAGATGTCTGACATCACCTATTGGCTTGCTATTAGGATGCCAGATCCTGTATAACCTAAATTACTGTCCTATTCGCTGGGGCTGCTATTGAGTAACAGTATCAGGGTGTAGAGTCAGGCCTGTTTAAATTAGTAGTTTTTTTTCTGAAATAAATATATCTATAGGCTCATGGTGTCAAACAGGGCATGACATCATTGGGTCATGGGTTGAGTGGATGGGGGTTGAGATTGCAGAGCCCAACAAAGGTGCGGAATCAAATTCCTTGGGACAAGTCTAGTGCCCCACCATCTTTAACCTTCACCAGCCGCCACTGTCACTGTTGTACTTTATAACCCGTACTATGAAATTTAAACTCCAAGATTATGACAGTGACATCTTCTGTAAATTATGTAAAACAATCAAAAATATGTATTCAATGAACAGTGACTTTTAAATCTGAACTGCAAAATGTAGGCAAAAATAGACAATTTGAAAAAGCTCTCCATCTTCCCTATAGTCAAAGCTTGGCTATGGTTTACAATTTACTACAACTTGCTGTTTAGTAAATAAACTTGATTATTCACTCAGTAATTTAAACTATCCTCTTCCTTAGATTGCCAGAGCATTAACTGTTAAGAAGAGGATATTTTGTTTGAATTCTATTTTTACTTTTCATCAAAGAGGCTGTTTTCTTTTTCTCTTTTTTTTTGCTGAAATTCCCTTTATTTTTATCTGTCCATAGAATATTCTTATATTAGATGTTTGTATAGTTTACATTCCAGTCTTATTTGGAGTTTTCCTTGTGGTAGATTCATGTGCAAATTGAGCCATTTCGAAAGATGCCTACAGATCCTAAATCACTCTAATCCAGAGGTCAGCAACCTTTTGCATACTCAAGGTGCCATTGCACTGCATTCAATGCTGCCAGAGCCAAACAGGCTTTGGCCTATCCCCAGCCCCGGTGGGAAATATCTGCTAGTGCAAGCCAAGCAGTGATTGCAAGTGGTGAGGGACAATCCTCAATTTACACATTATAGCATTGTAATTGAGGAAGTGATGTCGGAATCCACACTGGAGTAAAGCAGCCTGCAGCAGCTATCACAGCTTCTGCCCTTGACCTGTATGTGGCCAGCCAGTCCCCAATTGATCCTAGGTAATCCACCCACATCCATGGATATACACAGAGCTGTAGAAGAATCCTCCTCCTCATATAAATAACACACATATACACACACAACATCACTGACAATCCACATACATGCACAACAACCCCACAAGCAGCCTCTCACATGCAATGCCACAAGCAGCCCCACACAGACACACCCCACCAAACACACAATGTGACATATCATTCACACACCCAATTCCACATGAAGCCCCCATACACAGCCCACATTCATAGGTATTATACACAATACCACAAACTACTCATGAACATACACAATGTAACAGCCCACATACATACACATACAATGCTTCAAAACAACTGCAGCACCCATAAATGACACAAACACAATACAGTAACATACACACCTCAATTTTAAAAAAATAGGACCGGCATGCCAAGGGACTTCAAGATTTTGTTTTGGCACAGTACTACTAAAAGGTTGCCTACCCCTGCTCTCTGATGTCCCTTGTGAGCTCTGTTCATGCAATATCTGTCTTACTGTTAGTTAATGCATTCAAGAGTCTCTTGCAATGGCTTTCTAGCTGTATCCACATTCAACAAATCAATTCAAAAATATATTTTTTTGAACTGAGCATGATTTACTTAAAGGGACACTACAGGCACCCACAGCCCTTCATCTCAATAGAGTGGTCAATATGACAGACACTAGAAGCGCCACAGCTGCAGTGACGGATTAAAACCAAGCTTTATATTCCAAACTATTTAGTGTTCCTTTAATGGGACTCTTTACTGCCCAAATACAATAACAATAATAATAATAATGTGGATCCACTTAATCAACGAAAATGTAACACAGCTAACTTCCAAATAGTGCTGATGTACCTGGAGTCAGGGTGGTGAAATTGTACATCACTACCTAAAATTACAGTTCCCAATATTGCTGGCCTTATTAAGGAACACCGTGAGCACCATAAAACTTAATGCAATAAGGTTGTCATGGTGCCAGGAGTTCCCTAGCACTGCCTTGCCTTAATAAATGGTGTAACTCTAAAGCCTTCTGTCCAGTGCTTGTCACCTCTACCCTCTAGCTGCCAGTGCAGTCTGAGGCTTAAAACAGGGACATCACTGATACACGTTTCTGATAGGCTGAGCGCTTTGTTTGGGAGTTTGAGATTAACCCCTCTACTTCTAGAGGTGGTGTAACGCTCCCTTCTGGCAGCATCATAGGGCGTTATTAGCCAGTCTGGAGCTAAAATCCCAGGTGGCTAATGTTAATTCTGTGCAAAATTGGCATCTGATGTCAGCACGCACAGCATGCTTGTGCCATACCGAGGATGGTGGTACTCCCTCTCTCTGTGACTTCTCCCTGCTCTGCTGGTGAAGGGGAGTGCCACCAGCAAAGGAAAATCAGTCTGAGAGAGAACTTTCCACAGCGTTAGAGAGTGAGGTAAATTTTAGCGGTTTAAAGGGACATGCATCACTTGACAATTATCTTTTTTTAAACGAGCAAAAACTTTACATTTTTTTTTATTTATTTATAGCTCAATCCACATGCGAGTTCGCCACCAGAGAGAAAACAAAGTCAACAATATTGTGCATTAGATACAATTAGAACCAGCAGGCAATAGACATAGATGGTACATGTGGAGAGAGTTATTGTTATTAGAGGTGGGATCAGACAAGTTGAAAGTAAACAGAGGTTAACCAGCAAACACTTAAACAAATACGCAAACCAAAATAAATTAAGAAAAACTTTGAAAAGTATGTAATAAACATTTATAAACTTACTATAAACTTGGTCAGATTGGACACGCATTTCATCTAGGGGGAGTTTACCCCTCTTCCCTCTTACCCACCCATCTCATTTTTAGACCAGTTCAATAATGACAGAAACAGGTCATCATTGTGCAGAAACAGGAGAGAGAAACCCAACACCAGAGCCTGCATGATCACACGGATCAGACTCCCTCTGTTCTCCCCCTGTCAGGATGTTACAAGTTGAAGAGATCTTCCAACTGCACTTGTGTAAATCTATCAGGCATGCCCAATATACTTTTCCAGCATTCCTAGGGATAGGATATTGATTGGTTAGATCAGTGCCCCCTGTGGTGAGTGTGGAAAACATAATATACAAGAAGCCAATAAATATGAAGAGAAAAATCAAATTTTCTTCCTTTTTTCAGCCTGTAGAGTGAGGCAACGGTGTCATTTAAAGCTAAATCTTTAGAATAAAACAAAACAATTGTCTAAAAGTGTGTGCCTTTCATTTTGTATTAATTTTTTAAGTTTTTTGGGGTGGAAACGCAGGGCAAGGGTTACCTTAAACAAAACAGTGCTTTAAGAAAATACAGTTTTTTGATTGGAGTAAGCCTTTAAATTGTTAGGCATTATGTACCATTTGGAATAATCATGACCAAATTAAATATGATCATAGAAATTAATTGTTGTTATAATTATTACTGCTTTTGTGGTTAAATCTAGGTGTTAGTTCATACGTTACTCTTTCATCATCTAAGTTTATTTCAAGTATATCCAAAACTATTTTTGTCCCAGTGATCTCATTTTTGATATTATGTGAACACCCATCCCTGCTATGGCATTTCACACTCGGCTGTCTCAGATATTTGGCATGTGATGCCAGTTTTACTGCCTGTGATGATGGCATGCAGAGTAATAGGATACTGTGTGGATTTCATTTGGGACTGTTCTATATGTTGTTGCTAGAGCCACAAACACTATTTCTATTCTCCTGTTTGTTTTATAACTTGTTAAATAAGTTCAGCATTAATGTTAACATCCTCAACTTTGTACTAGTCTTGTAATTCTCTGTTAGATTTAAATGAACACTAGTGTTAGGAACACAAAAGTGTATTCCTGACCCTATAGGGATAAAAACACTGTGTTAGTGGCCAGCCCACCCTTATCCCACTTAAAAAGGTAATAAGGTTACCTTTATTCCAACATTGCGCAGGTACGCCAGCACTGGTCTGCCCCCACCCCGCCTCTTTGCATGAGATCATCAGAATTGACGATCTCAGCCAATCCAAAGCTTTCTCATAGGAAAGCAATTGGAGGATAATGCACACGTGTAGCAAAATGTCCAGCTGCACCAATCAGCATCTCTGCATAGAGATGCATTGAATCAACGCATCTCTATGGGGAGCGTTCATTGCTTCCATGCAGAGCGTGGAGACGCTGAACGACAGTGCTGCACAATGTGCAGCACTGACCCAGGAAGCACCTCCAGTGGCCATCTGATTGACTGCCAGTAAAGGTGTTCCTAGGCAGCAAAATAAACACTGCCTTTTCTCTGGAAAGGCATTGTTTACATTAAAAAAAAAAATTCCTTAAACATTATTGCTATACTGTCTATATTTTATATACATTGATTTTTTTTTTCATGTAAAATATTTGCCATTTCTAAAATATATTGGTTGCTTAACCCTATGAATGCCAGATGTGTGTTTCAGGTGACACAGCTTCATGTTATTATTATTAGTAGTAGTAGTAGCAGTATTTATATAGCGCCAACTTATTCCGCAGAGCTTTACAATATTAATAGTAGTAGCAGTATTTATATAGCGCCAACTTATTCAGCAGAGCTTTACAATATTAATAGTAGTAGCAGCATTTATATAGCGCCAACTTATTCAGCAGAGCTTTACAATGTTATGTGGTTGCATATATGTGAATTCTCATATTAAGCTATTGAAATTACACATTTACTCCTTTAAAACCCAAATACAGGTTTAGGATTTTTCTCTAAAGTGAGAATTCAAGGTGAATTCCAAGTGAATTTCAAATCTAAGGTCAAAATAGACAAAGTGGGAAAATTCAGTCAGCTATGCTTTCTGTTCGGCTAATCGGACCTTAAATGTGGAATTCACTTGGAAAACACTTTAAAAAATAACTCTGTTTGCTGTCATCAAAATCTATTCTTCAGACACTATTTTCCAGCAGTTCAGTTTTGGTAGCTTTGTGCAGCCCTACAGTCATTGTGTGAGTGTTATTCTATTTTGGAACAGAGTGTTATGACATATAGACCATTATTGGGTTCCTCCAACCACCACGACCACATCAGTGTGTTGAAGTGGTCATGGTGATAGAAGTATGGAAGTGCCGATTTTCTGCTTGAAAGTCTTCACATTCAGAGATGTTTTTATATGTGTGCCGGGGGCTTGTTAACTACTGAGCAAGCAAATAGAAGCTCTATGAGAAATTTTTGATTGGACCACTCAAGGCCCTTGCTGACATCAGACAGAGGAGGGAGATTGCTGCCGGGAGCTTCACCTGTCAGTGGAATACAGGTAAGTTTAAATTCTTTTTTTTTTTATGTTTTTACTCTTAGAGGGATTGGGACCTATTAGCAATTCCCAAGAGAGCATAGTAAGACCAAAAATGCAAACTGTCAAAAAGGGTTAGAGGAAAAACTTTAAAAAGATAAACTGCTGGTTTAATATGGATTTGACACATTCACAACTCCCCCAAGCAACGCACACACACACACACACAAACAAACAAACAGCTTCTGAATGCTTGGTTTGTGAATCCTTTCTGGATAATTATTTGCATGCAATATTGTAGCATTTCTGGTTTAGATTATTTTTTCCCAGCCTTGATTTGGACTGTTTTATTGACATCTCTTTTTGGATTTCCCCTTGCAATACTCAACACTATCACTCATTTCTTCAAAGACTGAGGGAGTGGCGCAAGAGAATACAATTTACTGCATATTGAGCTGAAACCTCACACATGCTGTTTAAACAAAAACACACTAATGGGAGATTATTTCTTAATGTCCAATTTTTTAACTGCATCTATAACATTCGAAAATTCACTTACGATAGCTGAAATGGATTGACCTGGTTTTCCACAGTGTGGAGATAATTGTGTCCTAAGGAATCTGGGACGTATAAGAATTTATTTTAATTATTTATTTTTAGATTTATTTTTTTAACATCATGGTAGATGGGACACAGTAGAGGAGATATATATTTTTTAATGTACAAAATGTTGTGTCCTTTGGCATGTACTTTGACATAATTTCTGCAGGTATTATTTGCACTATTTCTTTGCTTCTTCAAAAACTGAGCAATGTACATCAAAGCATGTTGTCAGATTTAGCAAAGTAGGTTGTCTTACAGTTAACTTTTATATGAATTTAAAGTGTCTAAGTACTGAGCTTGTTTATTTTAAAGGAACACTCCTGACACTATAATTACTTCACCTGACTGTATCGTATTTTAACAGTAGTTAAACATCAGCCTAAAGTCCCGCCTCTGATTACAAAACCACTCAGGCAGAGACACTGATGGAATGATTGGCTGAGAGCACTCAGGTGAAGTAAGAAACTCAGACAGCAGGGTTTTAACACTTCGAAGACCAATTTGCCCCCACTCCCCATTCATTGAGTTTGATGTGGTGCAGTGTGTAGGGCATAGTGGTTGAGTCCCTGTCCTCTCAGTACACATTGCGCCTCACTTCACTGTGGAAACTTTTACTGAAGGGATAACAAAGGCTAGTCAGCATACAGATCGGCCATGCTTCCATAGGTGGGTAGATAAATGGTGTGGGCTGGGGCAAGGGGGAGATAAAAATGTCTAAAGTAAGTTAACACCTGGCTTAAAATTAAACCATTTTATAATGCAGGCTGTGTGAGTCACAGTCAGGGGAAGTGTGGCTAGGGCTCCATAAACAACAACTCCTAAATGGTAGAGAATTGAGCAAGCAGTGAGACTTCAAGAGAATGATTTATACACCAAAACAGCTTCATTAAGCCTTAAAGGGAAACAATGAGGTAAAAGTCATACCTTATTTTAATGCCTTTTTTTCCCATTACTTTTAATGCATTAACAATACATTCCCTAAAATGTATCACTGAGCATTCTGGGATGTCTCATTGATAGCTGTCAGAGTAATGTTTTTTTTTTTTACAAATCGCTGCAGCTCTAAGCTACTTATAGCTGAGAGGGGATGCAGGGTGCTATTTGCAATGGCAAACGTTTCGTCATAATTGTATGTGACCCTCAAATACCCAGTGTTTCAAATAACCAATACATGTTTTTAAGTAAAATGACTTAATATTAAAGTAGATAATGGATTAAGGGATAATGACACTATTTACACAAGTTACTGATATGTTCTAATGCAGAGGTAGGCAAACTTCGGCACTCCAGATGTGAACTACATCTCTAGTGATGCTTTGCCAGCATTATGGCTGTGCATAACAAACACAGACAAACAGACAAATGCCACACGCATTGGAAAGGGAGCTATATTATCACTTCCCTATGGGTAAACTAAATAGAAACTAAACACAATTGTACCTTCCAGAATAAATGCAGAATGTGATCTGTACAATTTTCTTCAGCACATTTATTTGATTTTAACCAATGATTATGTTTTCTTAAATATCTTGGGATTTGCTGTGAAATTCATTCTTAATATAATCTGATAATCTTTATCTGTCTCCTATTTGGGATGATACAGAGCATTTAGAGCTATTGATTATTTACTTATTGTGCAATGTCATTTGGTATTACATTTAATAAAATATAAATTATATTTGCTTTTAGTTAGCAATGGGGCAATAGAAGCTAAACCAACATTTTATTTTATTCAACATTTATTTATTCATAATTTCTTCTTAACATAACTGTATCTGTTTCCAGGTTATACTCAATGTCTCTCCCTGTTAACCTATTTTGTGATTATCTTTTTCTTCTAATTATTTTCCTGATGCTGTCATTAGGAGAACTGAGATGTAAAGTCTTAATCTAACAGAGCACCACAGCGCCATCTAGCAGTTTTGCTTTGAAGACAGGGTATAGCCGAGTGTTGCATTAGGGGTAATGTAGTTTCCAGTGCCTCCTTAGCAATGTCTAAACTAGATAGAGATGATGTGATGAAACTACAGCTCCCATAGTCTACCCCTCCCTTACTCCCATTCCCTGCACTACTGCTGTCCCACAGTCATTTATTAGCTTGGTGCTGAGGCTGGAGGGGGAGTGGATATTGGAGAGGAGACAGAGCTGGGCTGACTGGGCTCATCTGCCTCTTATCTCATTTCTTGACAGAAGCTCTTGCGTTGCAAGCTTGGAAATCACAGGGGGAGAGATCCTGTGATGATGGCATTGGTGGGTTGACTTGTAACAGGTAAAGAAGATCTACACATTGCTTTTTGGGGGAATTCCAGATGACTTGCTCCTGGATGTGATCCTCAGTCCTGTGGGTGCAGCATGAGTGCAGGTTAGTACTCTGTCCATTTAAATCAACAGGCAAAGGCAGGATGCGTGATACATGTATCAGGGGATATTTTATTGCAATGCGTTAACGTTCCATGACCGTTTCTGAACGTTCCATGTCACTGTGTGAAATGCATTGGGTTTATCCTGCTAGCGCTGAATGGGTTAAAAATGCCTACATCATGATGATGCAGGGTACCAGATTTAAAGCCTGGTGCTGTATAATTGAGGGTGCTGCATCAGTCCCCTTACCGGTATATCCAGCATTGCAAGCTCGTCCCAGAGTGCTGCGTCTTGAGATCACGAACGATTTTCTGTGCAAGAGAATAATACACATTAAATAGGGCATCTCCCTGCTGATGATAAATAACTTAATGTGTGTGTGTGTGTTGCGATATGTGAAGTGTGGCCCTGGGGTAAGGCAGAGCCCTTGGATAGCAAGGTCGCATATCGTGCATTAAATATAGATGATAAAAAAAAAAAAAAAAAATCAAAGTGAGTGACAGGTGTGAGCTTTAGGATTCTTTGCATGGTCCTGTTAGCTTATTGCAACCCTGCCCATTTTCTATTTCTACAGCTACAAATAGATGTGCCACTTTACACAGCACCACCCATTGCAGAACAGGAGAAATCCAATTATCAAGTCATTGCATAAGTCTGTTCCTGGGAATGTTTGCTCTCAATGTACATACAGTGTGCATCTTTCTCTAGCTGAGCACTGAGTAATTATCAAGGAGTCACATGACCATTTATATCTGTAGCTGCTACATTTTGCTATGTAATTTTATGTATAATTTAACCAGGCTGCCCACATGTATTTTACTGGTGAAAATGGTTCCCCTAATAAAATAAAAAGAATAAATAAATGAAATGCATGCATACAGGCATTCATATGTACATAAGTACATGCATACATATTTAAACATACTACATAATATATTACATATGAGAATGTAAACTAAACACTTTAACAGTGGAGTTTGTCCAACAGTAAAAAGAGAGTTATTTAATATGTTCCAAAGCAGTTACCTGTTTCCTGGATCCCTACACCTGTCTGGTTCTCACAGGGTTAAATAGACCAGGGCCTTGGATGTTTTGTGTCATACCTTCATCCAGAGCTGGATGATGTGAATTGTAGTCAATCTATAACTAGCTTTTTAGAGATTACTTAATTCATTTAAATGTTGCACAGTCAACCGGGATTCCTCATTAATTTAGTGCAGACAGCACAGTACTATTCCCATTCATAATTAAATGTTCTCTGTTCATTTGTCAGGAATGCTGGGCTAGTACAATTTATTGTCAGTTTGGATTTCTTAAATGATGGTCAACATACTCCAGTATTTAGTCTCCACGCACATAATTAATACTTCAGTTTTGGTTACATTGCATACTATTAGTTATCTTTATTGAATGAGAGAATAAAGACTGATCAGTGTATCTTTAAAGCAGCTGTGTGAGAGAGAGAGAGAGAGAGAGAGAGAGTGAGAGAGGGTGGGGTATATGATGTATTCTGTTACCTCTAGAAATGGACAAAATAGACTGGAAGGGGAGTTGTAGTTCTAGAACAGCTGGGACTTCTCTTTTTAGGCACCCTTCTTAAAAAGCATGGGGTAAGGGGTTAGATATAGGCTGTGAAGCTCTCTGCATGTAAAAAGCAGCAACAAATTCAGAGGAAATAACTTTACACAGATTGTGATAGCTCTGTCTTTAGGTCGGTTTTACACAGATTGTGATAGCTCTGTCTTTGGGTCAGTTTTACACAGATTGTGATAGCTCTGTCTTTGGGTCAGTTTTACACAGATATTGATAACTCTGTCTTTGGGTCAGTTTTACACAGATTGTGATAGCTCTGTCTTTGGGTCAGTTTTACAGATTGTGATAGCTCTGTCTTTGGGTCAGTTTTACACAGATTGTGAGAGCTCTGTCTTTGGGTCAGTTTTACACAGATTGTGAGAGCTCTGTCTTTGGGTCAGTTTTACACAGATATTGATAACTCTGTCTTTGGGTCAGTTTTACACAGATTGTGATACATCTGTCTTTGGGTCAGTTTTACACATATTGTGATAATTCTGTCTTTGGGTCAGTTTTACACTGATTGTGATAGCTCTGTCTTTGGGTCAGTTTTACAGCTTGTGATAGCTCTGTCTTTGGGTCAGTTTTACACAGATTGTGATAGCTCTGTCTTTGGGTCAGTTTTACACAGATTGTGATAGCTCTGTCTTTGGGTCAGTTTTACACAGATATTGATAACTCCGTCTTTGGGTTAGTTTTACACAGATTGTGATAGCTCTGTCTTTGGGTCAGTTTTACACAGATTGTGATAGCTCTGTCTTTGGGTCAGTTTTACACAGTTTGTGATAGCTCTGTCTTTGGGTCAGTTTTACACAGTTTTTTGTGATAGCTCTGTCTTTGGGTCAGTTTTACACAGATTGTGATAGCTCTGTCTTTGGGTCAGTTTTACACATTGTGATAGCTCTGTCTTTGGGTCAGTTTTACACAGATTGTGATAGCTCTGTCTTTGGGTCAGTTTTACACAGATTGTGATAGCTCTGTCTTTGGGTCAGTTTTACACATTGTGATAGCTCTGTCTTTGGGTCAGTTTTACACAGATTGTGATAGCTCTGTCTTTGGGTCAGTTTTACACAGATTGTGATAGCTCTGTCTTTGGGTCAGTTTTACACAGATATTGATAACTCGTCTTTGGGTTAGTTTTACACAGATTGTGATAGCTCTGTCTTTGGGTCAGTTTTACACAGATTGTGATAGCTCTGTCTTTGGGTCAGTTTTACACAGTTTGTGATAGCTCTGTCTTTGGGTCAGTTTTACACAGATTGTGATAGCTCTGTCTTTGGGTCAGTTTTACACAGATATTGATACCTCTGTGTTTGGATCAGCTTTACACAGATTGTGATAGCTCTGTCTTTGGGTCAGTTTTACACAGATTTAGTTACTGCTGTTTTTGGATCTTTCTTATTAGGCTGTGTAACTCTTTGTATGTAAAAAGCAGAAACACAGTCAGGGCTGGATAGGACACTTGTGGGGTTGCTTGTTTCTGGGGAAGATGCTTGTGGGTTTCCTGCTGTGTGTGGGGATGCTGCATGTGGGGTTGTGTATGTGTGGGAAGCTGTTTGTGGGGTTGTGTATGTGGGAGAAGCTGTTTAGGGTTGTGTATGTAGGGCAAGCTGTTTGTAGGGTTGTGTATGTAGGGTAAGCTGTTTGTAGGGTGTCTTGTGTGTGGGAGATGCTGTCTGTGTGGTTGCGGGTTGTGTTTGATTGGGGCTCTTTGTGGTTTAGTATGTGTGTGGGAATGTAAATATGGGCCGTTTGTGGATAAGAAAAATATGTACAAAGGATCAGCGCTAATATACTAGATCTTACAGAGATAAATATAGGGCAGCACACCTGAACAATAGGGCTCCCTCACAGGCCCTATAGAGTAGACAAAACTAAAAAAGGTGAAGGGGGAGGCGGTGCCACAGGTGAAATAAAATATAAATAAAAGTAGTGCGTGTTTGTTATAGTGTACGCTGTGGGAACAAAAATTGGGCTGCAGAGTGTGTGTGGGGGAATTTAGGCTGTAGTGTGTGCAGAAAAATTGAGGTTGTAAAGAATGTATGGGAGGATCAGGTCTGTAGTGTATGTGTGCAGGAAATAGGGTATGTAGTGTGCATTTTCGGGTGATAGGAACTGTTGTGTGTGTGTTTGGGGGAGACAGTGGCTTTATTGTATGTGTTGAGTGGGAGATGAGTCTGTGTTGGGGAAAAAGGGGTGTAGGTGCTGTAGTGGGTAGATAGTTGCTGTAATGTAGGATAAGGGTACTGGTGGGGTGACAAGAGCTGTGAGTGATAGTGGGCATGGGGGGGGGGTAGAGTTAAAAGACAGAGGTTGCAGTATGGGGGATAGGGCTGTGCTTGGTGTATAGGGCCTGTAATGGATGGATAGTGGCAGTGGTAGGGATACTGGAGCAGTAGTTAGGGACAGGTGTTGTTTGGGGACAGGTGCTGCTGTATCGGGACAGGTGCTGTGGTGGGAGAGGAGGGGCTGTGTTGTTGGGTAAGGAGTTTGAACTATGGGCTATATTTGGGGGAGGAGGGTAGAGGATGTACTTTGGGAGGATAGGAGCCTTAGTGTGGGGGGATACTGCCTATAGTGGGAGGACAGGGGCCTGCAATGGGAGGACTGGGGTTGTAGGTAGGATACAGGGCCTGAGGAACTGCTAAAGAAATGTTTTCCACCTTGCTGATGCCTACCTTGGGTCAAGGAGGGGGGGACTTGATCTTTGATGGTCGGGTAGGATATGTTGCTCTGGGAGATGTTGCCAGGGCATTGTATCAAAGCATTTCCATGGTAACCAGGTGCAACAGTGTGGTATATTATTGAGTGCCAGCACTGCCAGCTTGCCTTACCCCACAACAGGAGAATCAGCTGGACGGTGAGGAAGATGTTTGATCTCCCACCCGCTGTGCCACCCCTCGCTTGCCTGCCATAGCATCAATGGCCTTAAGGGAAATCCGGCCCTGAACACAGTCAGAAGGAGCAACTTTTACACAGATTTTGATACGTCTGTGTTTGAATCAGTTTTGCACAGATTTGATACCTCTGCTTTGGATATGTTTTCAAAATTGAATTCTTATTAAATTACAGCAGAATGGAGCCTTTGTCGAGAACACTAGCTAAAGGCATAGATCTTTGGGTCAGTTTTACACATATTTTGATGCCCTGACTTTGTATTGGTTTCTGATTATGGACTCTGGGTCCAAACCCCCAGTCTTTTGATGGCTTTAAGGGTATGTGTATTATTGTGTACAAAATGTTTTATTATAGGTTTAATTATTAGTGCATGCAAAGATCTGGTGGCATCACAGAATTAATAATTGAGTTTTATTGTTCGTACAGCAATGATTATTTGGGGTTTATTGTGGGAACTGCTTCACTCCCTAACAGTCAAGTTGCAAACCATATCCAACATTGCTGTCTGTGTTAGCTAATGGAAACAAATGTATAGATGATATCAATAAAAAAAATTCTCATTATGACTCAAGGGCTAATTTGGTGGGATCCCATTGCACGTTTTGCACTTTGCACCATGTCAAGTTCTGTGCAGATTGTACTGACTGCTTCACCTGAGTTGAGATTTGTGGAGGGTAACTTGCTAACACCGTAAAGATATTGTCTGCCTTCTAAGTTCGAATCCATAGCCCAAGTCTCAGCTGATGTCACTGTGCATATTTCCTGTGGCGCTATATTTTAGGAATATGTCTTAACGGAACACTACATCGTTAGGAATACAAATCTGTATCTGTATTCCTCATGCTATAGTTTCTTATTATTTAGATTCAGCAACACTCCCCCAATCCAATTAAAATATCACACACAATTTTTCCAGCTTCAAGATCATGCCCTGCCAATGCTTCATCCTCCTCCCACAACATCACACTAATGCTTCTCGTTCATCAATTCCAATGCTTCTCACAAAGGAGCATTGGGGACAAAAGATGCATGTGTTGCCAGCACTGCGCTCCTCCAGTGAAACATTTGACTCCGTACTCACAGGAGACTGTCAGGAAGACAGCCACTAGAGGCATATTTAACCTTGTTGCATACACATTTTCATATCTACTAAATGGCAATTCTTTACATTGCAGGGTTAAAACTAAAACAACACTGCACCCAGACTACTTCATTCAGATGGAGTGGTGGACTGAGTGCCCTTAGCGGTTTTTTAAGACCAGTAGACACCATAACCATTTCATCTTACGGAGTCCTGTGTCTGACTCAAGTCCTTTTAAACTATCCCTCCACTCAGTGTTAAAACATTGTTCAGCAGTTCCACTGAATAAGGTACTCTGGCTACCCACAGCCCAGCACTCACTGAAGATATCGCTAAGGCAGAGATTACTCTCTTACTTCCAGTCATACCAATTCATACCAGCAATTGGTGATTAGACTTTCACAGCCGCCTATTGCTGCTTAGGGTAATGATTCTTTATTAGACCCAGAAGCACAGACGGGGAGTCTCATTTACCATTAAAAACTGTTTAATGTTAAATGGAGGTTTTTTGCCATGGGACTGCAGACACCATAACCACTTCAGCACAGTAGATACAATGCCGGGAGTGTCCCTTTAATGGACCCATGTTTACAAGTCCTTTTTTTCGTGAATTTTGAATGTTTGGTGCATTTGTACAACAATCACACTTACAGGTGCTCTAAAAGGTTTTAGAATGTAGTGTGTGTAAACATAATACACTGAGGGAAATTTGGGTTCTGTTCTGAAAAGATGTCTAAAGTATCTAAATTTGGGCAATTGCCATTGAATCCAGTAGATCTAGCAGGCACATTCCATTAGTGACTTTGCACCACTTTTTAGAACAGAACAGTTTGATAAATCTCATCAATTGATCTTATTTTATACGATGAGCGGAGTTAAATAAATAGCTTATTTGTTGTGTGATAGTGTAACAGAAAAGTGATGCTTCACCCACAAGTCACACTTGTAATCAAACCCTTTAAAACAAATGTGCACATTGAAATTCAGGGAATTGTATGAATGAGGCTCCAGCCAAGATTAGTTGACAAAAGTGAAAGCTTAAAGGGACTATCTTCCCTAAAAACAATTTCATCATAATTAAGTTATTTTGAGGCAATGAGTGCTGACTTACATCAAAAGGTTGGGTGCTGACGTACATCAAAAGGTTACGCTGTTTTTGACGGGTTTAACCCCGAAGTTGGGTCCTCATCGGCCAAATGCTCTGTCTCCCTGTCATTCCTATTCTTCTATATGACTTGCAGTGATTGTCTGCTGATGCTTTTAGCCTATCACTGGTTGCCCACTGAGAGTGTCAGCTGATGTCATGTCTTCTTCTGGAAGTTTGTGGAAATTGTTGTCAACTTTTAGCCTTCTGCAATAGTAGGTTGACGAAACACAAACATAGATAGAATCCTATCCATAAAACACTGCTTTTGTGATAAGCTCAGTAGTGCTTTGAAAAGTAAAGAGAGCACTGGGATTGATGGAAGGGGGTGTCTGAAAGCAGTGCCGGATTAGGAGCCCATGGGGGCTGGTGCTGACAATGATGATGGGCCTAATTACAGAGTCATATCGACAGAAAACACTAAAACAGTTATATCTCCCAAGCGTCATGTATCTAGTGGAGGAGGTTCTAGGATGTCCCTACGTCCATGTATGTATATGTATGTGTTGTATAGTATGTATGTTGATGTGTTTATCTGTGTGTGTGTCAGTGTATGCACGTGTGGCTTTGTATCTTGCACCCCCCCACCACACACACACTGTCACCCCCCCACACACATTGTCACCCTGCCACACTTACAATAACTCAGTCACTCACCCAATTCTGTCATTCACCAATGCCACACTCACCTCCCATCGCTCTGCCATACTCACCCTATCACACTCACCTTCACACTCACCTTCTCTCAACACCACAACCTGTCACACTCGCCTCTTTCCCCCTGCCACACTCACCCTATCACATTAACCTCTCCAATTTGGTTATACTCATTCCCCTCAACCGTGCCACAATGACCCTGTGGGGCATAAAAGAGACACATGGAGGGGCTGTAGGGCGTGAATGTGACACATGGATGGAGGGGGGGCAATGTATGGGGGGAGGGTGATGACAATTTTCGCACCAGGTCCCCATGAATTCTAGTTACGCCTCGGTGTTCAATTTACCAAAGTTAAAAGGGCATGATAAGGACCATAACCTCTACACCTCTACAGTCTGCTGTAGTGGTTATGGTGCCAATATTTCCCTGGGACCATACTGTAGTAAGGAGTCAAACAATTTTGGACAGTTTAATAATTATGTGTCTCTCAGACACTGCCAGTCCTCCTGGTCTTCTGTGATGTTTCCTAAATATGTAGTAGTGTCAGTCGATGCTCCTACTCACTGAATGATTACCAAAGTTGGACAAAACTAATATCACTAAAGCAGAATGGGAAATTCTGGCTCCCCTTGTTTGATTCAGGATTCAGTATACAACTGCTATAGTGAAAAGTTTATACTGTTATAGTTATATACTGCACAGTGCCGGAGCAACATGAGTGCAGGCCCTCTGTGAGAATGGTGTCTATTTTCCATCAAACCTGTGTCTTATCTGCACTCATGTCGCTTTAACCCCTGTATCACAACTCAACTTTGAATTCTATGTGTCGTCTTGCTCAGAAATGCTTCAGACTTGAGAAAGGGAGGTTCTCCCGAAAGCCTGTCATTAAACAATTCTGTTAGTCCAATAAAAAAGGTATTACAAGATAAGGATTGTATAAGTTTTTTACATTTATTATCATATAATAGATATGATATAAAGATATGAATACATATTCAAGCATTCTTCTCATGGGTATGCCTAAACAATTTGTTATTATTTTTAGAGAGAGTTCACAAATTGACAGCAAACCATAAATATTATGTCTAAATAATCAAGCAATAATATGTCTATATAAGAATTATGATTTTCAGAGGACATCCCAGGCTGCAGATATACCCCAATACATGCCCAAAACACTTTCTGCCTCTGGAACTGTGCAGGAGGAGCAATTTACCACTTCTGTTACAGTGCATGAGAAATTAAGGCCACAGAAGATTTTTTTTTCCATTGGGAAAAGATCAGTGTAGGATCGGGGAAGCAGGTAAGTAAGGTGCTATTTTTTTTTTTTTGTATTAGTAATAATAGTAACAGCAGCGGTTGGCAGTGAGGGGGTTAAATGGTGCAACAGCATGTCTTTCATTTCCTATGCAGAAGGAATAGAGCAGCTTGCCTGGTTTAGAGGTTACTATATATTTGCATATGTTTGCATGTTTCAAAAGTAACTTTTATAGAATCTGTGCAATTGTATAGGCAAGCATAAAATTAAATTAACACCTTTATAGTGCTTTCACAGGTGTTAGCTCCTTAGAAGCACTTTCAGTCGATGAGATAATATTGTAATACTCACACAAAATATATAAGTTTACTGAATAACAGCTTGTGCGTCACACGTATTGTCTTTTTCTGATCTCCCACATGCCACATTATTCACTGCATATAATTTAAGGGCACTGTTACTAAGACTGAGCTGTTATTTCCTAGCACAATCATTTGGAGAATTATGTGAAATGTCACTTTAGCGTGTTACATTTTTTTTCTAACTTAAAGTACTTTGAAGGGCTATGTGCTTTCATCCTTTGACTTGCCAAAGGCATAAATATTTTAGGATCCAGATGATTCCAGATCTAAGAATAGAGCAAGATGCAGGATTAGTTAGAAAATATGTTTGTATGTGGCAGTGACAAGTCAAAGCCAAACAATATACATTATGTCTAATGGTTACAATTAGTCAAAAGTGAATTAAATGATTTCACCCTTTGTGATATATGTCCTTGTACAAAAATGCACAATGCTGACTAATGGGTATATATATATGTAGAAAGGCCATTAGGCCTGAATTTGTGGGAGGAGTAAGTCCCCTACTTAAACTCCCAGCCCCTACTCACCGCTGCCGCTCAGCTGATTGTCCTTAGCAACCAGCACTTCCGGTCCAGCTTCCCGCCAGAACTGTACCTGTTTCCAGCAGCCAGACGCCCTGTGCAATCCTCCGTCCGTCCGAGGTCCTTCCACTCCGTTTCTCTCCGGTCGAGGTACCCGACTTCCGGTCACGAGACCGGCGCGTTCACGTAAGCAAGGCGTGGGAATTAGCGTTCGCTATTTCCCCGCCGTTCGGGCCTAAAAACGTAGGGGTAGGCTCCCTCTTTCGCATTTTCACGAATACACGCTTTTCGTTAATATCTCCATTCGCGCCAAAAAACGCACGAACGTTCGGCTCATTTCGCTATCATTTAAAGCATTTTCGTACGGAAACAACCGAATATATATTTCATGTTTAAGCTCATTATTATCTGTATTCACTTTTTCTGTTCGGTCATTTCAGCACCAAACTATTCGTATGGTAAAATTCACGAACACCATCTTACTAATTTACATTCGGTTATTTCTATTCTTTTAAGCTAAGCATGCATAAGTTCTAATCACACTATCCTACTATTATTTATTCCTTCATATCAGTTTTTGGTTACATTATCTGGTTAACTACCAGCCCTGTGTTTTCCTACCTTGTTAAACCATTTAAAGTATTTTTCTGTAATAAACATAATGTTTTACCATGGTTCATAACTTCATACGTGTCTAAATACAAGCTATACCATTCTTTCCAAATAACACTCAGATAAGTCATTTAAACACTATTTACAAGTTATACCCATTACACATAATCCGTACTATTCCTTGCACATAAATCACGCTGTCACATTTTGGCTTTTACAGATTGCATCGGTCTCTTGCTTTTCTGCATAAAGTTGTTATTTCAAGGTCCTTTTATTACAGGAACAGGTATGGTTTATTATCACCTTGAGTTATCAGGTTTTATCAATTATCTTCACATCTATTGCTAAATATGGAATTTGTCTTGGTTAAACCCTTAGATCCTGTATTTATCTAAGCTTCCACCGTTTCTACGCAGTTAACCTGCCACGATTAAACAATCTCTGTACTTAAAACCAAGGTATAGTTCACTCTCTTTTCAATACTAGACCTCACGCGGTCTCAACTCCATTACTACCTTCCCTCAGGCTTACGCCCAGGATACGTTATCTCTTTACTACTTGTCTACACAGACTTTCGGTCATACGGCCATCAGGCTCAGAAGACACCAAAAACCTGACCCGGTACTCAGCCATACCTTCAGGTACTTACGTCCTTACTCAAGTACGTCCATTCGCTACCCCAAGGCCTCATTCTGCCTTCTCACTCATATCCAAAATCATCCCATTCCTACACCTTAACCTCCCAGATCCCTCAATGCAGGATCTCACGTGGTGCCCCTAACAAACCTTCTCCCAATACTATTCATACGACATCACGATACGTATAAACACATCAACATCTGTCTTAAACCCCCAGGATTCTTCCTCAAAGACAACATTAAGACAAGACTCTCTACACTTATCAGGAGGCTCCAGATACCATTTGCGACCAGTCAAGGTTAGTATCCACACACCACTCCAGTCCTCTAACTTTACCCTTAAGCATACAATCGAACTGGCTATACGGCACAGGCTAATGCCTTAGCCCACCCTATCAGGAAATCTGATCCCGCGAGGCCTACCACCCCACCCCACCTCAACACGGAGGTACGGCCCCACGCCCAAATCATAGTTATAAGCCTCGCATGCCTTACTACAGGGCTCTAGTTAGGGCCTCACCTGTCACGGCCACACGTTTTGATTTCTCTTATCGTCACCGAGAGGCCAACATCCCGCCACCACGTCTGTGGCACCTACGTCATAAGCCAAATCATAGGTAGAGCCTCTCACCGCCACTTGGCATTAGCAGGGCCTCACCTATCCAGTCATTCAATAGTTAAGTTTTTCGCCTCGGCATCTAGCATTAAAGTCCAGTTCTTCCAGACACACCACTCCCCATACCCCCCCCCTTTCTTACCTCACTCCCCTTCTAATATATCTTTCACATAATCATTCCTTTTTAGAATGTCCCAAGAACCAATTCCAACCGAAGAACTGATAGAAGAAACACCATTCACGCCAATCAGACCCGTGTCTCCAGGCGAATCACTTACTCTTTCAACCCCCACGTCCTTGAGAGCATGGACTATTCCCAAAATCACGGCCGAGCTTAGGCTCAGGGGAATCCCCTTTCCGGCCACAGCTAGAAAGGCAGAACTTTACAGGCTGCTTACCCACCAAGTCCCCGAGCCTCGGCCGGGAACTAGCTCTCAAGGACAACCACCAAGAAACAGCACGGCCACCCAGGATACCCTGGCAGATATCTTGGCCAATCTACAGACCCTCAATAGCAGGCTGTCTAAGGTGGAGAGCGCCATCTCCTCCTCAGGTACTAACACCGTAGTCCCAGTCTCTACCACGGCTGTACCTGCCATACCTACATGTCCCTCTATACTCCCCCCTCCAGCACCTGGCACAGCCATCACACCTTTCGAGTCACCAGCACACTCCGTCCCAGATTCTATCAGGAAAGATATCCTAGACGGGAAGGATGTGTGTCTGGTGTCTTTACTCATAGCCTCTCAGGATGTACTCGAGAACAAGGCATACAATTATGGTGACATTTCAGTTGTGCTCAAAACGAGGGATCCCAGGCTTAATAAAAAATTGTCTATCCCACAGTTTGTGATAGCTTTTGGGATATACCGCGACGTCATTTGCACGGTGTATCCCCATAGGAGAGAAGAGCTAGATCTCTATCTCCACAAGGTAGTGGATCTAGGCATCAAGTACGGGGGCTCTTCCTTCTATGACTACCACAAGTCAGTTTCAGCGAAGGCGGCGACCCATCTCAAGCAGTTCAACATTAGAATGAACTGGGGTCAGATGGACACGGAACTTTTCTGTCGCCACTTCGCTGGACTCAGGCCCCCGGCTTGTGCCATCTGTAATTCTACATCCCACATGGCGGACTTATGTCCCGTCGAACCAGATCCCACCACCTCCACTCCCACCCCTCACCCCACGTTCACACCTCACTCCTCTTTCACCCCTCACAACAAGCCAGCGGGTGGTCTCCGGGATAAGCTGGGTAGGCCCATCTCCTTTTTAGGTAAAGCACAGGTGTGCAATAATTTCAACGCAGGCTCCTGCAGTTTCAGCGCCTGTAGATTATTGCACATCTGCTCCATATGTTTCAGGGCACATACCAAGACCATGTGTCCAGCCAGGTTGTCACCAAACAAATGACTAACCGACATAAATATCGACAACCTGGTTTTTTATCTAAGGTCTCACCCCAGCAGGCACTTAGTGGATTTTCTCACCACAGGTTTCTCACAAGGGTTTCACACAGGCATAGTAGCCATTCCCCCAGGTACACTAGAATGTCCTAATCTCCAGTCTGCACGTTTAGACCCAGTCGCTGTAGACACTCTCATTTCCGCAGAAACCACAACGGTTTCATGATCGGTCCTTTCACCTCTTCACCGTTTTCCTCCTGGCGCACTAACCCTATTGGTATTGCTATTCACAAATATTCTAATAAAAAACGTCTCATTATCGATTTATCGGCACCGCACTCCTCTTTTGTTCCAAGCATAAACGCACTCATTCCAGCAGACGAATTCTCTCTGCAGTACGTCACCATCGACGACGCCATACAGTCCATCATGACATCTGGTAATCGACCCTGGCTCAGCAAAACAGACATCACTAACGCCTTTAAATTACTGCCCATACACCCCTCACTCTGGCACTTACACGGTGTTAAATGGCGAGGGTATTATTACTTCTCAACACGACTCACTTTTGGTTCTCGAAGCAGCCCCAAACTTTTCGACATTTTCGCAGAGTCACTATGCTGGCTGCTTCTGAACGTCATCAGGTGTCACTCCGTTATTCACTATCTAGACGACTTTCTACTGATAGAGCCAGGGTCATCAACACCCACAGCAATCAATAGTACTACCGCACTTTTTTCCACACTGGGAGTCCCTTTGTCCCCAGCCAAAACTATAGGACCCACAACAAAGTTGACCTTTTTAGGCATAGAGCTCGATTCTGTCAAACTCAGAGCCAGCCTTCCACACGACAAACTTTCACGATTGAGAGGGGAGATAGACACGTTCCTGCGGAATGACGTTTGCACCAGGAGAGAACTTCAGTCCCTTCTTGGATCTCTGAACTTCGCCATGCGCATCATTCCGCAGGGAAGGTCTTTCATTTCCAGACTTCTTTGCCTGCTCCACGGAGTCCCGGACTCCGGCACAGTTTCTTTGGACCCCCACGCCAAGGCTGACTTAGCTATGTGGGGGAAGTTTTTGAAAGACTGGAATGGTATCTCCATGTTTATCCCCCCTCTCTCCACCTCTTCACCCATCATCCACACAGACGCAGCAGCCAACACCGGTTTCGCAGCCATTTTCGGGAACCACTGGTTTAGGGGCCACTGGCCCACTGAGACGGATGCCTTGCCAGGATTCAGGGAGACCTCAGCCCTATTTGAAATTTACCCCATTGTGGCGGCCGCACACACCTGGGGTCATCTCTGGTCCGGCAAGGCAGTAAAATGCTACTCAGATAACTCGGCAGCTTGCGATATCATTAACAAAGGGCGCTCATCATCCCTGACCATCATGCGGCTGATTCGCAAGTTGACCTGGCTGGCAGCATCCAATCAGTTTCACTTAGTATGTTCTCACATCCCGGGTATTCACAACACCGCCGCTGACGCTCTTTCTCGTTCTCGATTCCAGGCATTTTCTCAGGCACTCCCAGCAGCTCACCAACAGCCATCCAGGACACCACGGTTTCACGAACTAATATTGGATTAAGCACACTCTTGCTTCACGCTAGATCACTCACTCACCAAGCATTATCACCCAACACTGCTATCACTTACAATAGGGCACTTAACATATTTAACAAATTCACTGCAGAATTCGGGCTACAAGGTGACTTTTCTATCCAAACCATGGTGTCTTTTGCCTCTTTTTGCCACCTACACCTTAATCTGTCACACAACACCATTAAACTTTACCTCACCGGGGTTCAGCACCACAGCCTCACCAATTTTCCTAACAGCACTCCTTTTTTGTCTTCATACCCCATTAAAAAGGTCTTGAAAGGTATATCAAAGGTTTCACCACCACTCGCAAGCACTAGATTACCCATAGACGGGCCTATCTTCAGGTCACTTAGCAATCTCCTTGACACAGCCCCATTTGATAGCAACACCAATACGGTGATAAAATCTGCTATATATCTCGCTTTCTATGGTTTTCTCAGACCTAGAGAGTTCACCGTGGTTTGTCAAGGAGATATCGCACTATGCCTTAAAACTTCACACCTCACCAAGGTAGAGGATCACTACCTCCTTTCTATCCCTACCACTAAAACCAACCGGTCAATACACCCTACAATAATTCCTCTCTTCCCTACTGATAATGCCTGGTGTCCGGTGAAAGTTCTCGACCAACTACGGTCAACTCTTCACACTCACCTGCCAGACTCTCCGCTCTTAACATTACAAGGGCACCCGCTTACCACGGCAAAATTGATGTTACATGTCAGAACCCTGTTATCTAAGCTCGGACACAACCCGGCTGCATTCTCCGGGCACTCCTTCCGCATAGGAGCCGCCTCAGCAGCCTCTAGCACAAACGCACTGGTCCACATCATCAAAAGGCTCGGGCGATGGAAATCCTCCATATATAACGCATATATTCCGCAACCAGAGAAAGAGCTTCGCCAAGCTTTCAGGAACTTGGTCTTGTAAAATGCAATAAAGTGTGTATTTTCTCGAATTTATCTTTTGCCCTCTTTTATTTACAGGCCCACTCGTACATTGGTTTCGGCACACCACAACCAACTTTGCTCACAGATACTATCCATTACGTATTTAAATTCCGAGCACAAGTAGAAAGGCCATTAGGCCTGACTTTGTGGGAGGAGTAAGTCCCCTACTTAAACTCCCAGCCCCTACTCACCACTGCCGCTCAGCTGATTGTCCCCACCCACCTACACCCTGTTTTAACTACATTATCCTTGGTGGGCCCTCTTTTATTTACAGGCCCACTCGTACGTTGGTTTCGGCACACCACAACCAACTTTGCTCACAGATACTATCCATTACGTATTTAAATTCCAAGCACAAATATATATATATATATATATATATATATATATCCTCTATCCTATAGGAGTCAATTCAAAGTGCTAACCCATACCTATAAAGCACTGAACAATTCTAGCCCCTCTTATATCTCTTCACAGGTCCATAGGTATGCCCCTTCTCGGTCTCTCTGATCTGCCCATGACCTCCTGTCCGCTGCTCACTCCTGTACGGCCAATTCATGCTTGCAGGACTTCTCGTGGGTGGCTACCTTCCTATGGAATAGCCTGCCTAGAAGTGCCTTAAAACCCATCTTTTTAGGAAAGCTTATGGCCTCCCAGAGTAACCTCTACCACACATACCTGTCCCTTGCTCCCCCCTAAAGGGCAGCACTCTACTGTGTCCTCCAGCTATGCCTCACTCCCACCTTATCTGATTGCTATTTCCTGTCCGAATGTATTTTATACCCCACCTCATATAGACTGTAAGCTCGTTTGAGCAAGGTCCTCTTCAACCTATCGTTCCTGTAAGTTTTCTTGTAATTGTCCTATTTATAGTTAAATCCCCCCTCTCCTAATATTGTAAAGCGCTACGGAATCTGTTGGCACTGTATAAATGGTGATAATAATAATAATAATATCCACTGTACATATCTTATATAATTAAGTCAAAGAGAGGTTCAAGGTCTCTCAACTGCAGCTTGTATGCGTCTATTCTGCCATGCATTGTCAGGTAATATAGACTGCCATATGTTAAGGTTTAGCAAATGATGATTGTACAGAAGGACATGTTATTTTTCTTTAACTTAAAGTGAGCTTAGGAAAACTTATTGTTACTATTTATAAAGTGCCAACATATTCCTGAGAACTATACAATAATTAAATCAGCAGAGGATATGGGTTCTTAGGCCAAGTGTAATCATGGCAATGTCCCTCTCCCCTCATATACTTTTCCTCTCAAATATATAACTATATAACTAGCCATTCACCTTGCTACATCATTTATATCTTCAGACACCCACACACATATACACACAGTCACATATATACATAGACATGCACTCACACACAATGATGGGCAGCACCGCTTTGGAGGAGGCAGCATTCCAATTTTTCATTTTTTTTTAACAAGCAGCCACCTGCTTAATGAGATACCATGCGTCACAATAGTAAAGTGTTGCAAAGTTGCACAGATAGAGGTTGCAGGATAGAAGGAATCTGTAAGAGGGTCTGCACTGCTCTCTTGCTTCCCCACCGTAGACCAGGGAGTTTAACAGTGGTCTCCTACCTCGGTGCCAACATGCTGATAATCTGAAAAGGACAGGGAGGTTTATATATTTTCTAGGTGAATGTGTGTGTTATTGTGTGTCTATGTATGTGTGTGTGATTGCATGTCTATGTCTGCATGTGCATATGTGTGTGACTACATATCTATGTATGTGACTGTATATGTGTGTGTCTATGTATGTGCATCTATGTATGTATATCACTGTGCATGTACTTGTGTGTCTGGGACTGTATGTGTGATTGACTGTGTATGTTCTGTATGCGACTGCAATTCATCTGTTACTACGTGCGAGTGTGTGTTTTTACATGTGAGTGATTGTGTATGTAATTGATTATGTATATGAGTACATGTGTCTGTGTGTCTATATATGTGACTGTGTCTGTGATTATGTGCCCTTTGCATGTATGTTAATGTGTGTGATTGTAGATGCATGTGACTGGCAGAAACTAGAAAAATAGGATCACGTAGAAAGATGCAAAGTGAGAAAGATATATAGACTGCATACCTCCCAACATTGGGTGACATTAAAGCAACACTATAGGGTCAGGAACACAATAATTTATTGACCTTATAGTGTTAAAAACACTATAAAGCCCCATGGCCCCCTCCCCTCCTTGCCAGTCTAGATATAGTAAAGCGTACTTTTATTCCAGTCTGCTGGTGCTGACTTTTCCCTTGAACTGCCTCCTTGGCTGACATCATCAGAAGTGGTGATCTCAGCCAATCACAATGTATTCCCATAGGAAAGCATTGGATTAACTGATATTGTCAAGGAAGCAGAAAAGGGGCAGAGCCAGGAGAAACCAAGCACAGCCCTGGCCAATCAGCATCTCCTCATAGAAATGCATTGAATCAATGCATCTATATAAGGACAATACAGTGTCTCCATGGAAGTCACACTGTGCAGCACTGCCCCAGGAAGCACCTTCAGTAGCATCTGAAGAGTGGCCAGTGGAAATGTCCCTAGGCTGTAATGTAAACAGTTCCTTTTCTCTGAAAAAACAATGTTCACTGCACAAAGGCTGCAGGGACTGACGATACTCACCAGAACAAATACAATAAGCTGAAGTTTTTCTGGTGACTATAGTGTCCCTTTAAATTGGGGCATAGTGTTCATTTTAAAGTGAATGTTGAACATCCCTGATAATGCCATAAGGGGCAGTTTCACCTGGAAACAGAGGCATGTCAGCCTGTTTTAGATAAATAGTAGGCGGTCTGTTCAGTCCCACTCTGGACTGCACATGTGCAAAGTACCGGTTAAGGTCTCTGCCCATTGCTTTGATGCCATGGGTGCAGGCTGTTTATCATAAGTGGATCCAGTACTGCATTGGTCTAGTGGTCACTAGATATAAAATAAGGGACAGCAGATTAGGACCCCCAAAGTAGTATGGGTGGGAGGTATGAGTCAGGTATGTAGAAACAATTCTTGATTAATTTGTCATTATTTTGTCCAATTCATTGATCATTTCTTTGCATAATTTCCATGGTTCTGAAGACTGACTGCCAAGAAACGTTGTCAATTTGTCACTTGCTGCTCCTTTAAATATTAATGCATGAGCACTAAAGCACAAACAGTTATAATGCTTGTACCATTTAAAAGTAGTCTTGAAATAATATACTGTGAGTAAAATAGGACAATGAAAGCTTGCGTGTCATAACGACTTGTACTTGTAACTATGCAAATCCCTAACATTTTAACTGCTTTACATTTGCATTTTAATCCAACTTTTTGGCAATTTCTAAATTTATATTAGAAAATATTCATCAACACGCTGATGGTTTAATCACATCATACCTTGGGTATCCAACTGGAGCCCTTGATCACTGAAAATACATCATGTTTTAGGGATTAGCACTCTGCCAAGATACACACAATTTGAATTGTTTGATTTACATGCTAATTAGAGAAATCATAAAGTTCTGGCAAAGCTGCAAGATTCTTCTTAATTTTACATCGGGCACAATAATATATAATGCTTCAGCGTTAACAGTTCCCAGGATGTTTGATTAAAGCTGCCTGAGTGTGCTAGGAGTTGTACCCCTGTAGAAGACACAGCAACTCTTCCACATCACTCAGCCTTTTGGAAATGTAGTCCATATTATCCTAAATGCAGGTCCCCCTAGAGTAAATGTTAATATTCTAAACCCAAGAAAATTAGCCCTAAACCTTAGGTGTGCCATAAGCATAATATTTAAAATATTGACTTTATGAAGCCTGTAATGCTATTCTATTTAGAACCCAGAATGGCCAACAGCAGGCTGGTAAAGCATCATGGGACATTTACTTGTACATTATCTGTAGAGTGTGTCATTACCTCTTCCGATACATTAAAGTGTTAACGTTGCTTGACATATCAAAAGCAACAATTTGATGGATACTAAACATATCTACCTAAATAGAAAGTATCACTATGTAAAGTTTTATTTACTTAGATATTTATTATGTAATTAGATACTTTCTAATCACCATTGTTGAAGTCTTCCTCTGATGGTATGTCGTGTTGGGAGTGAAAGGAGATGGACAGATGGTGTGAGTTAGAGATATCCTGGTTGGGAAGGTTGGTATCTATCAAGATGGCCGTCCTTCCCAAGATGCTATATTATTAGAGCCATTTGGGGTTTGAATATAATCTGGAGGACTGGCTTGGATTCACCACTGCTGTCAAAGGCATAACACAATGTTCTGGTCACTTAGAGAATCATGAAAGATTGTTTATTGCTGGTATTTGCCCCCTATTAGGCGACATACAATGAATCCTGTGATCTCTAATAAATGTTGGCTTGATTGCGGTGTGATTGGCCCTTTGTCACATTTCCTGGTACTGCCCTAACCATACAGAGTTTTGGAAACATATTCACTGACTATTAAGAGATTAGACCCATCTATTTCCATATTTACTTCAAATTTGGCGTTATTTAAGAGGTTCCCTGAACATGGGTAAGGTTGATAAAATCCTTATAGGGAAAATATTGATTGCTGCCGCTTCTATTATTCCCAGACACTGGAAATCTTCAACTATCCCTTCGATAAAAGAACCATAACATACCATTTTAGAGAGTAAACAGGACGAATTAGCTATTAGACAAGGTCTTCATTTACAGATAGCCTAAAGTATTATTGGGAAATATGGGAGAAAGAGATTGTTAAAAGATTTTTGTTTCTTATATTTTTCATATAAGTAATTACTAATCTTATAGCCATTTCGGAGATGTTATACAACTACAACTTCCTGTACCAAATCCATTATTGGTTTGCATTAATGCTTACTAGTCAATTCAAATATAAAGATATTAATCTAGATGGATATTTTTTTATTTTCCACCTCTTCCCCTGCCCCACCCAAATTTTTAAATCCTTTTTTCCTTCTTTCCTTTTTTATTTGATTTTTTAAATATATTGTTCTATTATGTTTATTGTTAAGAAAAAATGAAAATAATTCAATAAAACATTTTTAAGAAATACTTAATACTTTTTTTTTTAATACTTTTACTTTGCTATTAGCCAATGTATTGATCCTTCCTGGTAAAATGCTTTAATATCATTTCAAGTTTTATCACAACAACAGATTCAGGGAGTCAAAGTAACTGTTTTCGATTTAAGTTCAGTCATATCCATAATGATCTGAAATCAAAGTATTGTCATTCAGATAACCTGCTAATAACACTAATAACGTCCTTCTTATTACATTAACGGTCAGGTATATTAGACAGAAATATAAAATGTCTAGGGGCTCTTGTTGTAATATTTAGATCTAGTCTGCTGTATATGGATGTATATTTTCTCCTTGTATTTCTAGGAGGGATTGCAAGCCTCTCTAACATTCACAGGGTCCTGCTTTGCATTATTCATCCTAGACTACATGTTACGCTATAAAGTCCATTTAAACCTGCAAAACACAGTTTCACATTGTTCACATATGTAATCCAAATATTCCTTATACAGAGATATAAACAGACCAAAACATACATACAGAAAGTGGAATGAATACTGCATTATGCTTGGAGCTAAATAAAACCAAACACCAGGCAATCTACTAAATGCTCACTTCTATACTGTGTGAAAAAAGTTAAAGGAACGCTATAGCGTTAGGAACACAAACCTGTATTCCTAATGCTGCAGTGTCCTTGTTTATAACTTAGGTACCCTCCCATCGTCCAGTGATTAAAGTGTTAAACACCCTTGTTTCCTTTAACACTTTCCAGCGCGGAGGCTCCCCCGGTGCTGCCTATGTGTCCTCTTCCCACGTCAACATGGCTATGGTGGGACCTAATGCACATTCGAGGAAAGCGCCGCCTGCATTAAAGCTTCCCCATAGGAAAGTCTTAAATCAATGCTTTCTTATGGGAAATTTTAAGACATTAGACATCCTATTAAGACGTCCAATGTTGTTTCACAGAGTGAAACTCCATTAGGGACCAGGAAGTGCCTCAAATGGATATCTGGAAGCACTGGCGTACAGGGGTCACAGCTGTGACCGGGCCCTTCACTACAGAGGGCCTGGCCGCCTTGCAGACCCCTGCAACCGGGTTCCCGCCGCCATCTTTTGCGGCCCTGGCCCATGCGGAAAACTGCTGGGGCTGCCGTTCAAGGGGTCCATCGGGTGGCCCATGCTGTAAGGGCCACCCAATGGAGATGGATTGTCAGGGGGTCCGGTCAGCGCAGAGGCGATTTAACAGCGCGACCTGGCCCTCTGTGATGAGATCACACGCTGGATGGAAATGACTGCCTGTCACTCCTCCCAGCTAACACACAGAGCCCACGCGGGAGGAAGCAGAGGGAGTCAGAGTGTGAACTCTGACTCCCATCAACCTGAGCCATCACTGGACCCAGGGAAAGTCACCGTCCTGCACTTAAAAGGTAGGAAACAGGAGGGTGACTGAAAGGGACACTCTAGTCACCAAAATAACTTTAGCTTAATTAAACAGTTTTGGTGTATAGATCATGCCCCTGTAGTCTTACTACTCAATTCTCTGTTTTTTAGGAGTTAAATGCAACACTAGTCTCACCTACTGGATGTGACTTACACAGCCTTCCTGTGCTTCCTGTAAAGAGTCATCTAATGTTCACACTTCCTTTATTGCAAATGCTGTGTGATTTAGAATGTCTTATCTCCTGCCTTGTTAATAGCATCCTAGTCCCTGCAAGAGCCTTCAGTGTGTAATTAAAGTGCAATATAAAAAGCAGGAGATACAAACTTTTAAAGCAAGTTACATCTGACTGAATATGAAAACCTTTTTTTTTCATGCAGGCTGTATCACTCACAGGGCTGCACAAAAGAAAAACAAATTTGATATAACTCCTAAATGGTAGAGCATTAAGCAGTGAGACTTCAGGGGCAAGCTCTATACACCAACACTGCTTCTTTAAGCTAAAGTTGCTTTTGGTGTCTATAGTGTACCTTTAAGGGTCAAGAATCCAAACAAGACTACTACACTCCAGAGCTGATATATACAAAACAAATCTTCAAAACTACAGCATTGTTCCAGTTACATACTCGAATCATAGAGCAACCTTATCACACTGAACTGCCTTAAAATAATAATCCTCAATGTATAGATACATATTGAATGTTTCTAACTATAACTACAAAAAAAATCAAAGTAAGTAGAATATAATTTTTTAATGCAAATGTGCTAAAGAAAGGTAAATGCTTCATGTCTTCACACGGCAATGTGTCAGAACCACCCATTCCATTTTAGTTTTTACATATAAATGTTACACAAGCAATCTTTTACCATTGTATTATTGATTTCTATATAGGCAGTTATAATAACTACAATTTCATTAGTTGTTCCATGAACAAAAGTCACACTTGACTGAGATCTATCTAAACAAACCATTTGGAATGAGAAAATGGAACCAGTGACATTTACAAACAAACATATCTAAATTAAATTACTTCGGCTTAATTGAACTTTGCAAGTGGCTTGTTGTAGTGTGTTCAGTAATAAATCAGTGTGCACAAAGACAGTGTGCAGTTTTGGTACTCTGAAGTTACGCATAGTGATGAGGTTGACACTTATGCAGCATTTGATACTTACGAGAATTAAGCAATGAGACTGAAGGATCATTATCTATACATCAAAACCACTCCATTAAGCTATGGTTATTTTGGTGCTAGTACTGTCCCTTTAAAGCGGATCTGTCACTTTTCAGTATTTCATAAAGTTATAATGTTTATGAAATACCGATTAAGATTGCATTGAAATTTTACTGAAATTCCAAGGCAATGCAACGTTATTATAACATTGTTGAGAGAGGGCAGCACTGAACTTGCTGCCAAAAAAGTGCCCACTGCTTGGTCGACCCATGGCGCACAGGCGAAAACAGCAGATTTCTGCGCCAATCGGACAGGTTATATGACAGTTTGATGGATTTGTACACTGTAAAACATGTCCTCTAACATTGGAAGGTATGTAAAGGGGGCGGGGGGAGCAAGCAGTGGGCAATGCTGGTGGGGGCATGCTAATGAGTCAGTGGGGTTGGGAGTCTGATGGAATGGGAGAGTGTTAGCCTGACCAACCACTATGTTGGCCAGCCCACCTCAGGGATACCCATACCCAAAAAAAACTCTGGATGGTGGGATAGAAGCCCTATATATACAGTTCTTCCAATTCTAGAATAGTTGGGGAGTATGGGATAAAAATTACTTTGCAAAAATATGAACTAGTATAAAAAAAGGGGAATTTTCAAATGTTCAGATACTCCAGATGGCAGGTAATATGTGTTATGGGTATGATAGTATACCTAATAGAAATACATAATAATAATAATAAAATGGTCCATCACAAAAACATAGAAACATAGATGCTCAGCAAAGTCCTGCAGGATATATACTACCCAAGTAATCCTTCTTCTGATAAATGGCATTCTATAATGCTAACTCAGATATAGCTGTGCATTCTGTCATTCTATTCTGTGCAACACTTGGAACACTTGAACTCAGCAGATACTCTTACATTGTAAGACAAAGGGCTGAGATACTGACATGGTAATTTGTCTGCAATATACATTTTTTGATCACCCTGAAAGTTGCAAGTTCCTTTAATATAAAGTGTTAAAGAAAAGAGGCTGGGTCCCAACTGTTTCTCAAATATTTTGACTTTCATTTTTTACCATGTAAAACATTGTTGCAGATGAACTGTAGCCTTAAAACGCATTCCTGTCCCCTTCATACTTTTTTTTTTTTTTTTGGCTCAATTCCTAATGATCGCTCTAGAGAGCTAAAAACTATTATTTTAGATTTTAGCTTTAAGTGGCAGACGTTAACTGCTTGCAGAAATAAAACAACAAACAGATATCAAAACGTAGGTCTTTCTAACAAGGGTAAAAAAAAAAACCACATTCCATACAAATTAAAAACAGTGCATGTATCCCACAGACATAAATGATCAAAAAGAAGCCCTTTTTACAGGAGATCTGAATGTCTGTTCTTTCAAATACATGTGGATGAAACCAGGGCTCTGGAGATAGAAATTGCATCCTTTATGGAAAAAAAGAAAGATAAAAAAAAAAAAAAGAAAATCCTAAATCCTCTTACTTATGTTTTATTTGAGCGTTTGGATATATCAATTTCGCGTTATAAATTACAATGAGGGGAAATATAAAAGGTACAAACTAAAATGAATAGGTCATCTTGTAGAAATTACTCCTGGCTGAGTTGAAAGTAACTATACTGTGTGTCAGAATAAAACACTATAGGATCTATTTACTAAACAGTGAATCACGGTGACTTCACAACATAACTTTTACACCAAACTAAAAGTTGGAAATTCAGTCTCCAAATCAATTGAATTTTTTTCAACTTAAAACTTTTTGATGCATTGCGAATTGTTTGGCAACATCACACGTTGTTTTTTAATAAATAAAGCCCACATCTACATTATTATTATTATCACCATTTACATAGCGCCAACAGATTCCGTAGCACTTTACAATATTATGGGAGGGGGGATTTAACCAGGGCCGCCATCAGGGCATGACAACCATAACGGTTGTCATGGGCCCGGCGGTCCTGGGGGGCCCGGACTGCTCAGGTTGTCCCGGGCCCCACATTCAGTGGCGTACATACCGGGTCGCCCTGCGACCGGTTTGTACCCACTGTGGCCAGCCTCTTCTCCTGGGGGGCCCAGCAGCCGGTCACCTCAGGGCCTCCCGAGGCTGGTCCTGGTGTCACCCGCCGCGCGCGCGAGGGAGCACTCTCCCTGGCTGAGTCATCTTCCGGCTGCGGCGTCAGTATGCGGCGTGTGAGGGAGCTGAACAGGGAGCACTCAGCCAGGGAGAGTGCTCCCTCGCGCGCCCGCCGGGTGACACCACTGGACCCCAGGGAATCCCCTCAGCACTCCCAAAGGTAGGGAGGCTGGGGGGATGAAACTTACCACAAAAAAAAGTATGTGTGTGTTAGTGTTAGTTTGTGTGCGTCTGTTAGTGAGTGTGTGTATGTATGTCACTGAGTGTGTCTGTCAGTAAATGTGTGTGTCTGTTAGCTAGTGTGTATGCATCTGTTCGTGAGAGTGTGTGTTTGTGTGTGTCTTAAGCACTTACCTTTCTCCAGTGCCGGACTCCCTTGGCGCTGGGGATCTCTCCGCCCTGATCCGCCTCTCAGCTCCGAATGCGCATGCGTGGCAAGAGCCGCGCGCGCATTTAAACCGCCCATAGGAAAGCATTACTCAATGCTTTCCTATGGACGTTCAGCGTCATCTCACTGTGATTTTCATTGCACTTTGGGCGGACTCGGGTGCAGGCACCAGGGGGCCCAGACCTTGAGCTGTGTCACGATCCCCAAAATTTCTGATGGCAGCCTGGATTTAACTATAAATAGGACAATTACAAGAAAACTTAAAGGAACAATAGGTTGAAGAGGACCCTGCTCAAACGAGCTTACAGTCTATAGGAGGTGGGGTATAAAACACATTAGGACAGGAAATAGCAATCAGATAGGATGGGAGTAAAGCAGAGCTGGAGGAGAGAGTAGAGTGCTGCCTTTTAGGAGAGAGCAAGAGACAGGTATGTGAGGTAAAGGTTACTCTGGGAGGCCATAAGCTATGCTAAAGAGATGGGTTTTAAGGCACTTCTTAAATGATTGAAGACTAGGGGAGAGTCTGTCGGTAGGCAGGCTATTCCATACCAAGTACCCTCATTCTACCATATTGAAGTCCCTCTTGTAGTAAGGGTTGATAGATCCATCATGTTTTTAGGGGGCAAGTATTACTTCTTCATGTTGGTGGGTAGAACATAAAAAGAGATGCCTTACTGCATAGAGAATACATATTCTGCAGGACTTCTTACTGACTTGATTTGCAACCTGCAGCATTAATTATGCATTCTGTTAGGCAGCCCTTTTCCTGTCTTGCCCATAACTATTTACAAGGGATACAATATATCCAGTGGTGTATTTAGGATTTGGGCTGCCCTAGGCAGGGCAGTGCTCGGGCACCCCCCCCCCCCCTCCAATTTAAATTTTCCCCACCCCTTCCTGTCAAGGACGCACTTTGATAGACGCATACACTCAGTGACAGACACACACTCTCATATACACTGACAAACAATGAAATACACACACACTATTACTTGAACACACACTGACAGACGCACACACACTGACAGCCAAACATACACACTTACATACACACACTGACAGCCAGACACACACAATCACTCAGATATACACTGACAGACATACATACACAATCACTCACATACACACTGACAGCTCCCCTCTGCAAAGATTAACTGATTACATTTTTTGTTTGTTTGTTTAAATCCACCCAGCCTATCTACCTTTGGGAGAGCTGGGTGGATTTTTTTTTACCTGGGGTCCAGTGGGGCTTCTGACAGGAAGGGAGGCAGGCATGCAGGTGGTTGTCCGGCTAAAAATCCGGACGGGCGGCGCTGGCGAGGGAGCACTTTCCCCTGAGCTCTCTGCTCAGCTCCCTCGCGGTGCGTGAGTGAGCTGTACAGAGAGCTCACTAATCAGTACTCCCTCACCAGCGCCGCCCGCCTGGATTATTAGCCGTACAACCGCCTGCATGGACTGTTAGTTAGCCGCCAGGCTAACAAAGCATTTGCGCAGGCATTTGGGGCAGCGTTTTTTGCCACCCCCTGGAAAGTGCCGCCCAAGGCAAATGCTTTGTTTGCTTCGTGGCTAATATGTCCCTGAATATATCCAGGATTACTCGATGGTTGATTTGGCAAACCTATTTGTAGCAGATCCCTGAATGATATTCTTACAGAAAACTGAAAATGGATAGATAAGTGATTAGCAAATGATATTACTATTTCTTAAAAGTTATATTCTATTTAATTAAACACTCCAAACACCATAATCATGAACACATGATGCTTGTAATTTTATGTGAGAATTCAATTTATTGAAGACAAAGAACAAAGAACTAAACTTGAAGAAAGCTATCTAAAACCCTACAGTAACAAATCCAAAACAATCTATAAAATGTAATAGCGCGGCGGAATAGGTATGAAACATTAAAACACAATAAAATATCAAATATCACAATAAATACCAAAACAGTTCAGGAATAAGAAAAACAGAGCGTAAAATAACAAAATTGTGAATTTCAAATTGAAAGGGTTACCTTAACCCTTTTGAGAGGGTGGACCTTTTCGGTGTAATATGCCATGTGGGGCAGTGAGGAAATTGTAGTAAAACCTGCAAAAAGGTTTTATTTACCTGGAATCTTCTGCGCTTTCTCCGACGTCACAAGCTGAAACACTGCACATACAGACTCCTACCACCATGATCACTTCAAATCACTGAAGTGGTCATTGTGTTTAGAGTAACTCTTTACAGACAAATTTGCCCTACTGGAAAAATTCTTCCGTTCAGCTATTTCTCGTATGTGTGGGTAAAATCACCAAACAGGTAAAAACTGGGGGAAAAAAATAATTCAGTGTGAGAATAAGATAAAAGCACAGCAGCAAAGTCCTTAAGAGACTGCATGATCTGTTTCTGAAGGTTCTATCTAAAGTGTAAATTTATGAACTCTTAATTTTATATCACAACAAATACAAACCACCTGTCCGATTCCTGTCTGCGTAAACACAGTCCTTTGATTCTCAAGGTGGTCGTATTTCTGTCTGAGACATGGATCCTTACTTTTATTGCGAAATAATTGCTGGTAATCATCATGTGAATACAGTGTTTCTAGAATACCGAACAGCAATAGAGTTCATTTACTAAAGAGAGAATTCAAAGTGAATTTCAAATTTAAGGTTTAAATACCCAAACTAGAAAAAAATACAATTCTCAAAGACAGCTATACTACTGGTCAATTCCATTGACTTTGACGTCTCA